GCTGATGATAGGTCACCAAGAAACAAGCTTGTCAAAGTTTATGACGCAAAGAATTGTGTTTGACTGAACTTGCACAACTAGATTTGATCTTTTGATCAGTTCCTACTTCAAGAGCAATTCAATATCATTTCCATTCGTATAGTTAAATCCCGTTGCTAAAAATAAATAAAATTGGAAGGCCACACGCATACTAAAGTCTGAATAAAGGAAATAGCAAAAGTCATAAACGCATTTATGAGTTTTTATAACTATTATTATAAGTTAATCATAGAAAACAACGTTTATGAATTAATAGATAAACAAAACACTATAATGTAATTGATCCACGTATCTTTGCACAGAGAGTATTTTTTTCGTAGGAATATAATTTCTTTAGAGTAAATATTTTTTTCGGTCCTCATCAAATTTTACGATGTTCGTTTTAGTCCCTAGCAAATAAAAAGGCTATTCATGGTCCCTAAGAAATTCATAATGGACCTATTTTAGTCCTTTTGAGGGATTAACATGGGTTTTTTTTTTGAATTTGTGAGGAATCACGATTTCAACTAAATGAGTCCATTTTGAATTTCTTAGGGACCACGAATAGCTTTTTTATTTGTTAGGACTAAAGCGAACATCATGAAATTTGCTCAGGACAAAAAATGGTATTTACTCATTTCTTTAAAGGAAATAATTGATTGCTAACTTTATTTGACGAAATGATATTTTTTTTTGGCACGAAGGAAAATAAAGAAAAGCTATTTTCTAGAAGGGATAGGTTATTTTGATTATTCTTATTTTGCCTACCTTTTGCAACACCGTTAGATTACAATCTCTTTCAACGGTGGAAATTTATGATATAAAATAAACTCTTTTATCCTTTTCTCTTTCCTAGTGTCTCTCACTCTTTCTCTCTCGTCCCATTTCTCTCTCTTCAATGGCGCTTTAGCATAAAAAAAGGGTAAGATTTTTTCTTATTTCATCCAACCCAATCATTTTTATGAGCATTTACATAAAAAAATTGAAATGGGGTGTCAAGAAGAAACAAACCAAGATGCCATGTTGGGCGTAACATAGTGAGAACAGATATCATTTTCCCACTTCAAGGTGAAAGACAAGATAAGAAGAATGAGATAATTTGATTCGATTTTAAATTTCAACAGCGAAATAGAAACCTTATGTTAATCATCGATTAATTCAAAGGAAGGATTATCGTGATTTTTGTTTTTTTTTTGTAATTTCTGCCATGTTCAATTATATCAGATTCAAGAAATTTTAAAAATTATACTCATATAGTAGAACTATCATGCCATTAATCATTTCATAGATTTAGATTCAAATATAAATTCAGGTTGTAAATTACGCAAATCGATATAGAGAAAGGGGAGGAGAGAAAAAGAGTGTGGGAGATAGTGAGGAAAAAAATAGAGAAAAATGATTTATTTTATTGCGCAACTCTCCACCGTTAGATGAGATTGTAATCTAAAGGTGTTGAGGGGTAGGCAAAGGTAGACAAAATAAGATTAGGCAGAATAACCTATCCCTTTCTAGAAAAAAAAAATGTTATTTTCTAGGGGATAAGTTATTCTGCTTACTCTTATTTTGCCTACCTTTGTCTACCTCTCGTAATACCGTTATATTACAATCTCATCTAATGGTAGAGATTTGCGGAATAAAATAAACATTTTTCCCCTTTCTTTCTCCTTACTACCTCCCACAATCTTTCTTTCTCCTCCCCTTTCTCTCTATCTATCGATTTACGTAATTTACAATCTGAATTTATATTTAAATCTAAATTCAATCAATGATTAATGACATCATAATTCTGCTGGATGAATATAATTGTCAAAATTCCTTCAATATGATATAATTGAACACATCAGAAACCACAAAAATACAAAAAAATTAAAACCAGGAAGAATCCCTTCCTTTGAATTAATTAATCCACGATTACAGTAACATCTCTATTTTGCGATTGAAATTTAAAATCGAATCAACTTATCTTCTTCTTCTTATCTTGTTTTTCACCTTGAAGTGAAGAAATGATCTCTGTTTTCTCTATGTTACGCCCAACAACAGACATACCTGATTCCATAATATAGAGCATCTGGGTTTGTTTCTTCTTGACATCCTTTTCAATTTTTTATGTAAATATTCATAACAATGGCTGGGTTGGATGATTTGAAAAAAAAGCTCGCACCTTTTTTTATGCTGAAGCGCCACTAAAGAAAGAGAAAGGAGAAAGAAAGAAAGAATGAGAGGCGGTGAGAGAGACAAATGAGAAAATGAGTTTATTTTATGGGTTCGCTTTTTCTACAGTCAACGTAGATAACTTATCTACATTGAGCCCAAAATGACATCGTTTTGAGGCGAAAATCAAGGTATTTTTATAATTATAATTTATTTCAGGGTTATAATAGTCTTTTTCATTATAATTTTTTAATTTTTCAACCCAAAATGACATCGTTTTGGGAGCAAATATAGATAACTTATCTACATTCACTTTAGAAACATTAAAGCCTTATTTTATATAGTAAATCTTTATCATTGGATAAGATTGTAATTTAACGATATTGAAAAAGATAGGCAAAATAAGAGTAGGCAGAATAACATATCTCATTTTCTAGAAACTAAAATCATAATTTCTTCGACACCAGAATTGACTTAAAGTAGCAATGAGTTTAGCACGTACGAATTGTAAAAAGTTATAAGTGGGCGTTTGGTAGAGGAGAAATTTCTTTTTATCTTGGAATCATTATTTCCGGAAATCTAATTGAAAACTTTTTTCCCCGAAAATGTTATAAAAAGTTGTTTGGTAGGCTAAAATATTATTGAGAATATTAGATTAATTTTTCTGATGCTATATTTGGTTGAGTGTAAAAATTGTTGGGAATGTGGATTGAATTTACATTCGTACCCTTAAGCTCTTTCATCATTCATTTGCCCTCACCTCTTTCTCTTTCTTATTCTCTGTCTGATATTCCCGTTTTTTCTCTTTCTCCCATATTTCATTTCCCCCGAGCTCGCTCTCTTTGAGAAACACAACAGAATGCAAAAGGATAAACAAAAATTTGTGACTCAAATTTCGTTAGGACTAATACGAGTAGATGGCAAAGATTTGGTTTATTTTCATTGACTTTTTTTTTTTCTGCTTGTTAAAAAGATTTTAAGATTGAACACTTGGATACAAAGTTGAAAAGAAAAATATTAAATTCTTGATTCATAGTAGTAAAACTCCTTTAGTTGGAAAACGAACATGAACTGGAAAAGGAATTAAATTCAAGATTGAACACTGGAAAAAGAATGAGCTGGAAAAGGAAAAGAAACATGCAAGGCTCATTCTAACTCATATTAGACAGAGACATAGAGGGTTAATTTCGTCTTCTGATTCGCTCTTACTTTTGCATTTCCCCGGGCACCGAAAATTATCGCCAAATCTGTGGTATTTTGGAGTTGAATTTTGGAAACAAAATTACACAGAGGAGGAAAATCCAAGAAAATAAGTTCTCCTGGATTATTTTCATTTTGTGCTGCCAAATGTAAGAATTTAGGAACGCTAACCTCAGTATCCCAGGCATTTAAATATTTACCTCCTACCAAACAAACAGCACCTAAGAGTTATAATCCTAAAAAATAATAATTTAGGGCCAGAATTAATTGAATAATTGTCACGGGACGGCGGGTCGCTTTATCAACTTGAGTAAGGGCGTTAAAAGGCCATTGGCGTGTGTAGGTCTAACTTGATTAGTTTATTTTTGATTGTTGGATATAAATTTAAATTTGTGTAAAAATTCATTTAATAAAAAGGTTCAAATTCTAAAGTCTGACCTTAAAGTCTATGAGATTGATTTGGTATATTAATTTTTATTTTTATTTTATATTTTTTATATCACTCATTTATTAAACCTAACTTAATTGTCATTTCTTTTTTGTGGTCCATCATCATTTTTGTTGTCTTATTATTTTTTAAAAGATTAAAACAAACTTTTTATAAATAAGTAAGGCAACAAGTCGATAATTATATTCATAACAAGTTACAGGTTAGATCACTCTGATATATTTAAATACAAGCTTAATTTTTTAATACTAAAGCCCGACACATTAACACCTCTGCACCTGAATCATAAGGGGTAATTAGCATCATACAATAAAAAAATAAATATAATTTCCTCTTTTAAATTCTCATCAATTATGAGTTACACTTTATTTATCCATTCCGGTTGACTCACTGGGAGTAAGAACAAACTTGTGCCAACTCAGTTACTCAAGCTCTTACTGTTTTCGAAGATGAGGTATGCGTAACGCATATCAATAATTTAAATGCAGCAATAAATTTGTAAAATGTTGACAACTTGGAAATCCGTTTATTTATTTTTTTACGAATGGTCAAAGAGCACGAGAATATTCAAAATTCCATTTTTCTTTTATGTTGAAACGCCATTTCTGACATGTGAAACAGCTAGATATCATGCATCATTGACCCCCCCCCCCCCAAAAAAAAAAGGTAGATAATTGAAAACAATGAAAAAATCCTGAACTTAACGGTTACCTATTATAACAAATGGTGTTGTACACATGGCCATGGGTCGAGAAAGAGAAGAGCCAACTCAGTAGCAAAAGAGATAGAGATAAGAGTAATAACTAATAAGAGGTTAAAGTTTTTATAAATTTAAGCCATCCAATTATCCAAATAACAAAAACAATTAATTGTGCGGAGTCATAGCCAATCTAACGTGGGACCCGGCACCGTTTCCTCTTTCACGGTTTCCAGCTCATATTTTCTAACCCTTCGTGTCTCTTTGTTTTGTTCTATTGGCATTCTCTCTCTGTTTTTTCTATCTTTGGCACCTTCTTAATATTAATAGTAATACATACCCTTTCCCCTTTCTCTTCTTCTCTTATGTTTTCTTTCTTTCTTTCAAAACAAAACCAAAACTTACGTGATGAGTTACTAATAATACATTTCTCTCTCTCTCTCTCTTTATTATTAGCCTATTCTTTTCTCCCTTTCTCTCTCTACCATGATCAACTTGTTCAAGAAAAACATTCACTCCTTCTTGAGTTTCACCACCACTGACACTACAATTGGTGATGACGATGATGATGATCACTACAAGCTTCAACTTCAATCTCATTACCCCATTTCAGGGTTGGGTCTCGTCACGGCCACAAGGGATGTACATAGGCCTCCGAATGTTCTGGAATCTGCCACGTTGAAGCCCAACAACAACCCTCCTCCTCCTCCTCCGCCGCCGCCGTCGTCGACGTCACCGTCCAGGATTGAATTCATCGACGATATCGGCGGCGGAGTTGACGGGTTGATGTCTTGCACCGAGAGTCTAGGGTTTGAGAGTTCCGACGAGAGAAGGATCAGCGATAATCGAATGGACAAAATCGATGACAAGAATGGTGATGGTGATGAAAAGGTGAATGATGATAATGACGATGAGGTTTGGCAGAGAAGGATGATGAGAGCTGAAGGAAGAGGAAATTGGAGGAAGGTTAGGTCGTTTCCGCCGCCACTTTCGTCGTTGAACCGGAACGGTAAACCGAGTTTTTTTCTCCGACCGGTGAGGAAAGACGGGAGGTTAGAACTCACAGAAGTGAGAATACAGCGACCGGAGATTCTGCATGCTTCACGACATGATGGACGGTTGACATTGCATCTTATTCCAGATCAAAGTATTCTAGAAGAAGAGGAAGAAGAAGAAATAATATCAGATGAGGAGGAAGAAGAAGAAGAAGAAGAGAGGGTTGCAGAGTGGAGGTTCCGAGTGGGAGGGAAAGAAGGGATTAAGAGGTGTCACGAAATGGTGAACCAACATCATCATCATCATCATCATCATCATCATGTTCATGCAAACCATCATCATCATCACCACCTTCGAATGTGTGGAATCAGCATTGTGTGAGATCAAGAGGTACACGTGGTGGCCAGATTTTTATTTGTTTTGAAGGGACAAGGGACAAGGGACAAGGAACAAGGAACATTAATGATTGATATTAGAATATTGTGGCCTGTTGACTGATGTGAGTGTAGTGAATTATTATTCCACTGCTAATTTTGGCAGAACAGAGAGAGAGCAGGGAGAGGTTTGATGCTGCGCAGTAGTGTACATAATAAACATGCGGTGTTGTTTCCTTGCTGGATGGAAAACGACATTACCAAAATGCCAAGCCAAGAAAAACAAACCCGTGTGAAAAGAGGTGAGGAAGTGGAAAATTGAGAGATTATACTGCATTTCCCAAATTTTGAAGTTTTATGTTAGTGAAAAAAGAAAAATTAAACATAAGACAGACTATTATTGAAGCTGGCTCAAGTTATGTTTTTATAAATAATTTTGCTCCTTTAATTTATTGATATAGCGATGTTAAATTGATGAGTTAATTAAGCATGTTAAATGTGAAGACTCACTTGCCAATCTTGGCATTTCCTCAAACATTAATCATTGAGATTTTAGTCAATTTGATAAGGAATTTGAAAGAGACAAGTTCAAAATCAACACACACGTACGGATGGATCCTTGGCTAGTCGCAGTCCTAGTCCTGCCAGTGGTTGCAAAAGAACGCAAAAACGTCGACAGCAGGGTTCGAACCTGCGCGGGCGAAGCCCAACAGATTTCAAGTCTGTCTCCTTAACCACTCGGACATATCGACGATGTATGAGCAAACTATACTATTAATATATTTATTATTACTTTTCTCCACTCCAATGAAAACATTAATTAACATCAAATCAAATGTTGATTACTTATTCTCTTCCTAAAAATTAGTAGCATAAATTTGAAAACATAAAAAAAAATTACTTTTTATACTGAAATAAAATTACCGTTGAAAATATTCAAGTAAGAATCCTAGTAAGAATTTGGCTCCCCCTTTATTATTTTTATTAGTGATGTCAACTGGTCTATATATTTGGAGATTGTGATGTTTCAACTTTCAATGCCTTTGCAGAAGGCTAGTAATGTCAGTTGCGCTATGTATTTGGAAATGATGATGTTTTAACTTTCAAGGCTTTTACAGAAGGCTAGTGTGACTCTAATGCTTGAAGAGGAGAAACTTTCACAAAAGTTGCCTTTAAGAGGGAGCATGATGTTGGGCCTCACACTTGAAAGGAGGATGTTAAAAATATTCAAGTGTGAAAAGTGGTGTGAAATCTCACATTGTCAAGACATAAACTAAATGAGGATCATATAAGTGTAAAAAAATCAGTAGACTTACAACTTTAAGGTTTTTGGTTAAAATGTGATGTTGACTCACTTATAATGATTTGTCGTTTGACCCATTAATAAAAAAATGCTTGTAAAGATTTTGGGCTCCGTCATACCATTCTTATCAATTACTTTATAGTTTATACATTCCATAGTAACTGTTTTTTATAATCCCTTTAGATTCGTGATTATATAATTCAAGTAGTCATTGAATCAGATGTCCAATTTATGAAAAAAAAATGTTGATATGCCTTTGATATGAATTCGGATGTAATAAAACAATGTAGAAACATAAATATTTGTTTGAATTGTAGATTATTATTATTATTATTATTATTTTTTGGTACGTCCATGTATGCGTTGGAGGATGAATCTAGCATTAGTCGTCTTGGAGTAGCTGTTTACTTTTTACTTTTTAAAGGATAAATCAGCTACTAGATGTCAAGCTCTTAAAAATATGAAAGGTTACTTTAATCTCAAAGTCAGTAAAATTCTTTCAGTAAGACATTAAAACTAATGAAGTTCAAAAATTAAATAATAGTAGTTCATTTGGTATATGAGAGTTAAGCATGTGATAATAAAAGTATGTGTTTGATCCTCTTAAATATTATCTTTGGAAGAAATTCTAAACTTTAATCCTGGACTCATCCCAAATTTCAGATTAATCTGTAAGATACCCTATGGGATTATCGGGGAAGAAATCCAAAAAGAAATAAAAAAATTTAAAGTTCAAACCACTTAAAAGGTCAAATAGGGCATTATACGTATTCATTAAGAGCAGCTAGGTGGAGTTAATTTGATTTTTTGGATGCTAGATTCCCACCCTAAGGTGTGACCAAGGAGATGGAGGTCAAGGGAGGAGGAGGGTAGCCGAGTGTGAATGCATGAGGGGTATTTGATAGAAAAAAAGATTTTATGACTGGGAATCACGATTAACAGGAATATTGTGAGAAAATGAATTTCTTGAAAATGTGATCAATAAGTTATTTGGTAGGAGCCAAAATATTATCAAGAATATTGGTTCAAATTTTCTAATTCTATGTTTGATTGAGTGTTAAATATTATTGAAAATGTATGGTAATTTTAAAAACTGCACTGTCAGTGCTAGTGGCACTTCACTGCGCTATTGGCGCAAGAAGAAAATATTGTTTGAAGACTTAGCGCTACTAGCGCCATCACCGCACTAGTGGCGTAGAGGCCAAAATATTTTCTCATCTCTCAAGAATCCAAGAAAAGAATACCACTTCGAGGTGGTGTTCTTGAATGGAATTTTGCTTTAAAAAATATTCACAAATAAAAATCCCGAAAAAATCATATTCTCAAAAAAAATGTCACAATTCTGGTATCAAATATGCATAAATAAGATTTCCAATATTATTTTTCTGAGAATTTAAAAAAAAAAACTCTTGTACTAAATATGAATAAATAGGATTCTCAATGCCTTTTTTTGGAAATGTACAAAAAAATTCTTGTACCAAACGCCGGTAAGTAATCAAAACCCCATCTCCTTGTCATCCAATGTCCAAAACTAATTGAGTAGAAGCAGGAAACTTCGTTATGCATTTATGAAGTGACATTATATTGATTCTTCTATATTATCTATTTTTGCACATATCACACAAAAGTTAAGGTTCATCTACTGATGGATATAAGCAAAAGCGAGAGAGAGAGAAAAAAAGGAATGTATATAATCAAATTTTTGCGATATCTGTTGATGTTTTTTTTTTCCCCGAGGAAATAACATAATCTAAAATGTAAGAATGTAGTTTCGGAATCACCCAAAAATTTACATTAATCCTAATTCCTTATCAGCTGTTGAAGTGTGTATGCTGCCTCAACCTACTCTTGAACAGAGCATGCAATTTCCCAGAATCAATATCAGTGGACCACACCCAAAATATCGCCGATAGAATCCGTGTGAACTCTTGATTCTCTGTGTGACTGGCTCCAAACAGTAAAAGAACTCGAGATTCATGAGTTGAGCAGCCTTTACATGTGGCCTTCCTGCTTTGCGTTTCCAATGGAAACCAAGAATTAGATCATGCTCAATTATCAATAATTCTGCAAGACGATGCAGCAGGAGACTCAATATCTTCCAACTCTTCCGAGAATTTATTCAGCCTGAGTATACTCTAACAGCATGTGCGGAGATCGGTAGATTTTAACAAGCGTCCAATACAGAGCCTCTTCCACTTCAAGCTCTCCTGTTGCTCTTGCAGCATATATATCTTCACATATTGCCATCAATCTGCATCAATAAACACATTATTTAGACTTATCGAAACCATTGGCACCCACTTCGTTTAATTCCCCAATAAAACAGAAGTAAGCCCATATGTGAACATTCATCAGAAGGATAGATATAATTGCTCGAGCACCTGTCACAAGAAGGAAGGTTCTCAAAAGGAATTCTCATTCGCAAGTCAGAACATTGTAATCTGATAAAACGTCCAACAGCAAGTACAAAGGTAATGTACAGTCCCCAGATGCTGAACTTGCTGAGAGTTTCACCGAGAATGCCCTCTAAAGCAGCGAGAGTAGATAATTTTGTATTAGTGAAGGTATTAATCAAATATGAGGGGAAACAATGGTCTGCCTCGACTCGTACACAGACTATGAACGAAATAGGTAACTGCAATAAAGTTTCAATTGAGCTTACGAGGGGTTTCTTCTGATACAACTATAGCCATCGGTCCTGGGAATTTCCCACATCCATGTACATCTGAGATGTCAATATCATAAAAAGACCACCACTCTGGATCCCCGCGGTTCAGAACAAGATCACCACTAACCAGCTCCACCTGCAAAGACCTTATGGCCATTATGATCCGAGCCATAGCTAGTGAATGAATATAGCAGTCCAACTGAATAAAATTCGGTGAAATTTTTTGGTTTTATATTAGATACATTTTTTTCGTCTTAAGGTACATTATAAGTTAAACAGACATACCGACTGTTCAAGAAACCGCACATCCCCAGAGCCTGTGACCCGAAAATATCTAGGGTAAATATTGAATACTGTGAAGCTATTGGAAGTACCATTGAAAACTTTAGTCACTTCTGAAGATTCGGGAAGATCCTGGTCCTGTATGGTTAATTCATACTTCACTACTTCCTTTCCTTTTGGCCTATCTCTGGTAAATTCCCAGGAAAAGGTAATGTCCATGTTCCAGCTAAGGGACTTTAAAAATCTGGCCTGCACAACAGGTGGAACAAGCCACAATGTACTTGCATCTGATTGGCAGCAAATTAATTGAATGTCTTTCTCATCATATGCGCTAAGGTAGCCCTGAGGATCCAAAGTTGTGCGCGCTTCAAGCTTTTCCCAAGATATCTTCTCGCACAAAGTAGTCTCAAACAATGTCAACCTTCCACTTAATGTCTTTATATCAACCCGAGCACTAGCATCTTTGATCGGGTTCGCAATGTTTGTTGGGTTACCGCTGCTGTACATCTGTCCAGAAAATATACTTTTAGAGAAATGGTGCAGTGATAGTTCATGAAATAATTTTGAAAAAAAAAAAATTGCCTCCAATATTATTTTAATCTAGACTCTAAAGTTTATCTGAAAAAATGTGTAAGCAGCATTCAACAGCCTTGAGCTTTTTCAGAAAAATGTCAGAAAGGCAGATGAAGTAAGGTATTTGAAATATGTACAATTGCATAGCGACAATCAATAGAGTTTTAAACAATATTATCTAGTTTGAAGCGTTGAGCGTAACATCGCTCCCAGAAAAGAAACATTAGCAGTCCGTAAATGTCATTTGTATCTGGAAGCAGCGAAGATATCGGCCATATATTGCTTCCCATGATTGTTATACCCACCCTCCTTCCCCTCTCCCTCCTCCAAAGTTAAGATTTTCAAGGCCTGATATTAGTCTAGCTACATTGTATCAACTCTGCCTAGTACTTTATGAAGGATATTTTGGGCTGGCGTTCTAGTATAGGAATTGAATACGTTTATCAAATCTAGGAAAAGTATGACTCCTCCCTATCAAAAAGTAATGATAGAAGTGGAGCAAACAACCCAACTTGAGATATTTAATAGTTGAGCTAAGCGTACTCAGCAGGCACTTTAGGCCATCACAGTGATTCGGGTAAGAGAAGCTGTGCTGCTGAATTTTTACTGTTTCTATTCATCCCAAAAGGACCTAAAATGTTTATGCAAAAGCAATGAAAGAACAAATTATTTATTTCAGTTCTTTGAAAGTAAGTTATAAAAGCAAATTACCTCTTCAAATTGGAAAAGTATTAAAGCAAATTGCTTCTTTAAATTGAAAATATATTCTTATCTTTCTTGGGTTTACTAGCACAAAAAAGATATTTTCTTCATCTAATATTTCAAACGAAGTCATTGCCATAATATTTTATTTATTATTTCATGAGTTGTGGAAAAGGGTTTCAGAATTAGATAAAATAAGATTCATAATTGGAGTTTTTTATTTAAAACAAATAGTGTTGTATCAGTCCCACATCCATTAAAACATGACATTCCTAACTGCTAAGAAAAGCATGATATTCTTTATAATTGTTGTAAATTAATTTGTCAATGAAAAATTTAATAGTTACTATCGATTGGGTTTATATCCCCACATAACATCCTTCAGCCACTTTGTCATCGGAGTAGGGCCTCTAAAACTAGCTCCTCATTGGTACAGAGAATGCGTTGGACCACTGTCACTGGAGGAAGGGTGAGACTAATCTCCTTTGAGAGGGAGGCAGTTTCCCTCTGGCCCCCAAAGAGTTCCAAGAATTTGCTTTGGTCAAGGTTTGAACCCCTGATCAAAGTAAACCCTTGGGCACTCAGTTGACAACTGAGCTATCCTTGGAGGTTGATTCTGTTTATTTTAGTTTAGTAATTATTTAGCCAAATCTATATATTGTAATGAAATGGTAAAAATTCAGAAATAACATTAAGTTCTTTTTCATTCAAGTAATAATAATTGGAAATTTTTATTCTTACCAGCATTGGAGCCCACATGACACACAATAACACAAAGAATAAACATATCCCATTGCAGAACTTCGTCATTTTTGTTTGCTTTTGTCCATGTTGATGGCTGGCTCTATTCAAATCCACATCGCATTTGACAAGAAACAAGCTCGCATGAATATCTTCCAACTAGAAAGGAAGTTAAATTGTTAAAATCAGATAAATGGGGAAAGGAATGCACGCTACCTTACAGTTCTAGGCTGCTAGCAAAGGAAATGCAAAGTAACTAAAAATACTAAGTCTGCATGTATATTTTATACGAGTTTATGAATCTAAGTCATTGAATGAAAAGAGTCATTTGCTGGAATACTAATTGGCCATTAATATCCAACCTTTTAGTTCAACTGAATGTTTGTGATAACTATTAATCAACATCGACCATTATAAGATATTGCTTTAACTTTCAAAAGCCCAACGCTATGACTGTTTATTTACAAAATCTAAGAAAAGACAGTACAGAAGACCCATGATAGTACAATTCTTGCGTACTAAGAAAATTTCTTTGATGCTGAAATGCTCAAGTCGTATAAAAATCAGTGACATACATACTTACATGGAAGAGAGGAACAATTTAATTTTGTGTTCACAAAACCAGTAATGAAAATCAATCGTTTAATGAACCTATGGGCATTATTAAGGTAAAAATTGTTGAGATTGCTGACTCTTCAGATTTAGAAGACCTTGCAGTCTCTGATACTCAACTAGCAGTATCCATCTTCTGATTTTGATGTTGTACATCTGTAGCTGTTTATATTTAATGACTTCTTATCTTTTTCTTTGGTGCTTCCCAAACAATTGTTTGGTTAACCAATAGCTCATCTTTGTCTCAGTAATAAAGTCTTTCAGTGGCATGTTTTGGTCCTCTTTCTAATTTCTTTTATAAAATAAAACCTTTACGTTCATTACAGGTTAATGAGAGTTAAACATTATGTCATATACTGATGAGAGATGGATAGAGTAAATGATTTTGCCGACAGACTATCAGTAGTCAGTACTATTTACCATTGTAATTGATACAAGACTCCTGGCTTTATTGATTCAAAATGACATTTCCAGATTTTCATCAGATGATCAATCAAGAAAATTAATGATAACCAAATATTACACTAAGGATTCAAGAAATCCTACATAAATATGTGTGCCAATAGCATTCGCAAAAATCACAGCCTTAGCAGCAGAAATAAAATTATCATGAAGAAACAATATGGAGACTGTCGAGGACATACCTTCAGCCAGTCGTACATAGTCAAAGATGTTGTCGTGCAAGACCAATCTAGCACACATCTTAATTCATAAAGGAAAGGTAGAGCGCGATATAGTCGAAAACCCAAAAAATTAATTCGTGAAACACTACTGGTCAAAAACTGCCTGTACAAAGTACTTTTGTGTGGAATCCCAAAATGAAGTTGTGTGGCTTGTAAAACCAGAGAAATTGCTTTTGTGAGATAAATGGCACGAAGTGCTACTCTTCCAGAATATCTGTGCAAAGGATCCATGTCCCAGGCATATTTTGTGACTGAATACGTGAAAAGAACAAGGTTGAATAAATAGAAAATAACTTTTCCTGTTGCAAATGAACAGAGGTATATAATACGATCTAGCACGATCAAGAAAAAGATAACCTGCAAGACAAAATTCTTTTGCTGAGTAAGCCAGACATATGAATTTACTATCAACATGACAAATTCAAAATGTTGACTTGCATTGGTCTAACGGTCAAGCAGTGGAATATATTAAACTTGTGTCAACTTAAACAAAACAAATTGAATCAGTTTGGCACAGAAAGCAGCTAATGAAGTTCTGAAAATATATCAATGCGATTCCTATAAACCATTGGAAGAAAAGAAATTTGTACTGGCTTGTACTCGTACGTTTTATTGCCTTTTTTGGGGGGGTGGGGGGATTCTAAACCCAATATATGAGTGAGTGGAATATATCCTTTTCTCTAGACAACTCCAGAACATGTTAAGTGCCTCTTTTAATCACTCGATGTCTTTGAATGTTTTCTGTCATTGAATAATTGAGGCTAAATTTACCAAATATTTTCCCCAATTCTATATTTTGAATCTATGATCACGTTCTGCAATAAAGTTTCTCATTAAATAATTGAAAATTAATGAACTTTGAACTAATGAATTTATAAGTGCATTCTAACATAAACGGTAAGTTTCCTCAAGCAGAATGATCAGCCACCAGCATCTTAGTATTGAAGCTATAATATGTGTGACACAAATAAGGCATCAATATCATACATTGGGAAATAAAAAAAATTACCATGAGAACTAATACAAAATCTTCTGGGAACTGATCTTCAAGCTGATAGACTTCAAGAAACTCACTGTTAGCTTTCATAATTGATTCATAAAAAATGGCGACTAAGAAGAAAACAGCCAAATCAGCTCCAAAGATGTAGGCATACAGATCAATTTCCCTTTTTCCACCACCAATGACGGAAAGTATTCGATATGGAAACCCTATTTCTTTAAAAATACCAACATGTTGGGCTTTTCGAATCTCATTGGATACATCTGATGCTGGAGTTAATGATCTGTACCGTTCTTCAGCAGTAAATTCAATTGGAGGGGAGGCAAATAACACCTCTAAAACAACAAAACACAAGTTTTCATTCTCTTCACTTTTTTCAATGCTCTGTATACGAATCCTACTTGCTGAGTGCAAATTAAAAAGGTTCTCCTCTTTGCATCTCCGATAATGCAAGATCTTCAGCAACTTATTTATTCTGGATTCAATTCTCTTTGGCTGAATTCCCTCTTTAGGCCACGAGTTAACTTCCATAGAAAGCTGTACAAAGTAAGGGGGAGTTTCTGCACCCCATGTTAATGATTTCCAGTATCTACAGAGGCTTCTGATCAACACTTTCAGTATATTTTTCAGGGGTAAAAATAATCTCTGTAATCTCTCTTGGCAGGTGGAGCATTTTACATCCTCTATGTAGCTCTGATTTCTTCTCTTACAAAAGCTGAGATCAGCAGTAATTGTCCAACCACCATCCTTCACGGTTATGGAGGTTTGCAAAAGAGTGAATATGTATATCAGGAAAAAAGGTAAGTTGCTTGTCACAAAAGACGATGTTGTTTTTTTTGCAGGAAATCCTAATTCTTGAAGTAAGCTCACACGGAATTCAAACGCAGTGTGTTGAATGATGATTTGATACAAGTACTGAAGCAAAATGCACACCTCCGTATAAATTAGCATAATAACCCAGAATATGTAACTGGGACCAGTATTTTGACAGAGAGCATATAAGTAGAGAGCTGCAAGGTAGACCACAGAAAGCAAACTGAAGTGCCATAGATATATTAGAATAAAGCAGCAATAGCAAACCACATCATTATTCGACCTCATTCGGGACCACATGTAACGGAAAATAATACCAATTTGGAGGCAAGCAGTATCAGGCACAGTATGCTCATAAACAGAGTGTGTGGAAAATGTAGGTTCCAGAGGTTCTGCACCCATATTCTGATTCTCAATCTCATAGTATTCCTCATCCTCAGAAGAATCTTTAGTTGATTCTAGTTCTTCATTTTCTATCTTCAGATAGTTCATTAGATTGTTAACTGCCATATTTCCAAGAGACTGCACTTGAGATACTCCATTCCCTATGAAATGTATAGCTGAAACTAAAGCATTTTTCCTGACTGGAAGTTTATAACGATTCCTATTTTCTAAATCCCAAAAATCATTGCTTTTAATTCTTTCCTTTACCTGAACAATTCCATGATGAGAATCCATTGGATGGTTCCAACATTCTGGTACCAATGAAGTTACAGATTTTTCACTCAAATGAGATTGATTCCCATGAAAGGGGCCAATTGACGCAGTACTTCTTATATCAAGATCTTGCTTCCTGAAGTCATTTCCCCCATGAAAATCTAGGGAAGAGTTTCCCCTCTCTCGCAGGCCATCAATTTCGAGGGAAGCATTACTACAGTTTGCATCAGTGCTCATATTATGAAGCTGGTTTTGAAGGTTTAGCATCTCTGATTTCATTTTTTCTACCTGCAAACTCCGGAGATGCTTCAGCTCTTCAGCTTTACGTATGTGCCGCAACTGAGCTGTCTTCCAAGCAGCTTTCTTCTCCTGCTGCCGCAGTATAGCTCCAATCTGCTCTTTCTCGAGATATTTTGAAACATAATCAAACTCTGGAAATGAAAACATGTATGACTGTAGTGCTACCAACAGGAATATGATGATTTCTACAAATGCTGATCTTGATGTAATTCGAAACCCATAATCATATTTGTGAAATCCAACCAATTCATTGATGCATTCTATTGAACCGCGTTTGATCGCACACAAATCACCAACAAAAGGAGATTGATATGCAAGAGAAAAGACAATAAGGACAAAATTGTACATCCTCAAGAATCTAAAAATTTTATTTCCCTGCTTCAGTATTTTTAGCCTCATTCGGAAGAAAATCAGAGCAAAACCAAGGTAGCCAAGATGTAGAATGTCATATTCAAGAGTTCCGGTAATCAAAATCAATGAAAGAACAAAATCTAGCAAGTGACAGTAACCGTAAAGCCTCAGGTGGTCAAGAAATGTCCAGTATCCCTTTGTTTCAAATGAAAGATCACTTAGTACAGACGCGGACTTCCATTGAGAGAGTATTTTTTGATACAGCTCTAATCCAGTGAGACTAGATGACTGGTCAGCACGGAATTTGAAACATGAAAACATGAAAACCCCATAATAGCTAATAAGCATACGAGGATCATCAACAATAATTCCTGCAGCAACGACATTTAACATAAATTATTTGGAAAAAGTATTGAGATATATAATCTCACATTGGTTGTATGTGCAACTAATGTGGAGTTTATACGGTCTTGGGCACTCCCACCCTTTGAGCTAGCTTTTGGGGTGGTGTATCCCAAGGTTCTTTACATGGTATCAAAGTTTCGCCGCCCCCCATCTTCTATTGTGGCGTTTCTTAGCACAGGTAGGCTGGGCCTGTTGCATTGTCCACTCTTCAAGCCCAATGGGCTCTCGTGTGAGGGGGCATATTGAGATATATAGTCCCACATTGGTTGTATGTGCAACTAATGTGGAGTTTATAAGGTCTTGGACACTCCCACCCTTTGAGCTAGCTTTTGTGGTGGTGTATCCCAAAGTTCTTCACAAAAAGTTATCACATAAAAAATGCTACAATTATCGAGTCCTGAGTTATAAACATTCTCTATGTCAAAAGAGGCTTTGGGTTAGTTGTACATGTTAGACATTACCGACAAGGTAGGTACCTGATACCAACTATCTGAACACACACACGCACACATTAATGGAGAGATACCTAGCCAACACTTTTTGCAGTAGCTAAAATATATATCTGATACTCTCCAACAATCATGGCATGGTACTTGTTCTTCAATCTGTTGGTTCGTAAAAGCAAGGTGCATCCAGATAGCCACGTATTCAACAGTGATGATAGAAGCAAATAGAAAAACAAAAACAGGCCATAATTTTTTAATAAGTAGCCGATGTAGAAGAACACAAGCAGCAAGTGATGCTATATAGAGTAATGAGATGGCATTCAACACAGCAAAGCTAGCAAGAAGCAAAACAATCATGTTGATTTCAAGACCAAACAAATTGAACATATTCTCTATCCAGAACTTCAAAGATACTTTTAAAACAGTCTTCTGCATCTCGAACCTCTCTTTTCTCAAGAAAAGAATCCGTTTTCTATTCCACTTAAAGCTATCCTTGGAACTCTCCCAAAAATGAAAATGTCGAAACTTTTTGGCACTTTCTCTTTCAAGTCCTGAATCCGGCTCTTGGGATAATGCAGAATTAACTGTTGGCCATGAACGACTTCTTACACCTCTTTTAATTGTTGGTGAAGTGGGATTTTCCGATTGTTTGCTTTGTGGGGTGCAGGCAATAGTTTCATTTGGAACTTCTACTAGATTGAAAAGAGGACAAAGCTCATTCCATGTTCTTCCGTTTCCACTAACATGATGCATCTTCTCCAACCAACGAAAAACATTGTATTGAAGTATGCATGCTATAATAACCACAACCTTTCCCCTCAACCCTGACTCTAGACCTTTAAAACCAGGTTTATACAACTGTAAACCCATAAATAAGGATAATTGGGAGTGTTCTTGACCAGGGAACATCTCAGCCTGATCTCCCCACATCTGGAAGAGATATTCAACCATTATAAGAAGTCCTGAATAAACTAGAAATACTTTTGCAGGGATCTGAGAAGACTTTGGTAATCTTGAACAATTAATTAAACCAAGAAGATACAGAAAACCGAATGCACTTATAGGTGATAATGATGCGTAAAACAAAGCAAGAGATAATATTTTCTCAGTATGTCGAACCAGAAGACGTCTGGTAAAAGCAAACGGTCCTATTTCTGGTGCATCATAGTCACTTGATCCAGAACTTTTGCTCTGCCTCCTTTCATAACTGTATAGCTGCATCACAACCAGTACAGCCAAGGATTCCCAAATGTTTTGCAACATTGAAGCTGCTGGGTTATAGCCAAATAGCGTTTGAAGATCAATGATCCTGGGAAACCACATCTCTGAGCTGGAAAAGACCCCAATGCTGTAAATGGAAACAAACACCATTACAGCATAAACTTTCATAGGATACCAAAGATGCTTTCTTGTTTTGCCCGCAAGTTGTCTTCCACTTATCCACAGTAGGAGAAAGAATAAGTAACCAAATGAAGCATAGTTGGGTGTGCAAAGGTACACACTGAGGAGAACTGTCAGAAAGGCAATGTATTTTCCACATGACCGATAAACAGAAAGGAAATTCTGTCTTATGATGTTCAAATAGGATATCGTCTTCCTCTCTGAATAATTAAATAGACTGGTTAGAATATTTTCATCCAGATTTGGAACACTTTTGGCTAAATATGTAGCTTAAACCAATTAAATAACAGAAAGATAGGTATGAATCTTAAGACAATAAGAAATTTATTTAGCAAAATATAATAATGATATGGATATCCTTGGCCATAGTCAATATTTACTAGAGTTGTACCATGAGTTTCTTGGCTCTCACTAGATCTTGGACTATAACCTGATAAACGAACAGGTTTGTTCAAGCAAGCTCTCAAGATGCTGAACCCAACTGGACGGCAAGATGTATGCCGTACAATAGCTGAAAATAAAAGGAGTGTTTGAAGCCCATGATTGTGAATTGCACAGAAGCAAGCAAGAATCGATATTTTGAAGAAATCCACTGAATAGATATGATTAAGCAGGCCTGCAACATTCACATGAAGAATGATAATATAACTAAATGGAATGACTTTGTTGAAGGCAACAAAAAGTTAACATTTGCACCAGAAAAGTGCAAATAGATGTCCAATTTTTTTAATTTTTTTGGGTACATTCTACATAGGCATAATTTACTTTTCCTTTTCAGTCCTATTTATTTATTTTCTTGTCTAATTTACTTTTTCTCTCATTTATTTTTTTCCTTTATTTTGTTGTTCTCTCTTATTTATTTTATTTTGTTTTTATTTATTTATCATTATTATTATTGTCATCATTTTTCTTTTCTTTTTTTAATTTTCCCTCAGTATTTTCTTGCTTTTTATTTGGATTCATCGATGTTAGTACATAGGCATAACAAAAGTTTATTCTTACGTAAAAAAAAATATTTACCTAATTGTGAGAGAATTTGTAAAACATACGAACCCTTCTGATCCAAAGTTTTGGAGATCAGATCAAGTTGAAGAATGAACTGAAGTGCAAACTGTGCTTCGCATAAAAGGATAATAGCTTGGCGTAATTTACAATTGATTGCGTGGCTTAATAGATAAATTAAAAAGAAAATCACTGCATGCAGAAAAGCAGCGTTAGTAAATTAGGAATACTGCTACTGCACTCAAACAATTCTAAAGACAATTTCGAAGAAAGTTTAAATTTGATCAACAGTCAGAGTAATGTACAATATTAAGTAAACAAGAAATTGCCACCTCACTATAGTAACTCGTGTTTTCCAATTGATTTAAAAACTTGATATTTAAACAGGATCAAACCTTAATTCCTACAAAAAATGGTGAAGAGTCGACCGACGTCTTATGCTTTCAGAAAATACAAATAAGAACAATTGCTTATTAACAGTATATTAATAAACAAATATATAATAACAAAGGAGGGAACTGTTAGCCATTGAACTTACTATAAACCGCATGAATGAGACCAGGCCTTATCGCAATAAGAAATATCAATATCAGTACAACAGCATGTGAGCACTTGCGCAGTCCCCATGCTATTGTTGCCACAACTAATACTGTAGTCTCTTCTTCATCTAGAGATTCCACAAACAAAACAAAAGGACAATAAGACTTTTTGTCCCAAGCACAGTAAAAGATTTTTTATATATATATATATATATATATATATATATATATATATATATATATAGGGTCCGTCGCTTCTCATGTGACTGCTGATGAGAAAAGTTGCAGCAAATTTTTAACACTAGGATATACGTGCGGATTCTATCAAAAAAAAAAAAACCAGGATTCGGACACGTATCCTGTGTTGCTGCACTTTTTCCCTTCTGCAGTCACATAAGAAGTACTTTCCCCATATATATATATATATATATATTAGAGAAACAATCTGCTGAGATATAAACATGTTTTGTGTCCTAGAAGTGATGTTTTCAAAAGGCAAAAATTAGCAGCACATGCTGGTATGGCTTCACATGGACAAGGTACCAAAGAAAAGGCAAACCTGTGTGAAAACTTATATTTTTCCCCAAAGGTGTGAGATATAAATTGAACAAGATGCTATATTTCAAAGAAAAGCTGTGTCACACTCACAGATGCTATAAAGCATACACCGGATAAGCTAAATAAATCTTTCCATAAATGTGCAAATCATAATTTCTTGCTGATTCCTTTGTGAAACCAATATTCTGAAAGTGACAGCAGGCATCGAATTTTACTGTTTTTCATTAATGGATTTCATTCATCCAAAGTCAGTAAGACATGATTAAATTTTTGCAAAATAAAACAGCCAAATGTTATGCACCTACATAAGCAATTGTTTCATGAAGTCGTGGAAATTAAGTGAATTTAACCATGAGATTCATATGCATCATAACAAGAAGTATATGGTAAGCAAAGGAAAATTATGACTCCACACAGTAGCAAACATTGTCTTCTCAGACCATCTAGTTCTCCCACCTTCCACTACAGATTCATCAGCTTTTAATTGTCCTTGATCAGTAATGCACAATAACACTGAACCGGTCACAAGATTACACATAGCAACAAGAAAACCAAGACCAAATTGAGCAAGCAAATAGTATCCTGGGATAGGGTAATGCCACAAGCCTATAGTTTCCCATATCTCCATCTCCTGCAATTAACAGAAGATGTTAACAAAAAATATTTTAATATAATCGTAGGATTTCCCAAAGCCTCTAGCATATGTACCTTCCATAATTTGTTTTTGGAGACAGTGAATGCTACATTGAAGATATATGTGCTAGCTGCCCAAACGAGAATGAAAACAAGAAGCACGCCGTTCAATTGGTGTAACCGAAACATGGAAGGGAAGGCATAAAAGATGTATCCCACATAAGCAAGCAATCCAAATGAGCACAGACTTGCAAAGTGGAAACTCCATAATGATAGAGCCAGCAAGGAAATCTGTAAGGTGCACATATTAATCCAATTAATTGACTTATAAACATTCTGTATGTGTCAAGGGTTGCAATGAACGAGGGCGGTTCACAAGGGAACACTAAATAATAGGCTCAATTTGATCTATGATTTATGAAGAGTTTTGCATGTTCATGTGTTTATATCAGAATGTCCAATATATATCTAACACTAAATAATAGGCTCAATCTGATCTATGATATTATGAAGAGTTTTGCATGTTCATGTGTTTATATCAGAATGTCCAATATATATATCTTCAATGATTGAAAGTAATTTTCAACTCTCAGCATGACCTCATAATTCAAAAGTGACAATATTAACTGGTGATAGTCACATCAGAAAAAAGACAAGGTGATTATGACTTTGCATCCTCTTCCTATCATCCTTGACATATCCTGATATGGCCAAATAAATGGTTGCATTGGACGCACTGGCAATTTAGATCTAATGCTCCATTTCTTCTTTGAGAATAAATGATGGGGGATGAGGTCATGGTTCTAAATCAGCTAAGTGTAAAATATAAATGAATGATAAATATGTTAGAGAAATATGAAACCATTAATGTAGCCTCGCCCACCAACTTAAGCTTAAGCTTTTGAGTTGAATTGATTCTTTACAAAATACTGATTTAATTTTCTCACCCTACTTACCAATTCTTTACATACCAAAAAAACGAATGAGTTCCTATTTTTGTTGAGAACAATTCTTGTGACTCATAGTTGAATATGTCATACCAAACATTGGAGACGAATTTTGCTTAGGATTTAAGCAATTAAATGATTTACTGATGGGAAAAAAAACAAAGACGGATATGCAGGTGTACCGGAAAACCATATGTTAAAAAGTTAATGGTGAATGACCGAGAAACAGCTCCTCGCAATAAGAAATTGATATGCCTCACACTAGACCTGTCAGAGAATAATCAAACCAAGAGATTAAAGAAATAAAATATTGCTACATGAGAAACTTATTAGACAATCGAGAGAAGTAATTTAAAAATTTCATCTACCAGATATTGAAATTATTCTACTTCAGAGACCCAAAACAAAAAAGATTGAGACAGAGAAGTAAAACCCAATAAATAAGTACTATCTACAAAATTACAGACCCTGCTTCAAAATTACATTTACATCCTAACCATGTGTCAATCTTAAGTTAAATCATCTTATCTATATAATATTGTCAGCAACATCTCCACATAGGAACTCCAGTGAGCTATTGTATAAAGAAGGGAAAATAAAAATCATATTGAGGCATTAGAACCCGAGCAATCATCATTGCAAATTTGCAATAAGTTCATAACTTCATTATTTAAAACGTATAAAAGGAAAAAAAAATAAAAAAAAAATAAAGAAATATCAAATAAGGATGCTGCCTCTAGTTAATTACCTGGATTCGTGAACAAAATGAGAATGCTTTTTGGGAAGAAGTTGCTCGGTCAAGTCACTTTCTCTTGTTGATGTGACAATTTCCATTTCGACTAGATCACTTCTAATCCAGGATAGCTGGAAAAGGGACAAATGAAGATTGATGACCCAAACTAAAGGAAATTTTAAAAACGGATAGCAGAAATATAGGCCAACTACTTGACTGAGTTCATCATCCCTTTCTTCCAACGATAGATCAACGTTATGGAAGTATTATATATTCTTACCATAATATAGAAAAGTAGAAGTGAAAGACCAGAACAAACTTCTGACCATTCTGACTTTGTAGAAAGTTTGAACAGCCCAAAGTGGCAAAAAATCCACCTAAAGGTCTCTGGGAATTCAATAGGAAGTTGATATATGTACAGCAAGATGATATTGAAGCCAGCATAAAAGAGAAGGTACCTCCACCACCTTCAAGTTCATAAAAACCAGAATCAGTGAACCACTTAAATTCCAGTTCTAATTCCTATTACGACAATAAAACAGTATTATCACCATTTCTTTGCTGGGGGGAGGGGGAGCTTACCGAAAAATACCTAAATAATTGCTTGTCCAAGACCAATCAACTAGCCCTATACTGCTACAGACGAAAAAAGGTAAAGAAACCCAAGATGCATGACTAATCCCAGCAATTAGTTGTACAGCAGGCAACAATAAGCAGCACAAGCCCTTGAGATGAGATCCTGCAACCCGAAAATCAACATCCACTTATAATTATTCCATAGAGACAAGGAAATCAATTTGTTATTAGTATTCCATTTGTTCAGAGTTTTATTTGGTGAGAGATAAAGATGTAAATGAAAGATGGATGAACTACTTCAACAAGTTGTTTAACGGGGATGGCGATATAAGTGAGGTGGACTTGGAGGACGCTTATGATGATTTGAATAGAAGATTTGTGCGCAGAATTAAACACATGAAGTTAAGGAGGCTTTAAAGAGGATGAAGACTAATAAAGCCTTGGGACTTGATGGTGTCCCTATTGAAGTGTGGAGAGGCCTGGGGGATGTGGCAATAAAATGGTTGACCAATCTTTTCAATAAGATTCTTTAGACAAATAAGATGCCTGATGCATGGAGGAAAAGTATGATTGTGCCTATTTACAAAAACAAGGGAGATTTACAGAATTGTTTTAACTATAGATGCATTAAGCTAATAAGCCATACTATGAAGTTGTGGGAGAGGGTTATTGAACATCGCTTGATGAGAGATACCAAGGTTTCTGTAAATCAATTTGGATTTATGCCAGGAAGATGTACCATGGAAGTCATTTTCTTGATGCGACAATTAATGGAAAGATATCGAGAAAAGAAGGACTTACATATGGTGTTCATAGATCTTGAGAAAACATACGATAGGGTTCCAAGGAAAGTTTTATGGTGGGTTCTGGAGAAGAAAAAGGTACCATCAAAGTATGTAAAGGAAATCAAGGATATGTATAATGGGGCTACTACATGTGTGAAAGCTTGTAACGGAACATCAAGTTATTTCCCTATCACGGTAGGTGTACACCAAGGGTCGGCTCTAAGTCCTTATCTCTTTGCCTTAGTTATGAAAGAACTAACAAAAGATATTCAAGAGGAAGTGCCATGGTGTATGATTTTTGCAGACGATATTGTGCTTATCGATGAGAGCAAAGGCGGTGTTAATAGAAAACTTGAATTGTGGAGAAGCACGTTGGAATCTAAAGGATTCACATTAAGTTGGAGCAAGACTGAGTATCTGAAGTGTGAGTTTTCTCTGGTAAGAGATGTAGACCAAGATCCCGTGCATCTAAGTGGTCAAGAGGTACCCAAGAAAGATGCTTTTAAATAACTGGACTCCATTTTGCAAAAAGGTGGAGAGATTGATGAGGATGTAAATCATAGAATCAGAACAGGGTAGATGAAATGGCGTAGTGCATCTGGGTTTTTGTGTGACCGCAAAATCCCCCTTAAGTTAAAAGGAAAATTCTATAGAACAACAGTAAGACCTGCAATGCTATATGGAGCTGAATGTTGGCCAGCACATAGGAAACGTGAGCATAAAATGGGAGTAGCAGAGATGAGGATGTTAAGGTGGATGTGTGGTTATACGAGGACGGATAAGATAAGAAATGAAGATATTCGACGAAAGGTAGGAGAACTACCGGTGGCTGAGAAGATGAGAGAACATAGATTGAGGTGGTTTGGGCACGTAATGAGAAGGCCCCTGGATGCTCCCATAAGAACAGAAGTTTGTTACCAAGAGCTCAACAAAAAAAAAGGTAGAGGTAGACCGAAACTTACTAGGAGGAAGATATTAAAACAAGATTTAATGGAGTGGGATATAGATTGGCGGACGGTATGCCTTAGAACGGAATGGAGAAAAGCTATAAGCATGGTGGAGGGTTAGACCCGTTGTTATTCCTATGTTCCAGATGGTCCCTTTTTAGTCATTTTCCCCTTCATTTCCCCCTCTTCTTCTTTTCCCTTTCTTTTTTACTTGTATATATATATATATATATTTACTATTCTATTTATTTATTTTTATTTTTACTTTTATTTTTCTTTTTTCAACCTTTTTGTATTTTTTATTTGGGTTCATTTACCACCGATCCCAATTAATTTGGGATAAAGGTGTTGATGTTGATGTTGAAACAAAAGAATTTTTTAATAGACGGGAAAGCAAGGATTAAACCCCAAACCACTTGGCTGTTGAGATTATGAGACCATGTCAAGGAACCACTCATCCTAAGAGGCCAGGAAAGGTTTTTATTATGATTATCTCTAACACTAGTTTTATGACAAACTTTTTTCTTTATTTCAACATTAACATCACCTTTATCTCAAATTAGTTGTAGGAAACTTTTTTTTTTGGGGTTTTACTAGATAGTACCTTTCAATATTCATCCTTTAAAAAATAAAAAATAAACTTTTTTCTTTATTTAAAAAAAAAAAAAATTATAAGAGAGAAAAAGTCAAGTACAAATACGGGTAGGTTAAATCATCCTTGAAAACAGAAAAAAGAAGACAAAAACAAGAAAGAAAGAAACTAAAAATAATCAAGAATGCAAAATGTCTCTCTGTATATCAGTAATCGTAACTCCCTTTAAACAATCAAGAGCAGAATACTGGAGAGAAGCCATAAACATAGCCATCAAAGCAAGACTAAGGGAAAAGAGAGAAGTTTTATGACAAACCTATCAGCAGAACAGAAGAACATAGATGCCCTGAATGAAAATTTCTGCATGCATCTTGACCAAATCGATTTCCATAGATTTCAATTAGAGAAAGAAAGGTTGCTAATACTTGCATGACCAAAAAGTACTCTATCGGTAAAGTCCTCCAAGACTGTACTCTGCAAAACCGTTTCATACAGTATTTGTAGTGTATTCTGCATGGTGATACACTGAGGAAAAAATTTCTATAATATAAAAAGGGTAAAACCAAAAGATGGAGAACGTTCAATTACCTTATAAATCCAATTAGCTGAGCCCACTGAGCATCAGTAGTACTCCACTGATCCCCCTCAATAGCCAAAACAATATGAAATATAGCATGAGAGAGTAGGGTCAAAGAGGATAATATAAGGACAGACCATGATATCAAAGGTTGTTGACGGAAGCGAGGGCCTGTTTGCAACCAAATAAAAATTAAAAAACACTCACAAAATGATCATCACATGAAGAAAAGATAATAATTATATTTGCACTTGAAATACTAAAAACGCAGTACCTACCAAGTGGTGAAATGATAGAAACAGACTCGTAAATTTAGAGTGAGTATCACCAAGTGTTTATAATTTGATAGCAAGCATCTCACCTTTTCTAGGAGCAGTGTACAGAATGAGAAGGAATGCTATTAAATCAACCAAAGATATCAAACTCCAGTTAAGTATAGATGCTGCGAAAAACAGATAAAAGGCATCAACTTCCATTTGGATTGGGAAAGTTGAGACAAAACAAAAGAAAACAACTTTGGACAACCGTACAAGGGGGATTCATGTGAATTCAAGCGATCCCACTCAAACTTAAGATGGAATAGCTTGTATTTTGTATAATTATACACAGTTGCAACTACAAGGGTTGTGTAAGTGACATTATTGTATACAAAACCATTAGAACAAACATGAATAGATAGGCATACGATTTTAATCTGTTGCTTTGATTTTTCAGAAAAAGCAAACCACCAAACTAATAATACTTAACCAGTTTTAAAAAACACTATGGCATGAGCTCATGACAACTTGTAGAAACATAGGCAATATGAATCATTTGAATGTTATCACTAGCACCGTTTGAAGGCCAAATTCATATAAAGTCAGCTACTATTATATAATACGCAATCTACAGAATTGCAATATAAAATATAAAGTACCTTTCGTCAAGTTCAAAAGACGACACGTACGAGAGAAATATAATATAGCCTTCATAAATTCATCTCAAACATTCAAATCCAAAACGTATGGTTTAAAATATTAGATGCATTTTACATAATAACATGGAGAAAAAGTGAGTGATGGCAGGATCAACAAAATGAAACTGTAAGAAAGTGGAATGGTGAAGCAAACCTGTTAGAAGGAGCATAGGCAATACGAATCCAGGGATAAACCTCGCCATGGTATAAGTATAACCGCTATTTGAGGTGGAAAACGCTACATCATTGAGTGGAGCAACGCAAATCCATCTATAGAACCCAATCCATGTGCGAAACCATGAAAGTGAGTGCAATGGAAGCTCTCGCTTCTCATGAAAACGTAAACGGCGATAATCGAAATGAAAAACGACGAAGGATCATGTTGTTGTTGTTGCAGACCAAAACGGAAACAAAAGAGTGAAGAAGAATGACGTGGGATTCAAGTTGATAGAATGTGAATGGATGAGATGAGGAATGAAGATTCGAGAGAATGGTACTCAGATTTGTCTGAGACGCGACGAACCGTGTTCTTCGCTTACGCTTTGTTGATGAATGCTGATTCGTTGCTGAGCAAAAACTCCGTGTGCTCAAGTTTTCCTTGCTCTCCTGAATTGGAGGCAACTGAATTTCTTTACTCAAAATCAATAAAGGGTAATCTTGGTATTTCCATTTTTTTTTAGCCTTATTACAGTACAGTTACAGACATAAGTATAACATAAGCAAAGATGGGGCACGGACACGACGTAATATTACAATAATTACAAGCAAATTTAAGAGAAGGAAATTTATCTCAATATAAATTATCTTTTGTTAGCCACAAATTATATATATTAGCATTAGACATTGCAGTCTTTCCAATTTGTATGCATGAAAAAGCAAAGGCGGAGGAAAAACTCGTCATTAGCCCCTTAAAATTGTTTTTGTTGTTTTGTCCTTGTTAACATAGGTGGGGCTAGGATTGGCTAATGCCCCTTAAACATGTCTTCTTCTATTTTGATGGGGGGGAAAAAGTTATATATGTAAATAAGTTAAAACCTCTGTTTTTTAAGGAGTTGCCCTTATTTTCGGCATGAGAAAAAGAAATAGTATTAAGCTCTTCATTTTTATTATAGGGTTTGATAAGATGTAAAACGTCATCCTTAAACTATGGTTATGAAACAAAGTATTTGCCCCAAAACATTGACATTTTGACTCTCTTCCTGGCACCATCATTAACATTAGCAGCTTTCTTTTCTAGAAAACTTAAGTCAATTGCAACACTCGATTTAGTGCTCTTATTACGAGCGTTTGAGGTAGAATTGTAGAAATAAATTTAGTGATTTGAGTTAGAGGTGACAAAACGGCCAACCTGCTCCGACCTCTAAAAAATGGGATGAGACGGGTTGACCCACTATTTAATGTGGATTTGAAAATATCAACTTATTTTGTTTTGAGATGAATTGACGGATTGACCCGTCTAAAAAATAAAAATAAAATAATATATATATATATTATTAATTTTATAATAGTACTTATTTATATTCTTGTTCTCCTTAATTTTTTTTTTAATCTCAAGTCTTAATATAAGTTAATATTAATTAGATATTTTTTAAGAATTTATTTTTCTTCCATATATGGATAACTTTTGTCGTAAATAAAAAAAAAATCTTTATTTATTTAGGAGAGTACTAAAATAAAAAAATATTTTTATCACAAAAGTTTAATGGCAAATAAAATACTACTTAATAATAAAATAAAATAAAATAACGGCGGGCCAACCCGCCATCAACCCGTTTTGACCCACAACTAAGCGGGACAAGTTGATGGGTTGAAATATATAACATAACACATCCCATTTTAGGGAGCTGGCTGATTGAACCGTTGGATTTAACTCATATTACCACCTCTACTTTGGGTTAATGATTTGTTACATGGTTTTATAAGAGTTATGTTATAGGAAAAGTGATTCTGTAATGTTATAGAAATTTGTTTTGTGTGTCATGGTTTTTTTATTTTTTTATTTTTGCTTTAAAAAGTGTGAGTCCCACAAAATATTGTGTGTGTAAAAAAAATTCTGCTAATATTAAAAGAAAAACTAAAACCCCTTTGTTTCAATAGGGCTCTTGTGTTTTTCCTTTTCCGGCCATGTCATGGGTTCTTATGTTAGTCGTACCAGCTGAACACAAATAATTCTTTAACACAATAGAAAACTTAATTGATGTTTTCTTATCACCTTTTACAATCGTAATATCAAAATCAAAGCGATTGTTGTCATTTAATGCTATTTTATAATCATTTATTTTTGCCCCCGTTATTAAAATTTTTGGCTCCGCCACTACTTGTTAAGAATATATTGGGCAGAATCAAAAAGTTGAGTAGAGACGTAAAATTTGTAATTAGAGGTCAGCTTAAAATTTTATTGAATTTCAGTTTCAATGTTTATAATTTTCGAAACACGTTATCTTAGTTTTTGTTGCTCTAAGCTGTAACATATTCGGTGCCTTAAGTATAATCCTTAACCTGGTGGTGTTCCATATTTAAATTCGTGTTTGATTAACCCATATTTATATTTTTGTTTTGTTCGTATTTGTAAAATATGATATATAAAAATTTGTGTCGTATCGCTTGTTAACTATTTATCATTTTAACCAATTTGTACTGTGTATTGTACCGTGTTATCCCGTACAAAAAATTATTTGTGTTGGTGTCAAGAAATCATAAATTTAGATTTGCATATTATTCATGTTGTATTGTATCATTTCGCAGAATTTGCTTATCACATTTGTGATAAAAGTTTTTATATGAATCTACAAAAAAAAAAAAAGTTTTTATATGAATAAATATTTCGATACTTAATTCTTTATAAAAATTGAGAAGAGAGTGGAGAAAAAGATTTCAGTTCACTTTTATGTGCACTGTATTCCTACGGGGAGTTCTCTGTTTCGTTTTTATGCGTGTAATATTAAAAATATTAATGTTAATATAAGTTATAACATTTAGTTACAATTTATTTTTAACTTGGTTCATGCACTATAGAAGTTTTTTAGAATCTTTCTTTAAATTTAATATTTTATAAAAGTTATAATTTTATGAAATATAATAATAATTACAAATAATTAATTAATTTCAAACGATTTTTGAAATTCAATTGATTGCATAATTGAGAAGTGTTTTAAATTTGAACCTTAGGAGTCGTTTGGTAAAGGATAAATTTTTTTGTTATTGAGAGTCACGATTCCTAAGATATATGTTTTGTTATTGAGAATCACGATTCCTAAGATATATGCTAGGAAAACGAATATTTTAGAAACGTTACCAAAAAGTTGTTTGGCAAAATATTTCTAGAAATGTTAGTTCAAGTTTACTGATTTTATGTTTGATTCATTGTCAATGATTCATTTTAATATGGGCTGATTTTATAAAACTAATCTTTGATGAATTTTTGAAAATAATTTCTGATATGTCACAAAAGGGTCAAAACGCACGTTGAAGATCAAACCCAAATTTTTCAAATGAATTTGATCATTCTCAAACCAGTTTAAAACGAATTTGACCCAAATAAAAAAGATATCGTGGTTGTCGATTCAATGTCGAAACAGGAAGATCGTGGTGTTGAGGTCACCAGAGTGAAGCAGCATGAAACAGGGAGGAACCCAATAAAAATGTCATAAAAGGGAAGAGAGGAATCCATGATTTTGTGAAGCAGAGTATTACGGCTAGGGCTTTAACAAGAGAGTGTATTTTAGCCATGAAAATGAAAATACTAAAGCAAGGTTTTTTATGTCTTATAAATTATGTAAAAAAAATTCACCAGGTAGGAATCAAAAAATACCACCCACCTGATGGTATTATTTCATGGAATTTTTATTCATAATTTTAATTCTCAAGAAAATTTTAAGAATACTTGTATCAAATGTGGGTAATTAGTATTCCCGGTATAAATTTTATGAGAATTTAAAATTTATTCATCTACTGAACCCTTAAGATATTGTTTTTTGTTTTGTGTTTTCAAATTTTAAATAAGCAAAAATGTGGCTTTTGAAGGCCCATCTACCCAGAGGGATGTAGCTTATATTGTAGAGCGCTGGCTTCGCATACGAGAGGCACGGGTTCGATCCCCGTGTCTCTCAAATAATGGTAGTTTAATTGGTGTATAAGAATTGAGTAAATGTGGGTGAGACTTGAGAGCATATGTTTGATTGTCTCTGATATTATTTTTGGAAGGAATTTAAAGTCTTAATCTTAAACTAGTTTTGAACAAAATTGCCTCCCGTTAGGGATATTAACATGTCGAGCCGAGCTTTGGTCTTAATAGGCTAAGCCTGTGTATAAATGTATCAGCCTAACAAGCCTGTTACCTGTTATGAATATAATTATCTGTATGTGGCATGACTTATTTACAAAAAATAAAAATCTGGTTTAGCCTGTTAGCCTTTTAAAAAACAAGACAATAAAATTTATCAAAACAGAATATACAATCAACAACACTAGTAATTCCATGAATATTTATAAATTCAATGCATATCCAAACAGCATAATGTAAAAGAAAATCATTCAAAAAGTCTGTTTAACCAATAAAATGGGATGAAATGAATTGGAGAGAGAAATAACTATTACAAGTATATAAAAAATTAAAATAAAAATAAAACTAATATATTAGGCTAGCCTAAGAGGCTTTAAGGCAGAGCTTTTGAATTAAAGTCTGGGACCTTTTTATTAAACGAACGTTTATACAAGTCCAAGCCCGGTTCCAACAATCAATTTTAGACATGTAAGCTCAGGCCTTCACGAGCCGAGCTAAAGGCCCATGATTCGTTTACCATCCTTACCTCCCGTAAAGAATACTTGTAATTGTTATAAAAAAAAAAAAAATAATAATAATACTTGTAATTGTCCCGGAAAAAAATTACTTGTTGCATGTCAAATAAGTAATAAATATTTTCCATAATCTCAAATTCTTATTATAATAAATATTGGGTTTGATGTTTGTCATTTTAAATGACATAAGATAGTCATTTTAGGAGAGAGATAGACACATGAAATGGAAAACATGAGAGAGAGAAAGTGAGTGGTTTTTTTTAATTTAAATTTTAAATAAAAAAATAAAATTATGTGTCTATCTCTCTCTTAAAAGGACGTAAGTTTATGTCATTTAAAATGATAAACAATTTCCCCATAAATATTTCTCTTTTTCATTAATAAATATTTATCCTTTTAAAAGACGATTATTTTAGTTAAAACTAGTATTTTTTATTTAAAGATTTATTATTTTTCCCATAACTGAAGATAAAGTTATCTCCAGTGAACTCAAAACGATGTTGTTTCGGAATAGAAGATTAAAAAATTATAATGATAAAGACTCATTCGGTGGAAACTACCAAGCCTGAGTACGGTACGGGTAGAGAGAATTTTCAATGGAGCAGTGAAATTATGTTTTCATTATGATTTTATAGAACGACAATTGCTCAAATAATACAACACTAAATAAATTAGAATTACAAAAATAACTATTTACTTAAAAAAGACATCGTTTTGTGTTTAGTGGAGAAAATATATCTCCATTGACTAGAGATGCATTAAACCTTTTATTAAATATTTAAATTAAAAAAATAACACTTTCTCCGACCATGATTTCTATTTCTCTCACCATAAAATACAGTAGTTTTAACTAAAATATTATAATTTTATATCTTTTAAAAAGATAAACAATAATCCCTTATTTTATTTCTACCACCTTAAAAGAATATTATATTATATCTTCAACTTCAAGGTTTTGTGTGAATTTTAAATTGAAAAAAAGAGAGTAGCCACACACCTTTTTCAATACACTCTATCATAGGATGAATTTCATGGAAATTTCACTAAATAAAAAATAGTCCGAGTGATTTAATAGAATCCATATAAAATTTATTCAATAACAAATAGTGTATTACAAATCAAATGAGTAAACAAACCTTCAAATTGAGAGAGAAAAAATCAAATGAAAGGGAATAAAATAAATTCCATTTTGTTTTAAAAATTGTCAACAATAACAACTAATATTAATTTTATTCATTCTCCTCCATACTATACATCTCCGTGGATCCAATAACCCACACCATTGAAATTAGTTTTATTCACCGCCGTCTAATAAACAGTAGATAGAAAGCAATGATAACTACTTCTAAATGAACAAGTAAAGAATTTTTCAATCTATATACCTATGGTTGGTATTTGGGAAGAAGTATTCTTCTTAATGAGATAATGTCGCGGTGGATCCCCAAAACAATGAAATTACAAATCAAACGCAATCGTATGATGAGTGCGTCGTATATAAAATTATAAATTGAGGCTTACCAAAAAAAAAATTATAAATTGAGGGAAGCATGTTGGATAAAAATATAATAATATCTTTTAGATTTGAATATAATATAATAGCGATTAATGTCTGTGTATAAAGTTATATTATTTTAAATAAGTGAAAGAAAGAAATAATAAAAATTATAGAACGAAAGAGTGAGAGATTTTTTTAAAAAATAAAATAAATAAAAGTTATTATTTTTAACTAAAAGAAACATTTTTAAAAAGGATAAATATGTTTTTCAATATAATAATATGGGGAAGAATATACTTACTACTAAAAAAGTTTATAACCTCTACAACTAATCTAATCACTATTGATTTCCGTTAATCTAACGGTTATAATTTATTAAAAATATTAGGATGTATTAATTAAGAGGAAGGAAGGTTATACTTACAACTTTTTTTTTACAACCTCTTACAACCATATCTTAACACCGTTGATTTTCGCTAATCAACGGTTATCATTTATTATGAATTAATAATTAATTAATTAATTTAATTTGAGAAAATCATAACCGTTGATTGACGGAAACCAATGATATTAAGATATGGTTGTAAGAGATTGTAAAAAAAAAAGGTTATAAGTATAACCTTCCACATCAATTAATTATTAATTTTCAATAAATTATAACATTGATAGAAATTAATGATGATTAAATTAATTATAAATGTGATAAAAAATTTTATGGTAAGTATATCCTTTTTCGTAATAATATATGTGGCTTGAGTAAGATATTATTTGGAAGGGATTTAAAGCTTAATCCTAGATTTGTCCGGAATCGAATTAGTTGCGAAACAATGAACCGGTTAGAATGTTAAAAAAAAAAAAAAAAGTAAGATATTATTTAATGCACATGTCAGTGCATCAACAATGAGAACTTAGAGAGAAATAGAAAGAGAGAGAGAAAAATGGATAGGTAAATGCAATGCATAGAGATAAGAAAGGAGGAGTGCTTCCGAAGAGAATAATAGTGGTGCGTCATGGGGAGTCGCAAGGGAACTTGGATACTGCCGCATACACCACAACACCGGACCACAAGATCCAATTAACGCCGCAAGGCATTACACAGGCACGGCTAGCCGGGGCCCGCATACGCCACGTCATCGCCGGCGATGGTCCCAATTGGCGGGTGTATTTTTACGTCTCACCCTACGACCGCACTCGATCCACACTCCGGGAGATTGGACGATCCTTCTCGAAGAAGCGCGTGATTGGTGTGAGGGAAGAGTGCCGCATTCGGGAACAAGACTTCGGGAATTTTCAGGTACAGGAGCATATGAACAGTATCAAGGAGACTCGCCAACGCTTCGGTAGGTTCTACTATCGCTTCCCGGAGGGTGAGTCCGCCGCCGATGTTTTCGATCGCGTTTCCAGTACGCCCTCTTCTCTCCTCTCTTCATTTTTTCATATCTTTTCTTGTTCCACAATTGAAATTCTTGTTTGTGTTTCGTGTAAATTCAATTATTCCAATCACATCCTCAATTATGCATCTGAGACCTAAAGGGAAGCAATCAGATACCAAATGTTAAATAAAAAAAATAAAAGAGAGAGAGAGGGGGTGGTTAATTTGATGTAGATTCATTGAAGATTAAAGTATTTTAAATCATTGTACCAAAAAAATATATAGTTTAAATCAAGAAAAATAATCATCATCAATATCATCTTTATTTTTTTCAAACAAGTTTGAATCTATAGGATTATGCAAACTAAACCAAATCCATAATATTGTATTGAAAAATTATTTGTCATTTTAAAAGCAAACAAGTTTATGTTATTTTAAATGAAATTATTGTGTTTTCATAATTTTTAGACTTTTTGACTTGACAAATGCATTTTTCAAAATATTCCACCGGTTTAATTCTTTGACCAAACATATTATCGAACTAATATAGGAAGACGCATATCATGGCTACACGTTTAGTCGCGCACGTGTCAGTGCGCGTTTCATGTGATAACAAAAGTGAGACATGCACATATACCTCTAGACACGTTAGTATCAGGTGCACATCTAAACACGTCAGAACTAGGTGTGCGTCTAAACACGTCAGTACCAGGTACGTGTTTTAGTTTGTCCAGTCTGATTGTGTCAGTTCAGTCTGATCACGTCAGTGTCAGGTGCGCGTTTCAGTCCGTCTGCCACGTAATACGCGCATGTGTCAGGTGCGCGACTATACACGTAGCCATCTGATGCGCGTCTTCCTGCTTTAGTCCAGTAATACGTTTGGTCAAAGAACTAAACTGGTGGAATATTTCAAAAACGCATTAGTATAGTCAAAAAGCCAATTTTTTAGTTTCTATATCCTCCACAATACTCACTTTCTATTTCTTATTAATTTTATGGAGGAGAGAAAATATAAAAAAATTAGTTATACAAAAAAAAAAAAAATATATATATATATATATATATATATATATATATATATAAATTACCAAATATATACCAAAAAATATAGTTTCACTTAAAATAACATATTTTTTAAAATGATAAATATTTTTCTCATATTTTATAACAAAAGAGTTATGTTGCCAAAATTAAAGAAAGTACCAATCAACTTCTTCTTTTTTTATTAGTATTTGTCCTTTTAAATGATATAGAATTATGTCATTTTTATATAAACTAATGTGTTTTATGATGAGAGAAACATAAATTATGGTGGGAGGCTAAACATTTTTCCATTTTTTTTTGTCACACTAACATGGATACTCAAAACATTTTGTTAAACATGTACATTTTTTTATGGGAAAGAGCCTCACAATAAATAAGAGACATCATTATCAATATTAATACGATAAGTAATATTTTTATAACTGATTCTAATTATTTCTTTTAGGCAAATCAAATTCTGCCATTTGTTCGACTCTTTGAACCGTCTATAGAATTAATCTGAAGTTCGGGATTGGAATTGGGGATTACGATATTTCTTGTCCCTTTTCAATGTAAGATTTGGTGGGACTCGGACTATAGTTCTTATCCTCTTCACCTTGGGTATATCACAAGTAATTTGTTTCTTTACAAAGAAATCCAAAACCAGAAGATGAATTATATCTATAACTTTTAATCTTTTTTATTATTTTTTATACTTTAAGTTGACTTTTTGAAAAGCTAATTTTTAAAAGCTAATTTGACTTTTAATCTTTATAAAAAGCTATTTTTTTTTATTAAAAGCCGTGTCTTTCGTGTGTCCAACCAATCAACCATTGGTAAGTGTTGCCTGAGTTTGTATCAGTGTTAGAAGCGTGTCTCGGACTCCAACACCTCAATAAGGAGCAGTGTCTTTGCTTCGTAGGTTAGCACGAGTTAGCGTTGTTTTCTGCTCTTAAATAAATGAGTGGTCAACCACTTCTAACTTATCTAAGAACTAGTTTTTAATCATGACAAATTATGACTGAATTTTGTTAGATTTTTATCTACATAGCTATGTAGTATTTATTACTCTTAAACTAATGTCGAGCAGAGGGATGTGGTGTTAAGTTTGAGACGTCTTGTTTGCAGGTTTCCTTGAATCTCTTTGGAGGGACATTGACATGAACAGGCTTAATCATGACCCTGCCAATGATTTGAATTTGATAATTGTGTCACATGGGTTGGCATCTCGTGTTTTTCTTATGAAGTGGTTCAAGTGGACAGTTGAACAATTTGAGCTTCTGAACAATTTTGGAAACTCTGAGTTCCGCGTTATGCAATTGGGGAGTGGCGGAGAATACAGTTTGGCTGTTCATCACACAGACAAAGAATTGCTTGAATGGGGGCTTTCTCCTGATATGATAGCTGATCAGAAATGGCGAGCCCATGCTAGCAAGGGTGCATGGAATGATCAAAGTTCCTGGTATCTTGATACTTTTTTTGATCATCTTCCTGACTCTGATGATGATGGCAGTGTGGACAAAGAAGATGAAACAAGTCCTTTGAGTGTGCATTCTTAATATTTAATAACATTTACTAGACACTAGGTTGTTCATTTCTTTCTTGGGATTAAAGAAAAAAAATCTTTTCTAAAAGTAGGAAAAATTAAGAGGGAACAGGATAAGGTGATAATAGGTTGTTCCTTGCTAGGTAGCGGTTCTAATCAACTCATTCATCATCATAAAATTGACATCCAATTGGAGGTTTCAACATATGCATCTAATGAATTGATAATCTTTGATTATAGTTTGACTTAAAGCAAATGTATACGTTCCGTAGGGAACGGTTGCTTTGTGTAATGCATAATGCATGCATCCTGTATTATACGTTATGGTAGAACTTAGAAGAGCCTGCATAATCGTTTATGCAAAGAGTGCGTTGTTCGAGTTTGTACTTAGTCTGTGATCCTCAATGTTTATGAATATTGGACGCATTCATTCTGTATCGCTTGGTGTGAAAAATTATTTTGGTACTATTTATTTATTTATTTTTTGTTACATAAAGATAAGAAACTTTGTAGAGCATGGAGGTGAATCAAATTATGAGTTCATGATATCAAGTTGTTTACAAAAGAAGTTAGTTCAAGTAATACATATTTAATTTCACTTAAACAAGATTTTAGATTCAAGTTCTTGTGAATACAAAAAAATTCTTTGTAGAAAAGTTAGTACTATCATGAAATGAAAATCGCCTTCCTTGAAAAATACATTTGATTTATCGAAAAAATGATGTCAAGTTGTTACAAATTTACTGTTGAACATTTCTTGCATCATTTAATAAACAAAAATATCAAATACTTGAGAGTTCGAGATTTTTGTTTTTATTCTTTGAAATCCAACCTCTATTTTCCTTTAGAATTGATCTTTATTATTTGGAAAAGTTATTGGGTACGCACAGTGGCGAAGCCACTTGGTTGGTGGTTAGGTATCAGTTGATTTTTAAAAATGTTACATATTTTTTTAAAAAATTATAGTATAGCCTTAGTATTGATTAGGTTTTTAAATGTGATATAACATTGTCACTAGCTGAATTTTGATAATTGGATCTTTTGGTACTAGCTGGATCTTTTTTGGGGCCAGCTTGTGCGCAGGTTAGAGACCGCATGACATTACTCTGGCAATAATATTTTCCTTGTCTTTCTGACTGGTTCTTTACTAACATAGTATAGCTTCGGCCAACGTATTGCACATGGGGTCTAACTCTTGAACCAAATTTGCCCGGTTTGGTTTTCGAGTCCGACGCAGATTCCAAATTAAACGAGCAAAATTAATGGATTAGTGTGGAAAAAATAATTATATAGTCATGTTATTTAATCATTATTATTTATTGATGATGAGATAAAAGAGAAAAAAGTGTATAATTTTGATTATGATCAAATAATACATTTTTTCACTTAAAGAATCCAAATTCAAACTTTAATTGTCTTTTCTCTTCACATGAATTGGGGTTGAAGAAAATGGTGAGCGGTGTCCCATAAATGGCTTTCTTGATGCGCGTGTTCTGATCTGACCATTGAAATCGTTTCCTTAAAACAAGACATTATTAAATTCATGATAGTCGTCGAGACCAATTAATTAGTTGTCCCGGTCTTGCTACCAAATATAAGATTAGTTTTCCCACCGCGTTAATTTTCACAAGAAAACTTTTAATGGCAACGATTTTTTCAGAATATCATTCCTATGTATTGCTTATAGGTGTTATTGGTACATATTACGCGGTTTTAAGATTATGAATAGTTATTACTTCATTCTACTTTAATGACATATGGAATTTTAATTCACTATTAATCAATGCATATTAAGTCAAGAAGACTTTAAAGAGGTTAAATATTAATAAAGTTTTGGCACTCGCGTACCTATTGAAGTGTGGAGCGGCTTGGAGGAGATGAGAATAAATTGGTTGACCAATCTTTTCAATGAAATTCTTTAAACAATAAGATGCCTAATGCTTGGAGGATGAATGTGATTGTGCCTATTTACAAAAACAAGGGAGATATCCAGAATTATTGTAACTATAGAGACATTAAGCTTATGAGTCATACTGTGAAATTATGGGAAAGATTTTTTGAACATAATTAGAGGAGAGAGACCAAGGTTTCTGGAAATCAATTTGGATTTATGCCAGGAAGATGTATCACAGAAACTATTTTCTTGATACGTCAATTGATGGAAAGATATCGAAAAAAAAGAAGACAGATTTACATATGGTGTTCATGGATCTAGAGAAAGCATACAATAGGGTCCCAACATAAATTTTATGGCGGGTTCTTGAGAAGAAAAAAGTATCATCAAAGTATGTAAATGCAATCAAGGATATGTATGATGGACTACTACATGTGTGAAAGCTTATAATGAAACATCAAGTTATTAGTCTATTACAGTAGGTGTACACCAAGGTTCGGTCCTAAGTCCTTATCTCTTTGTCTTAGTGATGGATGAACTAACAAAAGACATTCAAGAGGAAGTGTCATGGTGTATCCTTTTTACATATAATATTGTGCTTATTGATGAGAACAAAGACGATATTAATAGAAAACTTGAATTGTGGAGAAGCACTTTGGAGTCTAAATGTTTCACGTTAAACCAGAGTAAGACTAAGTATATGAAGTGTGAGTTTTCTCTAGTAAAAGATAGAAATCAAGACCCCATGCATCTACTTGCATGGTCAAGAGGTACCTAAGAAAGATGCTTTCAGAGACCTTGGATCAATTTTGCAAAAACGTGGTGAGATTGATGAGGATGTAAATCATAGAATCAAAGCAGGATAAATGAAATGACGTAGTGCATCTGGGTTTTTGTGTGAGCGAAAAATTCCCCTTAAACTAAAAGGAAATTTCTATAGATTAGCCGTAAGGCCTGCAATGCTATATGAAATGTTGGCCAGCACATAGGCAACACAAGCATAAAATGGGAGTAGCAAATATGAGGATGTTAATGTGAGTGTGTGGTTATACGAAGATGGATAAGATAAAAAATGAAGATATTTGATGAAAGATAGAAGTAATACCGGTAACTGAAAAGATGAGGGAACATAGACTGAGGTGGCACGTAATTAGACGACCATGCTCCTGTAAGAACAAAAATTTGTTACCAAGAGCTCGACACAAAGAGAGGTAGAGGTAGGCCGAAACTTACCTGGGAAAAGGTAGTTAAACAAGACTTAATGGAGTGAGATATAGATTGGCGGACGGTGTGTCCTAGAACGGAATAGAGAAAAGCTATAAGCAGGGAGGAAGGTTAAAATCATTGTTATTCCTATGTTCTAGATGGTCTCTTTTTAGTCATTTTCCTCTTCAATCCCCCCTCTCCTTCTTGTCTTTTATCTTATTTCCCCTTTTCCTAATTTTTATTTATTTATTTATTTTTTATTTTATTTTATTTTTTAATCTTCTCTTATTTATCATTGGGTTCATCTATCACCAACCCCACTTAACTTGGGTTAAAGGTGCTATTGATGTTGATAATTAATTAATGGCTCCAGTGGCGTAGCCATGTTTTATTTAGGTAGGGCATGGGCCCCAGCTACATTTCAGCAAATTTTATTTATTATATATAATTATATAAGTAATTATTATTGGGCCCTAGCTAAAATTGTAACAGTGGTATTAGATGAAGATTTGGAGTTGTTTAGCGTGTGATAACATATTGCTTTCTTCTTCTTCTTTAATCTTTTTTCAATTAGGGTTTGCTTCTAACTTTTTTTTTTCTTATTCGCACTCACCACCCAGAACCCAGTCATTCTGTGACAAGATACGATGTTTCATTCCTTTCTCAATATTTAACGGATACATGTTCTTGGAATATGCATTGGTACGCTGGAAAATAATCGATTTACATTTTTGAACCTTGTAAAAGATAAATTCTTTGTCTTTGCTGACCATAGTTGTTTATTAGGTGTTTCAAACATGAGTAAAATTCATTCCTTTTTTTTTATTTACAACTTTTTTTTGTGGTTGTATTTGTTGTTTTTATTTCTTTTAAAAAATGGAGTGTTGTTTTATGTTTACCTTTTTTTTAAATTATTTTAATGTAGAGCTACAATTGCTATTGGTAATTGAATTGAATTGTTTCTTGGTGTTATTTGTATTTGATTTCACAATAAGAATTGAAATTTTAACGATTAATCAGTAGAAACTGTTAAAAAAAAAAATCAATGAAGATAAATGTATATATATGGAGTATGAAAATTTCTTGTACATTCCCATTAACAACTTCTTTATTTTTTTTGTATTCTTGAAATTTTTAAAATATTTAAACACTGTTTAAATGATTTATATGAATCTAATGTCATTTAAATGATTTTTTTAGACATTTTTTGTTTATTGTTCCATGTTTCTTTTTAGTTGTGAGGTTTGCTCTATCCCTCTACGTTGATGTTCTTCACAAGTCACAGCTAGAGGTGTAAATGGAGCCAGACTTTGGCTTTGATAGCCTAAGTCTATGTAAAATATTTAGAGCCTATATTGCCTATTAGCCTATTAAAGGCTTGATTTATGTGTCTGGCCTGACCTATTATAAAAAATTAAAAAAACCTAATATGGCCTGTAAGCCCTACCAAGTTGCAAACTAAAGTTTACAGGCCTAAGCCAAATTGAAATATAAAAGATAAAAAAATTTATTGACAAAGTTCACATGAAATAAATTTTCATTTACATCACATGAAATAATGTTCATCAAAATCACATGAAAATATTCATAAAATTCACATGAAAATTTCATATATGTATATCTACATATAATTTGCACTTTCTTTACTAATTTAATTTTATATTTTAAATAAATATTTATTATTTGTTAAAATAGCATCAATCCTATTATTTTGAAAATTATTGTTACAAATCATGATCTCAAAATATATCTTTAAGTGAATAATATATGAAAAAATTATTTTTCATTTTAAATGACATAAAGTTATGCCATTCTAAGAGAGAGATAGACATAAAATAATATTTTTTATTTAAAATTTAAATTAAAAAAATCACACACTTTTTCTACCATAATTTTTATTCCTGTGTCTATTTCTTTCTTAAAATGACATACATTATATTATTTAAAGTGACAAATATTAAACCCATAATATATATCATAAATATATTATATTATTAAAAAAATTAAAAAGTTAGTCCAAAAATATATCAAATTTTTTGTAATAAATTTTTATAATTATGATAAATATTTTAATAATTTAATTTATCACATTTTTTGGCCCATTAAAATTAAATCATGGCTCCGCCATCTCCTTGATATTGAGAAGAATATTCGTTTTGTTAACCCTGAAAATTTAGCAACACCTGCACGTGCACCCTTGACATGTGGAAGATATCTATAGGGCAAGAAAGAATCTCTCTGTTGAGTGTTCCTAAATTACAGGGTATATACCGTTGTTTTAAGATGACACACAATTTGAATTGTAATCACTTGATAGTTGAGATTGAATCTGAGAGTAGCAAACGGCAACTTATGAGACCATACGATATAACAGGCCCTGCCCAGAGTAATTGAATTTCGAATCCTATGTGAATGGATAGATATATCTTATTGGCTGAGCCAACGATTCAAAATGTCAAGATTATGTTCTTAAACAAACTCAATCATTAAAGTAACCCTTTGATTACCCGAAAGCCCGAGGACTCTTTTTCTTTCTCACCCTCACTTTCGTAATGCAAAATTCTCCCCCATTCTTCTGCAACAAATTCACATTTTGCAAATCCTATAAAAACATCACCTTTACACTTTATCGGGATCTGGTTATCTTTTTATTTTTCCTGAAAGACAAAGTAGAGATTGCCTTCCACTCACATTAAAAGCCTGAAAAAAAAATTGTGATCTGTGAAGCTGAGTGTTGTGTTTTACAGTCAAATTCAGCTTGTATGACTTGATCCTTTAAGCATACCCTACTATTTGGAAAAATCTCCAGTTGTGTTAAAGATGCTCTCTCAATACCTTTATTTCAGAGCACCCAACAAATGTTCCTAACTTTGTAAGATTGTTCCTACTCAACAGTTACTTGAACAATGAGGGTGTTGAGGGTTCATTCACTAAATCAAAGGCTTTGTCCTTACCGTGTTTTGAGGTGGGTTTTGGTTTGGATGATTGTTTGTTTCCTTGTTTGGCGGATGAAGGAAAGCGCATCTTCTCAATCTCCATGTCCTCCATGTGATTGTTATTGTTCTTCAACGGAATATCCCCTTGATCCTTTGGGTGAGTTTCATTTTTTTTTCTTCGGTTCCTCTGAAAAATATCAAACTTGGTTTTGACGTGTAAAAAGAAACAAATTTGATTAGATGTACTGATGATAAAGTAACCCTTGTGTGCTTAAAAATGGAAAAAGTATGTGCACATGGAAAAGCTCTCTCAAGTAGTTAGCATTTACTACATTTATTTGTCATTTGCCTGTGCTCAGAGCCACTACCGGCTTGGGCCAGTAGCTATCTGAAGTTCCCACCTTTGCAAAAACTTGCAGCAGAGAAACTGACTTCTGCACGTTGTAGCTTTATTTTATTTTACTAGAAGCATATAAAGAATTAGAACTTTGTTTTTTTTAATGTATGTAGCCAAAGTTTTCCCATTGTGGTTATTCAGTTCATACATATTTGGTTTAGATTTATAATTAGTGATCTTGCAATCTTGGATCTACTTTTGATCTTAAAAGTGAAGGAGGAAGTTGGGGCATTTAGCTTAGTTGATATCAGGTCAACTGCAACGAGTGTATCTAGACACGGTGGGAGTATGAAGATTGAAGGTTACACCTACGGGGATTAGCTTCCAGCTTTAGTTATCCTTAATATAAAATTGAGAAAATGTTTCACTTAAAATCTTCGCATTTACTGCCTTGATAGTTTCGTTTGTTTAGCTATTTGGCAAGTTAACTTTGTGCAGCATATTGTGTCTCGTATTCACCTTCTTTGATACATTGGTTTATTTATCAATCATGTTCACTATTTTGCAGGACTTGTCAATGATTCAATTAACGGTAAATTTATTTCTTTTGCATCTCCGATTGTTGAAACGTTTCACAAAATCAACTGTTTTAAGCTTCTTATTGCATGAAGAACTTGAGAGCAGACATCCCTCTGCATTTAGAAAAAAGCAACAGAAGAAACTTTAATAATTTTTAAGACAATGTCGAGTCTCCTTGGAACTCATTCATTCAGTTCTAAGAGAGTTAAGGATTTAATGATTTAAGAAACTCTAGAATTTCCATGAGGAAAGTCAGTTGCATTTGGTTTTGATGTGGACCTGAGTGTATTTTCAAAAAATAAGATTAGATTTGATTGCTTTTTTGCTACATCCGTACTTCTCATCACAAATTCATGTAAAACCATTACAGACATCACTCGATATTCAATTGTTTGTTGTCACGACAGAAAAGAACATTATTTATTTTTACTATATGTGCAGATTGTGGTAAACATGATTCGGATATGAATGAGGAAATGAATAAGGATCTATTGACATTGCTATCTGAAGAGCTAAATTTGCAGAAAATTGTAGCCAATGAGACATTGGAACACACCAAAAGATTAGTATTGGAAGCCAGGAAAACCATTTCACATTACAAAAAGGAAGCAGAAAAGTGCAACGCCGGAGTGGGAACTTGTGAAGAAGCAAGGGAGAGGGCAGAGGCAGAGCTTATTAAAGAGCGCAGGCTGACAGCATTATGGGAAAACCTAGCACGTGAATATGGGTGGGAGGAAGAACACGCTTGACAAGTTAACTATCAGTACATTATGTGAACGCTTCATTGTAACATAACTTTTATATCCAATGCATAGAGGTCCCGTGATGATTTTAACCAAGTCTGCTATGCCTTTGAAACTAATTTAGCGCCGTGCTTCAATTATAATGAGATAACGTGTTGATCCTTGTTTTCCTAATCTCTACACTGCCCGCGTTTTACTAACCTCTTTATAATAAGCAACCTAGACCCAAAATGGGTTGTTCCAGTGGTGGGTGGCTAGGTTCCAGGACATACCCTCGCTGATGGAGTGAGAAAGGTTCGATTCCTGGAGTCGTTCATTTAGGGAGGGCTTTACCGTAAACAATCTCTTGGTCCGGAGTGGTTGCATATTATGTTATCATTTTTAATATCAAAAAAATAAAATAAAAAATAAGTGACCTAGGTCTCAAACTACAGGGCACTACCTCAAAAAAAAAATTCCGAAAAAATTATCACTAATTACGGCACAACTAAAATAACATTGCCAATGCTTTTCGAGTGCAAAACTATTGTCTGCATGTTGTTACTTATCATTTGTAGCAAATGATAGTCTAAGATCCAAAATACTGATGGAAAATAGTGCATTAAGTTCACTTATGAAGGTGAATGGTTGCCTGGCCACTAAAGTAAAAAAAAAAAAAAAAAAAAACAGAAAAGGAATAGTAACGCACTTATTTGACACTACTAATTTTACTTCCCCGTATAGGTACTCTAGATTGGGGATATCTCAATTGATTTTTTATTTTTAGTTTTAGTTTTATGATATATCCTTGTTGGATTATTCAAGTGAGATGAATCTCATATTGATTGGTAATGAATTAAGTGAAATGTATATAAGTGAATAAACTCATGAACACAATGCCTTAAGATTTTGAATTGAGATATGATGTTAGATCCGCTTGTTACGGTTAGCGTAACCTTAACTCATTGGTAGTGATCTTTTACGAAAGAGTCTTCCTAAACCCAGCTGACATGAATTATATGAGATAATATTTTTTTCAATAGAAGAAGTTTGACCCCACCCTCCACACTTTGATTTTTTATTGTTTTTTTTTTTAGTTTAATAATACACCATATCAACTATATGAGATAACATTCTTGGAAAGCTTGACAACCCGTCTAGTTTTATGAGGGTGAATGGTTGCCTCACCACTAAAGTCAAGAAAAGGAATAGTCACACTTTTTCCACACTCTTAATTTTACTTTCCCATCTAACTACTCTAGGTTCGGGGTAGGTCCCTGGAAAAGTTATAGACACCTTTCCACATTTTAATTTTTTATTTTTTATTTTAGTTTTATGATATATCCTATCAACTATACGAGATAACATTCTTCCAACAGAAGAAGTTTGACCCCACCCTCCACACTTCGAATTTTTACAAAATAAAAATAAAAATAAATACTATTTGATTTTTCTTCTTAACTCTTCTTTATTAGTGGATAAAATCCCATTTGACTATACTAAAAACTCAAGTTATTCAATAGTATAAACATGAAATTTCATCCAATAATAAAAAGAGTGTCGAAAAGAAAATGTCAAAAAGTATATTACTAGCATTTCTTAAGTCATGACGCATGCCTCGCTTGGAGCCGCTTATCTGATGATATGAGCTCTGCTTGTTCGAGGAGGGGTCTGTCCTGTCATTCAAAATTCCCTGCTCAAATCATTTCCTTGCTTAAACAGCTTACTCTACTTACCCATGCTTTCTTGGCAATCAAGAAGGACCTTTTTGTGTGTGTGTGTGTGTGTTTGATTGGGGGGGCGGTAGAATATGAGAAACAAAATTCCCATCAAACTGCCTTTCAATGACAACGAACAGGTTTGAACAGTTCATCAATCTTTATTGGTTAGAATGAAACAGGTTGTTGAGTTCAATTAAGAAAGCATTGGCAAATTATATAACTATACAAAATCCCATGGGAAAAAGCAAAGGAAACAACGTGGCCTCACCTCTTCTTTCACTTTTTGAGGAGGCAGAATAAAATCAGTAGTTTTATTTGATAACATGTAAACCATCACCTACGTAATACGTAATCTTTTGAATTATCATGGTAACTTAAGGGGTTAGCTCCATCAAGTCATGTATACACTATCTAATACCGCAAAACCAGCTGCAACCCCACCTTCATCTGATGATGATATTTTTGTACGCATCAAATAGCCACTTTGGTTATTCATGATAACGGTATCCTTGTTCCTGCAAATTCCAGTCCGTGGATGTCAAGCGTTATACAAAATTAAGCACGGAACTGTGATAGGAATGTAGCAGAGCAATGTACCTTAAATAAGTACCAAATATCCCAAGTTCTGAAATGGCATGATCCTTATGCCAACAACCATTCCGCATCAAAACTGCTGCAGAAATTTTCGGAAATATCCTCTGCATAAGGATGTAAGCTGCATCTTCTTGAGAACCTGCTTTCTGCAATTTTAGGAGGGTTTCCCTCACAGCATCACCATAAATATTGTTTCCTGAAAAGTTAAACAGCTCAACAGGTAAGTTTCCCTCCCTCTCTTCTTTCTATTTTTTTCAACAGTCAGAAAGGGCAGAAGGTTGAATCAAATTTTAGTTGGTATACGACCTCCTCCTTCTCTTTGGGGTTTCATCACAAATAACTCTGGCTTTTCAATCGCTTTTCTAGTCATATCTGAGTCGTCCAAACTCCACAATCCTGCAAAGCATTGACGCAGTTTGGCAATATCATCTTTGTTTTCAAGGAACCTGCTTGCAGTTTTAACTCAAGGAATTAGGAAAGATATATCAACCAGAGAAACAAACTATGATTATCCAAAATATACAAATTAATCATAGAACTACTTGTTTCCAGAGATAAAAATCCAAGGGTGGTGAAATGTTATACTTTGGTTTCTGAACGTGTTTAGTACATGATAAACTTGTAATTCCTTAAACCAAATAAGAAGTATGAGTGTAGTTAAGAGGAAACATAAGCATTTCATCCATCATCCAGAAATTTTTCTTTCTGAGACATCAGCCCCACATTTCTTTCTTTCAATTTTTTTTATTTTTTTGGGGGGACGAGGAAAGCCAATCAATTCAGGCCTCCCTATGCTAATTTTCTCGGTAACCTACAAACTCCCCGATCAAAATATAATCTTTCCAACAGCCACTCTAGGAAAACTTTTGAATCTATCCTAAGCACATTGAAACCATGACTTCTTCCTACTGGTTTCCTCTTTCATCAAAACCTTAGCGAATTCATTCTTAGGATTAGCTTTGCAGACAACATGAGTTACTGATAAGAAACTATTTCTTCCAATCCTACATTTTGATCAAAAACCTCACGATTCCAAACCTTTAACTTACCCCTTAACAAACTTAAATTTAATCGCAAAATTATAAGCATCCCATGTTCCTAACCATTAACCATGCATTCTTGCTACCATTGGCCAACCAAAGACATTAAAGAATGATGTTGCAGGTTGCAGCCACATTCTCAAACCTATAAAGCATAGGATCCCACTGAATTGAATTAGGTTCTAACAAGAGAGGAAAATGATCCAAAACTGGATGATATAAACCTTTTTGAATTTAAGCAAAAAAGGAGTCCTACCAAGCATTTTAAACCAAAACCTACCAATCCTAGAGGGTACAACCATACCATGATTAACCAACTAAGCAAAGGCACGGATTGGAGGGCGGAAGAACCTGAAGGATAAGTTCACTTCACATGAAAACTCACTCACAATTGTCCATTATACACTTATCTCTTAAAATCATACTGCTTTCAAAGCATGAAGGATGATATTTAGCTTGGAAGATATGAAGAATATTAATTAGCTAGAAGATACCTCTCAAGAACACCAGGCTTTGAAAGTTCCTGTTGAATCTTCTTGGTGCCAACCAAATGATAAGATATTGAGGGGCATTTAATAGCAGAAGATTGTTCCATCAGTAGCCTAGCACTCCATTCCTACATATTGAGCAGGATATACCCAAACCATAAGAACTCATTGTCAAAATAGAAGGCTCACTAATATTACAAGATAATGAAACTGTAGCACAAAACAATATTATGGTAGAAGATAATCCATGGAATAGAAAGAATGAGGTAGGGAAGAAGAAAAGTATATCAAATCATGTTAATTTAAGCAAAAGTAACCTAAATGTACAAAAAGTAAAATGATAGAGAAAGTCTTTATATAGTGAAGTCAAGAAAAACCAATGTTATGCTGACCAATCACTAATAAATTTTGCTGATGGAAGCCAACTGTTTTGGGGCCCAAATTCAATATCATTTATCTTCATAAAGAATTCGACATTTGTAGGACCTAAAAATATAGCTCCAAAGCTGCCAAGACACCTCAAAAAGCTAAAAAGGGATTGATTACACATTCAATGTTCTACCTGACCTTATCCCCAAAATCGCATCATTTTGTGATTTTTTTTTATAAAAAAAACCATGAAATAGTATTCCAATTAAACTAATTAAATTCATAAGAGTTTCATATTTAAGTAGGTACGTTTTATTTTTAGTTTTGGTAGTGGATTTCCATGAAATACTAATTAGTCTCTCTATAGCATAGGCAAACATATAGGTGTCTGATAAGTTAGAAAGGATGTTGACCTCTCTGGCCATGCTGACTTAATTTGACAGGCAGTTTACAACTCCTCTTATAATGTAAATCATAAAAGAAGCTCGGTTAGCACATAGGGTAATCAAATGTTTATTGACAATACAATACCATTTCCTAACAAGTATAAGTGAGACATTCTTTTTGCCAGAGGTCATACCAGGTTCAGTGGGCTACCCTGTCCTAATATTTGAGAAAAAGACAAAAGATGGTTCCATAATCCATATTGGAAAAATGCAGTTCTTATGAGCAGCTAAAAACTAAATTCAAGTCTCTCACTGATTCTGAAGGATAGTCAACTGGTGCATAGCCAGCCCGGAAGTAAATGACAGCAATTGCTTGTCCATCCCTGCAAGTGCCAAGAAATTATATTTCTCTACAGTCAGAAACAAAATGTAAGTAAGCCAAAACCTCTAGCAGAAAGTTAGTTTTTCATAGCTAAAGGCTACATACACAGTAAGTGTTCCATCTGGTAGAATTACTCCTCCTTGATCAACTTCTGCCATCGTTTTTCGTATGGTTGTAATATGATGCGTGTTATAAAGCTGAGGATAATAACAACCCAAGCATGTACCAAGTATAAAAACAATAGTAATTTTCTTTACACAAGAACACCCCTTTATATCCTTTGGTATAACATTTGATAGCCCTAATTATAAAAATGAAAGAGTCTGCTCCACTAGATGGGAAAAAAGTGAACGTTTTTCCTTTTTTATTATAATTATAACTACTAAGAAAAGGATATCTTTCTCTAAGAACTGCAGAAAGAAAATGCTGGTCGTACATGTTTCGTTCTTCAGCCTGAACCACAAACATAATCCCAGCCCTGTATGGATCCATTCAGAAGTATAGCATAGAACCAAAAGCAGCAGCAGAAGAAAGTGAAAAGGAATTTTTTTTCTCTAACCGACCTGGGATTATTATACTCATTCCAAGCTTTAGCCAAGGCCTCAGAATTCTGACTGACAGCAGGATTGGCTGGAACCCTATTGGAATCTAGTCCAAGCAATTTTCCATAGTGAGAAAGTATGTTCCTGGAAAATGAGCAACTAATATAAAGATACCTCTTCATAATAAATTTTTCTTCAAATGAAAATATACCACCTGAGTTCATATGAATAATTTCAATCTGGATAAATATATATTAACATCTAAGCACCTATTTTATAATCTCCAAATAAACTTTGATTTCTAACCACTTAAAAACTTCAAAAGTATCCATAAACATACATACATCTGTATCAATAATGAGAGATCAGACATTTAACTTAAATAAACTCATAGCTGCAATGAAACAAAGACCTCAAAACATCATTTAAAGATTATAAACTAAAGATAATAGTATAATACACGTAATTTATAGCAGCACTTACCTATGAAGTTCGGTCACAAGACTCCCAAGACCAGCAAATGAAGAGGAAATAGTGTTCAGCTCTATTTGCAAAAGTGACTTAGTCTTTTCATCAAGCATATAATCTGATCGATGTAGTCCCAAGCGTATTTCCTATTAAAATTATGGCATGGGCAAAAATAATATCAGTAAATCCCTTAACTTTAAATATTTACCCTCTTTTGCTAAAGATAATTAATTACATTTAGGATTTCTGTTTTCTTAGTAACATTTTGTTTAAAACAAACATGTAGTCATGTTCTAAACTAATTCCACTGTGTCTCTCACAACTATAATATGTGTTGGAAATGGAATAACAAGAATAGATCAAGTACAATAGAAGAAGAACTTTTACTATATCAAAATTACACTCAAGAATAAAATATTACATACTAATTCTATTTGTATTTCTCACAAATCTTTCTTCTTTTTGTCTCACAAGTGTTTCAACACTTTCTTTTCTCACACTTAGGACTCGTTTGGATGAGTGTTTTTTTTAGCTAAACGCTGCTTCTTTTATAGAAAAAAAGTACTTGTACTACAAAGTCCGTTTGGATGTCTGCTTTAAAATGAAGTAGAAGTCAAAAGTCAAATATTTTTTTTCAAAAACCAAATAATTTTTAAAAAAAATCGAAATAACTTCAGCTTTTGTAAAAAGCACTTCTAAAATAAGTAAGGCATAAAAAGTCATTTTTTTACAAGCCCATCCAAACAAGATAACATTTCCAACTCATCATGACTTGGTAATGGATAAAACTCAAGAAAGATTTGGCTTCCAAACTCTTCTAGATTCTTCAAGAATGGCAATGGAGAAAGTGCAGCCCTCAACTTTTGAAAACTCAAGATACTTCTAGTTGACTAGTTTGGTGATGGACAAATTCGAATTGAATTTGAATTCTTTGATGGTGGGAAGGAAGTAGAAGCAAAATTGAGTTTGAATTCTAATACAAGAATAAAATTAGATCTTATGAAATAATATTTCAAACAACTGTAAGTCATTTTGATCATATAACATAGCTAGCATCAGCACTAAAACTGATCCTCTCATAATACTCTTGGTACATATGTCCTACTGATATAAGCTTACCTCTTTTTTGTTAATCTCTAGCATTTTGGAATGAATATCCAAAAGTCTAGAGGTAAATTCGTCCGCTTTCTTTGTTCTGCATGGAGATGAACAGAGACACATTATATATTTATATCCAGTTAAAAGCATAAACTAAACTGAGTTAAAAAAATCAAGTTGATCCACCTGATTCAAAATATAACAACAGGCAATTACAGATTTTGCAACTAGCTTACCTGGAGAGAGCTTCCTGTAGAAATTTTCCATCCAAACTGACCCGATCAACAAGTTCATTAAACAAAGGGGCTAAGTCACACGCTTGCCTCCAATGACTTTCAGGAAATGACGTGGGTAATAAGGCAAACGGAGCATGCATCAAGCCCACACCAGGAACGGTTCCGGATCTCTATAATTAAAAACACATTCAAATAACGTACTAAAAAAAAAAAAAAAACACATTCAAATTCTTAACAAGGTATCCATATAAAGAAGAACAATCACCAATATGTCAAAGCCTAACATACTTCTAAAACTGATATCATACCAAGACAGAGAATAATCCACAATTTAGGCCAGCAAATAAGCGACGTCGACGATGATGATGATGATGATAATAATAATAATAATAAAAAGCAGTACTAGAAGAGTGACCTGAACAGATTTATCAGCAACGAGGAGGCCATGAAGAGAGCTCCAAACAAGAGCATCGTAAGAGATATTTTGCAGCAGTTTATGATCAATGGTATGATGATCGAAGATGGAGGACTGACCCACCTCTTCAACATTCGCAGAACTCATTGTCAGATGATGAGACATGAGTTTCAGAGGTTTGGCGGAAGAGAAAGAGAATGATTGTGATTGGTGGCGGAAAGTGGAAGAGAAAGACAAAGAGGGAGAAGTGTGAGTGAAAGGACACAAGTGAAAGTGCCTGGTCCCAGAACAAGCGAAGATGCCAGAACCACCCGGACCCATTCTGACTCCTTTTTTTTTTGTCTTTCCCGCACTGTCCTTATATGTTCATTTTTTTTTTTTTTTTTGAGTTACCCAATCTTAATTATTTCTTTGAGACGAGTTGGCTCCCTCCGGTATCCCCATGAGCTTCGACTCTTTGAGCCGGATATGGGACTAATCCGGAGTGCGGGGGAACAGTGATGGCTAAATGTTCATTCTTTTATGCTTCCAAGTTGAGCTGAGTATTCAAAAAAAAAAAAAAAAAAATGAGCTGACATCATTCATTGCGGCTTAATAAGTTCCTAGGGTTATGATTGTTTATTAAGAGCATATAAGCAATTTTTTTTAAGTTATAATCTATTTATAAGTTAAAGTTAAAAAAAAAAGTTTAAAATTGATTGGTGATTATATAAAAAATTTAGCTTTAAAGTTACTTAAAAAAACATATTTCAAGAAGAAAACTCTCTCTATATTTTTTTTTTGTATGCACTCTCTCTATATCTTTATAACTCTTTATTTAAAAATATATATATAATTTAAGAAAAGCTTAAAAAAAACTCCTGCTTTTGGCTTTTAGCTTTTTTTATTATAAAAAAAAAAAGCTTTTTATTATAAGAACTTTTTCTCAAAACTTATTTGGTCTATTTTCTGTTTATAAGTAGCTTCTAGCTTAAAAAAGCGAGAATTCAAATAGGCACTAAATAAAATAATAAACCAAAATTTATAATTTATTATAAGGTAAAGTATTTCTCCAGTCACAAAAGATAAGTTATCTCGAGTGATCTCAAAACAATGTCGTATTGAACCAATGAAGAGTGTTTTCACCATTTTAGAGGAATTAATGAAGGATGTTTCGGTAAAATTCATGTGATAAAAAAATAAACAAAATTATGAAAACATCCTTCATTAATTCAATATAACGTAATTTTCATAATTATTGGAGATAACTTATCTCTAGAGAAATATTTTACCCTTTATTATGTGTGAAAAGTGTGTGTCATTTTAAAGGATATAAAGTTATGTCATTTTAAGTGAGAAAAAGAGATAGATCATGAGGAAGAGTGGACAAAAAAAAATGTGTGAGTCTCTATTATTTGTGAGAGTGAAATGACACAAGTCCACTCTAAAAAAAAAATGACACAAGTCATGTCATTTAAAAGGACAAACACATCTTTTCCTTATTATATATGTATATGTTTAGGATTTGAATCCTCTTTGTGAGCAAGTAATCATATGATCATATTATTTAATCACGAGTACTCGTTTTGATTTTACGAAAAAATATAATAAATGATGGCGGATCGCGGATGTGACATCGTAGAGCAAAAGGCCCCAACTAGAACAAAACCCTCTCCTTAAAATAGTCAAAATCTCCATATTTTAAAAATAATTTTCCTAAAAAAAAAACCCAGCTTACATTGTCGAATCAAACTGTGACCTGACCACGACTACAGCAAGAGCGTGAGATCTACTCCCACCGCAAACAAAGGAAAAAAGAAAGACGACGAAGATGGAAGTCAGCGTTACAATTTTGAGAAAAAAATTCAAAAAATTTCTTATGATTTTGTTTTGAATTATTTGTTTTTTTTTTATGTTTTTTTTAAAGAAACAATTCTTTTCTATTTCTGTGCCTTGGAACAATTTCTGAAAACAAAAATGTATTTGATAACATGTTTTATTTTTTGGTAAAGGATTTCACCTGTCATCGGAGATAAAGTTATCTCCAGTGACTCAAAACGACGTCGTTTTGAGACGAAAATCGAGGTATTTTTGTAATTATAATATATTGCAGGGTTATGTTAGTCTTTGTAATTATAATTTTTTAATCTTATAACCCCAAAACGACGTCGTTTTGAGCTCACTGGAGATAACTTTATCTCCGGTGACTGGAGAAATACTTTTATTCCGAGAATGAGAATTGTGTTTGATAAACACACCAAATAATAAAATAAAAAATCATTTCTATTAAACATAAATTTTTTTCGGATCGTCACTTTCCTTTTCATATGGTGTGGTGGTAGTGGCGGCGGCGGCGGTGATTGTAGTAGTGGCGTTGTGGAGGAGGCGGCAGTAACGGTGGCGTCATGGTGGTGGTGGAGGAGGTGATGACATGGTGGTGGCAGCGGTGACAATAATGGTGATGACATGGTAGCGGCGACGGTAATGGTGACAGCTATGGCGGTGGTAATGGTGACAGCTATGGCGGTGGTAATGGTGGTGTTGGTGGTGTGGTGGTGATGACGATAGTAGCTGTGGCGATAATGGTGATGATGGTGGCGGTGATGGTAATGATAATAGCGGTGACGGTGATGGTAGTGGTGGTGACAGTAGTGGCCGCAGCGATGGTGATGGTGGCGATGGTGACGACATGGTGGTGGTGGCGGTGGTGATGGTAGTGGCGGAGGCAATAACATGATAATGGTAGTTGTGGCAGCGGCGGTAATGGTGGCATAGTGGCGGCGGTGGCGGTAGTGGTGATGGTGGTGGTGACGACAGTGTTTGCGACGATGGTGATGATGACGACATGGTGGTGGTAGTGGCATGACGGTGGTGTAGTGGTGGCGGTGGCCGTGGCAGTGGCATGATAATGGTAATGGTGACGGCAGCGGTGTCTATGACGATGGTGATGGAGATGACATGGTGGCGATGGTGGTGGTAATGATGGTGGCAGCAATGACGTACTGGTGGTGTGGTGGTGATGGCAGTGGCTACGATGATGGTGGTGGTGGTGGTTGGTGACAGTGATGGTAGTAGTGGTGGTCGTACGACAATGGTAGCGGTGGTCGTGTCGGGATGGTGGTGGTGGTGGTGGTACGACGATGGTAACGGTAGTCGTGTCGGGATAGTGGTGGCGGTGGTGATGATGGTAGTGGTTAGAGCTGGGAAAATGGGCTGAGCACGCCGGGCCGGCCCGCCTGCCAAACGGAGCAGGGCGGGTTGAGTTTCTCAAATCCGTTTCCCGCCAGCCCGCCCGAGCTTTTTTTTTTTTTTTTTAATTTTTGGTGTAAAATGTCACGGGCTTGGCGGGCTGAGATATCTAGCCCATCTTCGAAGGCGGGGCGGGCAGCCTGCTTTGCCACCGTGGTGGAGAGTAATTGAGAGAGATAAGTGTTTCTCATTTTGTGCCCAGGAATAAAAAAACAAAAAAAAATTATTCTTTTTTCTGTTCACTAGCACAAGAAATAAATCGGTTCATCCCGGGAACAAAAAAATAAATCAATTTTACGAAACGAGTTTTTTATCCACTTCTGTTCCCGGTAAAATAAATTAAAAAAAAAAATTGATTCTGGAAAAGTTGTCATGCACACCTTTAACTGTAAGTATAAAAAAAGTGTTATAGAAATTCAGTTGTGATAGTAATTCATTTGTCGCGTGAGAGCTGAGAAGATAGGATAAAAATGTGTATTTGAGAGAAATTTCCATCCCGGTAACATAAATTTCCATCCAACAAATTTAGAATTAAGATTTTAAATTTCTCTCAAATACACATTTTTATCCTATCTTCTCAACTCTCACGCGACAACTGAATTACTATCATTACTATTTTTGTCCTTTTGTCGTATTAATAATACTTTTATCTTCTTATAGTTAGTAAGAAGTTAGTCCCTCTTTCCAAAAAAGAGTGTTATAGAAATTCTTTTTAACAGTTTTTTTTTTAGCCATAAATTTTAGAATATCTAAGACACTTTAATTTTCTCCTCTTAAACCAACACATTAGATAATTATTTAACAAATATAATACTATGAAAGAGTTCAACACTTTTAAAAAAAATTGATTCCCGGTAACATAATTTTCTTCATTCAAACTCATCTTTAACTTTGTTAAATTTAATTAATTTGTTTATATTACCTTTCCCAAAAAAAGAAAATAGACTGAGAAAAAAAAATATATAATAAAAAATAAGACCTAAATATTAGAAACTTACGACACTCATATAAAAATGAAAAGAAAAAACTAAATAGGTATGAATCAAAAAGAAAAAAATAAACTGAGCTCAAAAAAAGAAAAGAAAAATAATAGCAAATATAATAAAGAATTTATAATAATAACAGAAAAAAGAAGAAGAAAAATTATCTAAATCAAAAAGAAGAAAATAGAATAAAAACTAAACAGAAAGAGAAAAAAAGATCAAATATGTTTAAATCAAAAAAGAAGAAAATAAACTGAGCAAAAAAAAATAGAAGAAAAATAAGACAAAATATGTTAAAAACTTACAAAATTAATTTACTTTTCTTCTATTTCTTGTTTTTTTATTTTTTTCTATTTCTTTTAATAGTGATAAAAAGACTAAAAATGAAAATAAAATAAAAAACTAAATCAAAAAGAAGAAAATAATTCGAGGAAAAAAATAAAATAAAAAATAAGACCTACTATATTAAAAATTTAAAATATTAATTTTTATTTTATTTTATCTTATTTTATCTTTTATTTCTTTTTGTCTCAAATCTATTTTTTTATTGAAATTATTTTCATTTCTTTACTTCTAGTCTTTTGTGTTACTATTCAATCAAATGATATTGAACGTATTTTTCATCTCTTTTTGAGAAACAAGCGGACTATTTCTTTGCAAAATTGTGCTCATTTTCAAATGTGACAATTCCGCCAAAATCTCTTTTTTTGTTAGGGGAAGAATTTCCATCCAACTTACAGTTGTAAGTTTTAATATATTTAATATTATTTTTCTTTTATTTTTTTATCCTGTGTCTGTTTTTTCTTCTTCTTGATTTAGATATATTTGATTTTTTTCTTCTATTTTTATTTTTTTACTTTTAATTTTTTTTATAAATATTATAATCTTTTCAACATATTTAATTTTATTTTTTCTTCAATTGGTTTGGCTACATGAGTATAAAAAAAGATGTGTCCAGGTTCAATGAGCCTTGGTTTCTCCCACCGCATCTACAACGTTGCTGTATAGCTGATGCATTTGCTTTGCTTGCTTCTTCTTTTTTAATAAACTAAATATTCCAATACAAATTTAGAATTAAGATTTTAAATTTCTCTCAAATACACATTTTTATCCTATCTTCTCAGCTCTCATGCGACAACTGAATTACTATCATTACTATTTTTGTCCTTTTGTCGTATTAATAATACTTTTATCTTCTTATAGTTAGTAAGAAGTTAATCCCTCCTTCCAAAAAAGAGTGTTATAGAAATTCTTTTTAACAGTTTTTTTTTAGCCATAAATTTTAGAATATCTAAGACACTTTAATTTTCTCCTCTTAAACCAACACATTAGATAATTATTTAACAAATATAATACTATGAAAGAGTTCAACACTTTTAAAAAGAAGTATAAAAGTCAATGAATTTTTCTTTTTATAAGAAAAATGGGTGATGACTTGGTGCTTAAGTTTGAGGAATGCAATTCTTGTTTGGCTCAAATTTTGTTATTGTAACCTTATCTTGTTATTTTTTTATCCATTTGGATTAGGCTGTTGATACTTGACGGATAAGTTCTTATTTCTTGATTTGAATTTGAAAATATTATTTCCTTGATTTTTAAAAAGTCTTTGGGTGTGTTTGAATATGTTTTTGTTTTTTTGTTTTTGAAAACTGTTTTGAGAATGAAGTTTGAAAACTGATTTTGAGAGTAAAAAAATAATAAAACTTGTTTGAATATGGTTAGTTTTTTTTTTTTTTTATAACAGAATATGGTTAGTTTTAAAGTTATAAAGAAGTTGTAGTTATTTACAAAAATGTCATTAATAAATCCTCATATTTACAAAATTGCCACCGCAAAATAATTTAAAATAAAATAAAAATCGATTTAATTATCAAAATGCCATTAATGAATCCCCTTAATTACAAAAACACCCTGGAGCTGTTTTACTTTTTCTGTTTCTAAAACAACAAAACAGAAACGATTTTAAAAACAAGAAGCGTGAAAACAGTGTTGTCAAACAAGTTTTTTTTTTTAAAAAAAACAAAAAACTGTTTTACAAAACAGTTATCAAGCAGACCCTTTATCTTTTGCTTTCTGGTGAGTTATCTTTTGGTTCAGAACCATAACAAACTTTTGAATTTGAAATTGAAAACCTTATTTTCTCGTTCCCGCGTCCTTGTAATTGTGTTGTCGTGATTATTATAGCATTATTTTTCGCGTAATGAATTCTGTCAGTTTTTTTTCTACAGCATTCGAGCATCTTCTTTTTTTTTTTTTTTTGATAACATGAGCATCTTCTTTTTCTGCAAAACAAAATACTCAACTAGACATCCATTCTTACATAAAATCAAGGTTATTTATCATATTTTTCATACTTTGTAATAAAGCACTTAATTATAAATATAGAATATTAAGCTCAAATATCATGCAATTAAGACAACTTATATGAAATATATACAATTAATTCATCATAAAGCCCTATCTTAACTCTCTTTTGGGAGAGTTAACACACCCTCAACTCAAAATATTGCTCGTTCTCAAGTAGCAAAGAAAAATGATTAATTAGCCTACATAAATTTGGTAGCATAATTGCAACAATGGCTACTCTAAAACGAGCAGTTCTAATGTAATATTCCAACAATAATATTTACGTGAGAGTTGCTCCTCAACTTTTGTATACACTTCAACTTTAGAACTCCTTGTTAGCGTAATTTCTGTTGGCTTCTTGCTTTGTAACATTGAGTGTGTGTGTGAAGAACTTCTTTGTTAACTTGATCCACTTAGGAGCTTCAAACTAAGAATCATAAGGCTTAATTGCATGATCCACCTTGCTTTATTTTTTATTTCAAGTGTGGGGATGTTGGGAGTGCAGCACGAGTGTTTGATGAAATAGCTGAAAGGGATGTTTTTTCGTTGATTTCGATGATATCCGTGTATGTGCATAATGGGTTGCTGGAAAAGGCTATGAAGGTGTTGGGGTTTATGAGATTGGATGGATGTGAACCTGATGTTGTCACTTGGAATACTGTGATGGATGCTTATTGTAGGATGAGACTCTGTAGTGAGGCCTCAAGGGTTTTTGAACAAATTAAGGATACTAATGTTATCCCATGGACAACCTTAATCTCAGGTTACTCCAATGTTGGGAGGCATGATGTTTGTTTGGGAATTTTCGAAAATGGTAAATGCTAGAATGCTTTTCCCTGATGGGGATGCTCTTTCCGGTATCCTTGCGTCTTATCGGTCAAGTGGGAAGGAAATCCATGGTTATGGTCTCAAAATCATATCTGTGAATGCATTTTACAAATCTGCTGGTGCTGCCTTGTTGACATTGTATGCAAGTTGCTATAAAAAAATAAAAAAAAAAATTTCCGCCCCCCTAATTAAGAATCCTGGTTCCGCCACTGATAGGTTATGCGAATTAAGATTGAATAAAGATATATAAAAAGAATACAGGGCTGTATAAAGGTTATGCAGAGAAACAAAATTCCAATCAAGCTGTCTTTCAGTAAGAACGAACAGGTTTGAACAGTTCATCAATCTTTATTGTTTACAATAAAACCGGCCGTTGAAAGAAGCATTAACATGTTACATAATTATGTAACACCCCAAGGGGAATGCAAAAGAAACAGCGTGGCCTCCCTCTTCTTTCTCCATTTTCGGAGGCAGATAAATAAAAACAGGTGACTTAAATGATAATATGCAAACATTCAACTACGTAAGGTTTTGAATTACCCTGATAACTAAAGGGATTGGCTCCGTCAAGTCAGGTATACACTATCTATTACTCCAAAACCAGGTAAAACCCCACCTTCATCAGATGATGATGGTTTTGTACGCACCATATAGCCACTTTGGTCATTCATGATAACCGTATCCTTATTCCTGCAAATTTCAGTCCATGTATGTCAAGAGTTTTACAAATTTAACCACGGAATTGGGATAGATATGTAGTCAAGTAATGTACCTTAAATAAGTACCAAATATCCCAACTTCTGATATGGTATGATCCTTATGCCAACTACCATTACGCATCAAAACCGTTGGAGAATTAGTTGGAAATATCCTCTGCATAAGGATGTAAGCTGCATCTTCTCCAGAATCTGCTTTCTGCAATTTTAGGAGGGTTTCTCTCAGAGCATCACCATAAATATTGTTTCCTGAAAAGTAATTACAGCTCATTAGGTAAGTTTCTCTCTCTCTCCCTCCCTCCCTCTCTCTTTCTGTTTCTATTTTAACAAAGTCAGAGAGGGCAGAAGATTGAATCAAAGTTTAGGTGGTATAAGACCTCCTCCTTCTCTTTGGGGCTTCATCACAAATAACTCTGGCCTTTCAATTGCTTTTTTAGCAATATCTGAATCATCCAAACTCCACAATCCTGCAAAGCATTCACGCAGTTTGGCAATATCTTCTTTGTTTTCAAAGAACCTGCTTACAGTTTTGACTCAAGGATTTAGGGAAGAGATATCAATCAGAGAAACAAATTATGGTTAGTCAAAATGTACAAATTAGTCATACAACTACTTGTTTCCTAAGATAAAAGTGCAAGGGGGCATGTCATACTCTTGCTTGTAGTTACTTAAACCAAAATAGGAAGCGTGAGTGTAGTTCCGAGGAAACACGTGTATTTCCATCAATCATTCAGAACATTTTGTTTCTGAGATACCAACTGTACGTTTTTTTTTTCCTTTATTTTTTGGGACAAAAGAAGAAATATCATGAGAAGAGAAAATGAAAGAAGTACAGGAACAGGATAAAGTATCCTCCTTAACGAAGCATTGAAAAAATGAACAAACAACGAAAGCACATCAATTAAAACCTCCCTATGCTAATTTCCTCTGTTACCTTCAATCTCCCAGATAAAAATCTAATCATTCCCGCAGCCACTCAATGGAATTTTTTTGAATTTACATCTCTATCCTTAGCCCATTAATCCACGCTTTCTTCATCCAACTGGATTCCTCTTTCATCAATACCTACTCGAATTCATTCTTAAGATTTGCTCTTCAGAAAACATGAGCTTCGGATAACAAAATCTCTTCTTCCAATCCATCTACCTTTTCATCAAAAACCTCAAGTTCCAAACCCTCAACTTTCCCCTAAACAAACAAAAAAAAATTCATAAACTTCTAAGCATCCCAAGTTCCCGACCATTAACTCTGCTTCTTGCCACCATTGGCCAACCAAAGACATAAAAGAACGATGTTCCAGGTTGCAGCCACATACTCAAATCGAAAAAGCATATGATCCCACTGGATGAGATATAACATTTCGAATTTTCTCAGGAAGGGAATCCTACCAAGCATTTAAAACAAAAAACTAACATCCCTAGAGTGAACAACCATATCATCATTAACCAACAAAATAAGGCGTGGGTTGGAGAGCCGAAGAACCTGAAGGATAAAATCTCACTTCACATGATAACTCACTCAAAATTGTCCATTATACAATTTCCTTTAAACATGGTATCTGTGAATTGATCATACTGCTTTCTAAGCTTAAAGGATGGAATAAAATTGGTAGATATGAAGAATATGAATTAGAAGATACCTCTCAAGAACACTAGGCTTCGCAAGTTCCTGTTGAATCTTCTTGGTGCCAACCAAATGATAAGATATTGAAGGGCATTTGATAGCAGAAGATTGTTCCATCAGTAGCCTAGCTCTCCATTGCTACATATTGAGCAAGATACACCCAAACCATATGTTAGGTTCTGAATTCTATTCAGACAGATTGGAAATTCCCAGATCAGAGTATCAGATCAAACAGAACAAAAACAAATGGCAAGGAATGAATGTACTTTTATTGATACTGGGAAATAGGTGTTTACAAGAGAAATAAAAACTCATTATCAAGTTAGAATGCCCACAAATATTAAAAGATACAGCGCAGCTTTAGCAGGAAACAATATTCTGGTAGAGGATAATCCATGGAATAGAAAGGATGAGGTAGAAAAGAAGAAAAGTAAATCAGATCATGGTAGTTTAAGTACAAAGTGACATAAATGTACAACATGTAAAATGATGAAGTCTTTTACATTGTGATGTCATGAAGAACCCATGCTGTACTGACCAATCACCAATAAATTATGCTTATGGAACCCAATTATTTCAGGGCACAAATTCAATATTATTTATCTTCATAAAAATCAACATTTCAAGGGCCCAAAACTTTAACTCCAAAGCTGCCAAGCAACCACACCAAGCAAAAAAGAGATGTCTCACATATTCAGTGTCCTACTTGGCCTTATCCCAAAAGTTGCATCATGTTGTAAAAAATTTTAAAAAAAAATCATGAAATAGCATTTGTATTAAACAAATTAAATTCATAAAAGTTTCATATTTACTAGAAAGTCTTCTTCTTAGTTTTGGTAGTGGATATCCATAAAATACGAACTAGTATGAATAGCAGAGGCAAGCAAATAGGTGCCTGACAAGTTAGAAAGGATGTTGGCATCTCTGGCCACTTTGACTTGCAGGCGGTTTACAATTCCTCTTATCATGAAAATCTTAAAAGAAGTTTGGTTAGCACATAGGGTAATCAAATATTAACTCACAATAACACTAGTAAGAGTGTAAGACATTATTTTTGACACAGATACCGGGTTCAGTAGGCTAACCTTTCCTAATGTTTAAGAAAAGGAGTAAGTCAAAGACAACAAAACAGGTGTTTACACATTGGAAAAGTGCAGTTCTTATGAGCAGCAAAAAACTGAAAGTCTCACAGATTCTGAAGGATAGTCAGCTGGTGTATAGCCCGCCCGGAAGTAAATGATGGCAATTGCTTGTCCATCCCTGCAAGTGTCAAGGAATTATATTTCTCTATAGTCAGAAACAAAATGTAAGTAACGCACAAAGCTATAGCAGAAAATAAGTTTTTCATAGCTAAAGACTACATACACAGAAAGTGTTCCATCTGGTAGAATTTCTCCTCCTTGATCAACTTCTGCCAACGTTTTTCGTATGGTTGTAATATGATGTGTGTTATAAAGCTGAGGACAATAACTAACAACCCAAATATGTACTAAGTATAAAAATTATAGTCGTTTTCATTACATGAAAATATCCCTTTATTTATTACAAAAAAAAGAAAAGAAAATATCCCTTTATATCCTTTGATATCACATTCAATAGTCCAAATTATACAAATCAAACAGTCTACTCTGCTAGATGGGAAAAATAAAAATAAAAAATGGATGCTTTTCATTTTGTATTATCATTATAACTATTAAGATTAAGAAAAGGATATCTTTCTCTTATAAGTGCAGAAATCAAATGCTGATCATACATGCTTCGTTCTTCAGCCTGAACCACAAACATAATCACAGCCCTGTACGGATCCATTCAGAAATATATCATAGAACCAAAAGCAGCAGAAGAAGATGTTGAAAAGGAAAAAAAATTCTCCGAACTGACCTGGGGTTATTATATTCACTCCAAGCTTTAGCCAAGGCCTCTGCAGACTTACTGACAGCAGCATTAACAGGAACCCTTTGGGAATCTAGCCCAAGCAATTTTCCATAGTGAGAAAGAATGTTCCTGGAAAATGAGTAATTGATATAAAGATACCTCTTCATAATAAATTTTCCTTAAAATGAAAATATAGCATCAGACTCAGAGTTCATATGAATAATTTCAATGTTTATAACAACAACCATTGGTTCAACTGGTAAGAAGCTTGTTTCCCTCCAAATAAACTTTGATTTCTAACAATTTAAAAACTTTGAAATGTATCCATAAATATATATGCATCAGTATCGACAATGACATTTCACATTTCAAACATTTAGCTCAAATAAACCCACAGCTGTAATGAAACAAAGACATCAAAGCATCATTAAGAGGTTATAAATTAGAGATAACAGCATAATATGCAGAATTTACAGCAACACTTACCTATGAAGTTCAGTCACGACACTACCAACACCAGCAAATGCACAGGAAATAGTGTTCAGCTCTATTTGTAAAAGTGATTTAGTCTTTTCATCAACCATATAATCTGAACGAAGTATTCCCATGCGTATTTCCTTTTAAAATTATGGCAACGGCAAAAGTAAAATCAGTAAATTCCTTAGACTCACTTCATCAAATAAAAAAATAAAAAAAATTTAAGTCTCTACCCTCAATCCTTTGCTTGAGTAAAGAATTATACATGTAGGATTTCAGTTGGTATATAACATTTTCTGAAAAACAAACATGTAGTAATGTTCTAAAATAATTATACTGTCTCTCAAACAACTAGAAAATGAGCATAAAATGAGTTCTATTGAAATAATATATGAAAACTGTAAGTCATTTTGAACAAATAAAATAACTAGAGTAAGCACTAAAACTGATTTAGTAATACTCTTGGTACAAATGTCCTACTAATACACGCCTACCTCTTTTTTGTTAATCTCTAGCATCTTGGAATGAATATCCAAAAGTCTAGAGGTAAATTCATCCGCTTTCTTAGTTCTGCATGAAGATGAACAGAGACACATTATATCCAATTAAAAGCATAAACTAAACTGAGTAAAAAAATAGACAAATTTTTTAGGTGGCCAAAGGTAAGTACAAATATATATGACAGCACAAAAGATAGAGGTTTAACTGTCAGGCAGGTCCAATAGGAGCCCGTGGCGGAGGACCACTACCAATGGACTAAGCTAAGCCAATCATACTAAGTTGATCCGATACTACATCACAACTCATTTGGTTCATGGATCTATCCACTTATATCCATTTCACTTAGACCATTATCAACCAATGTGGGAGTCGATCATACTTGAATAACGCAACATTAACAAAAGAAGAAATTCATACAGATTCCAAGTGAATGTAAATGTAAGTGCTCCTGACATCTAATGCAAGTAATTATTGAAAGCTTAATTTCAAAAATCAATTCAAGAACCAGTATATACAGTAAATCGTCCATTGATACAATACATTAAGATATATTTAGCCGGACGAAAATTTTATTGCGCCCCTTTATGTGTGGTAACAAAAATCAAGTTGATCCACCTGATTCAAAATATAACAACAGGCAATTACAGATTTTGCAACTAGCTTACCTGGAGAGAGCTTCCTGTAGAAATTTTCCATCCAAACTCACCCGATCAACAAGTTCATTAAATAAAGGTGCTAAGTCACACGCTTGCCTCCAATGACTTTCAGGAAATGATGAGGGTAATACAGCAAACGGCAGATGCACCAAGCCCACACCAGGAACGCTTCCTGATCTCTATAATTGGAAACACATTTATTGTTCAAAATTCTTAGCAAGGTATCCATCCATATAAAGAACAACATTCAGGAGTAATATTCTCGTTACAAAAAATTTCCACGGCCAACTTACTACCTATCTAATCACCCATTAGATTAACATTTTCTCTCTCTTTGATCCAATGGTGATGTGATAGGTAGTAAGTTAGTAGTAAGAATTTTTGGTAGTTAGAATATCCTTACTCTTGTTTTATAACATATTTCCTACAAAAGGCTTGAAGGCGTGAATATTGCATAAACTCAATTTTTTTTTCTTTTCAAGTTTACCTATACTTATTTAATTCGGGTGGTGAGAGATTATGATACCATGTAAAGAACCACTTCAACCCAAAACATTAAGGGTGTTAGGTGAGAGCCTTCTTAATGATTTATATTATTCTCTAACACTATTCACGCATTCCCAACATGTTGTTATCAAATAATTGGACTCGCCTTTTTTTAGGAAATGTATCATCTATGTTAAAATTTGTGAAATTTTTGTGTCTATCTCTCTTCGTATTATTAAATAGTTGGAGTCTAATTATCATAACGAAGAAAGAGATAAACACAAAAATTTCACATAATCAGGGTTATGTAAAAATTTAACATGAGAGCTTCACTCCCTTTTTTGTTTTTTTCTACAACATATTTTAGGCTCAAAGAACTCGCCATTAAGGTAGGTTCTAAAAGATTGAGTAGCTGAAATTATATTGGTCACAAAAGAGGCATGATTAATGGTCAGTTTAATATTTCAAAATAACTTGATGATGTATAATGAATCCAAAGGTTACTTTTTTGTTTTTAACTTGTATTTTCAAAAAGGGATTGCATAAAAATTTATCACCCTTACAATCAATTTAATTACCATTAGATCAGAATTAAATCTAAAGGCTCACAATCAATTTTTATAATCCTAATTTTTAATCCTTTCATTCTCTGGCACCTTCACCTTCTCTCTAGGTCTGACAACCCTCTCTCCATTCTTTCTCTAGATCTTCCAATTGCACATGACATACTTAATAAAATACTTAATAAATTTGTCTCTCGTGCTCGGTCAAAATTGCAGGTTTATTTCCAATTTCTATTTCCTTATAAAAAAAATGGTCTTCTCCATGCTCTTCACTCGTGAAACAACAAAATAAGCATCTCCATCATCATTAGGCCAACAAAATCAATTCATCATATTTATAGGCAATTTTCAAGGATTGATTCATTATGCCTGAAACGCATAGTGATCATGCCATAAGACAACCCTTCATTGATGTAGAAGCATATAAACCAGAATAAAAATCATTACTTGCATTAAAAATTCAATTTTTTGGCTTCAACCCCCCCACAATCTTGTGAACAAGATAAGACGGTGGAGATCGGCGAATCCGATTAGTGATCAGTGGAATGAATTTTAACGACGGAAGAGAAAGGGTGAAGAGAGAGTTCTCAAACATAGAGAGAAGGTGAAAGGATGCAGAGTAAAAATGATTGATTGTAAACCATTAGATTTAATTTTAATCAAACGGTGATTAAATTGGTGATAAGGATGATGAACTTTTGTGGTGGTTATACTTACTACTAAAATTTTTTACAACTCTTACTATTAAATTAATCACTGTTGATTTCCGCCAATTTAACGATTAAAATTAATTAATAACCGTTTGATTGGCGAAAATCAACGATAATTAATTTAATAGTAAAATTTGTAAAACTTTTCAGTAATAAATATAACCTCTTTCAATTAAAATTTATATATCTTTCCACTTATATGATTCTAATTAAATTCATTCTTAAGCAACGTGAAACTTTTGCAAGAATTCCAACAATAAAAATTTATTTCTTCCCGCATTTGTCCGTGCTTCGAGTGTTTTTTTGATAAAATTTAGTTAGCACCGACTCGGTTCATGACATAGTCAATAGACAGCTGTTTATGATTGATATTCTGAAAAGGGTATTTGTTTTTGTTTAAGATGTGTAGATGTATATGCATTCACCGTAAACATTAGTTTTTGATATGATTCATGTATTCTTCTATCTGTTTTATAGTAGTAAGTAATAACTGCGTAGGTTCAAATATTAAAATGTGCAATGTCCAATCATGTAGTGGAGGCAAGAGTATAACTTGTTGAATAATTTCGTGTATTCAAATTATTTGGAGAGATATGTACATACACGGGGTGATATAATGTATTTGATACATATTCAAATGTTTATTAACTTTACATGATGTGCTTGATATAGACTCGACTGCTTTTAAAAACTGTTTTCATCGAAGTTTATACGCAAATTTGGGTATTTCTTAATATTGTAGGATTAAATATATTTTTTTTTTTACCAAAAAAAATAATATGTTTTAACCGTTGTTCAATTTTAATATGATGCATTTAGAGTTTTACGCTACACGGACCACGGTCAGTCCACTATTGATCTCCCTAGGAATTTTTTATTTGGAGTGCCAAAGAGAGGAGAAAACAAATGTAGGGGTGAAAATACTGATATGGGAAGTAGACATGCAATAAAGGATAATAATTAGTATGATATAGGAGTCTCAAATCAACAAATTATATTAATATTGATATTTTAGAAATTCGGATTTAAGATTTACGAAACTCAGTTTTATAAGATTATTTATTTATTTAAATGTCAAATAATAGTAGAATATATTTTATTTTTAATTTATAACATATTGATTGATAACTTTTCATGAAGATCACTTAAATATCTATATGTATGGGAATGTAGTGTTTACACGAAATTGTGCTTTAATAATTACTAAGGTCCTAAAAAATTTTAAAAATATAAAGTTCCTTACACATGTATTTTTAATCAAGATGTAAATTAATTTAAAAAAAATTGCTCATAAATATAGATCCAGTGGATTATGCAGTAGAACAATGTTAATTGCTACGAAATTTGGGAGCAATATTACTTGAGCAATAACGGTTACCGGAGTCATATTAAGACAATATCTTTGAAATTTTAAAGAAGGCAGTTTCCATTTACTTGTTGCTTTGCAATTATAATCAATAAAAATTAAGTTTAATCACTTTCATCTGTGGGCTGTGGGCATCTATTTACCCAAGCACGTGTTCACTAATGGGCAACTTTAAGAGATAGTTTCCAGAGTTAGTAGCAAAATGATTTGAAATTCTTAAATTTGTGTCAAACTCGAAAACTCATATCAGACAACAAAGAATGTCATGACTTAACAGCAAAGAAGTGTTCTAGAAGACATGGTTAAGGGGTAACTAATTCATTTTTTAAATTTTAAAGGGTAACTAATCAATTCCATTTCTTTTATTTTCTTCTTATGATGCAATCATATATTCTTATTATTATTCAAATTATTTGGTAGTTCTTCATTGGTTTCCATTTGATCCTCCCCTCAGTTCCCATTTATTCTTCTTAGGTTATCATGAATACTCCATTACTCTAGTCATTTCTGAACTTCTTGCCTCTAGCTCCCCTCATACTATATGGGTCACAAAATTTTCACAATTCAAGTTTTCTGAGGGGCAATAAGGGGGAAAAGTATTTTGAAGTTCTGAGTGAAAACAAAATGAACAAGTTTCTCGAAGCAAAAGGATGACAAGTTTTTAACAAAATCAAATTAATTATGATTATTGAAGCTCTCTTATTATATGTTTTTTCAGTTTTTAATGTTCATTGTTATTGTTGAGTTATTAGATGAAAACTGGCATTCATAACAAAGTTAATTTTTATTTTTATTTTAAATTTCCTTTATTTGGATAAGCTTATATTGTTTTATAATGTTTAGATATTTTGATATTTCAATTAAAAATAATTAAATTTTCACTTAAGGAAGCGAAAATTTTATATAAATATAAACCAAAATAATTGAAATTGTATTTATTATAAATATTTGTAATTTTGTACTATAAATAGTTTTAAAGCTATTTCTTTGATAACTTTTTTTTTTTGGTAAACTTTCTTTAATAACTTTATAAACAAAGATTCTACTAGTTATTATCTACATTACAGGTTGAAATCTTTATTAAAAAAATAAATAAAATTTAATTTAGTTATTTATACAACAAAGTAATTATATAATTCTATATATTTTTTTTTGTGATATAATTCTATCTTTAATAATAACCAAAGTGTAAAAAACAAAAAGATATAAAGTACATAGCTATCTTTCCTCATTGGGTTAAGTTACCGAGGAAGTGGGAACATTGTCATAGGACAAAAAAAAATTGTTTTGATGAGTTTGGGGTGTGATAAGTAATAAGGGATGTTAATAATAACAAAACAATAATAAAAAGCATTAGTAGAAGAGTGACCTGAACAGATTTATCGCCAACAAGGAGGCCATGGAGAGAGCTCCAAACAAGAGCATCGTAAGCGATGTTTTGAAGCAGTTTTTGATCAATGCGATGATGATCGAAGAGGGGAAGCTCGATGGACGAATTAACCACCTCTTCAACATTTGCAGACCTCATGGTCAGATGTTGTTGAGGCATGAGTTTCAAGGGTTTCAGGAAAGAGAGTGATTGTGATTGGTTGCGATAATTAGAGCAGAAAGAGGGAAAGATGTGTCTTAAGAAGCGGCTAGTGCCAGAGCTAGCAAAGCAACCAGACCCAACATCCATTCAGACCTCCACCATTATGACGTTCTGCAATTTGCACCACAGCCACACATTGTTCATCCCCTTTTTACTTTTTCGATGCCTCATTTCATTTTTTTAATCATATACATATTATTGTATTAGATTCGAATCTATCCACGATGAATTATAAATAAAAGAAGAGAGGATATATTCTAACCACCAAAAATATCCACTACCAATTCACTGCCCTTACAATTACCATTGGATCAAAAATAGAAAATATTGAAAAGTTTTTGAAGAGAGAGAGAAAATATTGATTTAAGGGTGATTATGGAGGTAGTGAGTTGATAGTAAATTTTTCTAGTAGTAAGAATATCTCTGTTCATAAAAAAATTGGGATAAAATATTATTATTACCAAATAATGTTATATTTATTATCATGTCTTACTCGTTGATTTTTGTCTATTGTGAATTAATAATTAATTAATGAATTTAATTTATAAAAATAATAATCATTGACAGAAATAAATAGTTAAAGGAAAATATTTTCTCCTTTTAAAAGAGAAAAAATTTCTCATCTTAGTGACTCATAATATAAGTAGGGCTCACAAAATAGTGGAGAAAAAAAAAAATTAAAGTGAGACCCACTTATGCTATGAGTCACTAACATGAGAAAAAATTTCTTCTTTAAAAAAAAAAATGTTTTCCCATAATTAAAATATGATAATAATATTAATAATAACATTATTTGATAATAATAATATTTCATAAAAAAAACTAGTAAACAGAAGGCTCGTGGTTCTCGTGGATAATAATCATGGTTGTTATTGGTCGTGGGACCGTTGACAAGGCTGATGCTTTGGGCTAAATGTATTGAAATCGTTGGGCTAGAAAAGGCCGGTTTTCCTCCCCTCCTACGTCATACCCAATTCTGATCTTTTTCAGTTATCTACCTGAATTTGAAAATTTTCATTTTAATTGTTCCTGTTATCCCTTCCTTCCCCCCTCTTCCTATGTGGCCACGGCCCACGGCAATTCAGAATATAACCCGTTGGTATAGATATGATATAAGATTTTTGTGTTCTAATTGACCTATATTTACATTTAGGGTAATATTAGTCTCATGTGATAGAAGACAATAAGTCTCTCCTACACACTCAAAAAGATGTGGGACCCACTTCAAATTCTTTTTCTCTTTTTTCTATGAAATGGGACCCACCTAAGTTTGTGAGTGTAACGTGAGATATCTTATCTCATGTTGCATAAGAAAATATAATCTCTTACATTTATGCCAGGAAAACAAGACATGACAAAATTAATATCGTGTTATATGTGAATATGTAAACATGATATTAAATCGAGTTGATTTTTTTTCAAATTATTTATGTTGTGTCGTTTCTTATTATATCAATACAATATTGGTGAAAATAATATTTAATACACATGTTATACGTATAGTGACATGTTGTGTTAATCCGTATAATAAACAAATAATTTGATATTAATTGATTATTAATTTATACTGTGTCATGTCAACCCGTAAAATGAGCATGTCAAATGTCTCAACAATGATCTTTATTTATATTTTATTCAGGTTAAATACATTTGTGTTCGCATCAAATCTCAACTTGATATGAATACAATACACTAACATGAATTGTCATCCCTCATATGAACAATTACATGTCACAATTAAGATTTATGTAGGGGAAACAATAACATTCTTGAATCACTTTTGTGATTAGTGTTATGAATCCACATTAGATTTCAGGACTCACACAAATTGTATGTAGTTCGTTAGTGTAATCGTTTTGTTTTATTTTCTACAAGTAGAGATTGGAAAGTAAATTAAGACAGACAAACTACCAAAAGAGTATGGTGAGAATTTTTTAAGACTAAAAAGGAAATTGCCAAAAGAGTAAGAGTTTCGAATCTTGGAAATAATTTTTGGCTGCAAAGCCGGATAGTTATCACGTTTTTTTCTTTTATTTTTTCCAAGACACAATTTTTGTTTCTTAAATTCAGATGAAATAAGGATTTTTTTTTAAATTAACTCCCGATTAAGATGATAGAATCCATTTCTTTTCTTTTCAAGCTTTAAATAAAAGAAAATGTTGTTTACTTAAAAAAAATGTAACTTTGGACTTGTTTAATTTCAGTTCTTCAAAATAGTTTTTTAATTTTCTGAAGAAAAAAAAATCATGTTTGATAATATATGTTTTGTAAAAATAATTTTAAAATTTATAATTATTTTTTAGTTTTTAGAATCAAATTTAAAAAATGGTTAATTTTGTTTTGTGTTTTTACTTTTAACCTTTAAAACAACAAAATACAGAAAATATTTATTTCATTAACTATTCTACAGAATAATTTTGTAGAAAAAAAAAAACACAATCAAACATACCTATGTTTTATCTTCTCTTTTCTTTTCCAATAATATATTTTTGGGTTTTATAAGAGTTATTTTGTAGGAAAAGTGATTGTGTAATGTTATAGAGATTCGTTTTGCGTGCCGTAATTTTTATTTTTATTTTTCAAAAAATATGAGTCCCACAAAATATTGTGTGTGTAAAAAATTTTATTGTGTCATATTAAATGGCAAATACAAATCCTTATATTTTTACTAGTTTTGTTCCTTTACATGAGTTAAAAGGCGAATGTATCGGTCACGTTACAGGATCAACAATTTTGGTTCCAGCTGAGAGTGTGAGATGTGGGTCCCACGAAAACAAAAAATTAAAAAAACAAAAAGGGCTGCTTTCGGAGGGAGAGCAGGAAAACAGATCTGTTTGCAGCAACATAACAATTGATTTTCCCGCAAGGGACGTTTGGTACGCTGGATTTTAAGGAATTCTTGAGAAATTGAATTTTTTTAAATTTTAAATTTTCAGATATTATCGTAAATTGAACGCAAAAATTATATTTTTGAAAATCGAGATTCCCGGACAAATAAAAATTTCTCTTATACCAAATGCCCCCTTAAAAGAAAAATCCAAACACATAGGAAGTAAATATCTTTGTAAAAACAAAATAGAAAAGCCAAATAAATGTAACAACAAAACAGATTTTCTTAAATGGAAATGAAAAAAAATAAAAATCGTTAGGTTGGGTAGAAGAAAACTTCAAACTTGCCCAGCAATCAGTAGACTCTGTTCAGTGTTCAGTTCAGTGCAATAATAAAAATATAAATAAAATAGAAAGAGCGAGATACATGTACGGAAAAGAATAAAAAAAAGCAGTGTAACAAAGAAGCCAGATGTGGAATTTTCATTGCACAAAGATATTCACAATACTATGTGCTGCCATTACACTGGCTTGTCGCCTGCTAATTCATAACATCAACATTATACAAAACGCAATTAACATTTTGAATTTGATTTGTCATCGAGATGGGAACAAACTTTCAGAATTGATCGCAGAGGCTTCGGATGTTCTTCTTGATCCATGGAATTTGATTTTTGGAAGGACCTTCTCCTCTTCATATTCGGTAAAATGATTTCCTCCACGTTGTCATTTATGCTAACCATTTTCTTTGCAGCTTGAGGTAAACCATCATCACCTTCACGTGGTGTCTCTGAGTCTGCTTTATTGCCAGAGCCTCCTTGTGTAGCAATAGAAATTTGCACCTCATTTGAGCTTGAACCGTAATGTGAAGGTTGCCCCAAAGTCACCGTCTTCAACGCTTGTGAAGCCAGAGTTTTCATGATGAAATGATAGAGCTTATAGCATATGCCCACATCTTGAAGATGGAGTTCTCTTTTGTCCATCTGTTAAATTTTTATCACAATATCTGAAAATGGTAATGTGGTATGTTAATGGGGAGAAAGGACTGATTAATCTCACTGCGTGCTAAGAATATACAAGTTTAAACTTGCAAGTAAGCGAAACTTTGAAACCCTTCCGAAGAGATTCATTGCTTTTCTTTCAAGGGACGTTGCCCCGAATATTTTGCAGTCTTTTTTATTAAGTTGTGCGTTTTAATATGAAAGTTTACGCAAGAATGCAGGCATAGACTTAGCAAGATTGTGCTTTTTTTTTTTTTTTGGGTACAAGATTGTGCTTTTTAATTATGGCTATTGCGTGGCAAGAAGAAACGTGTCAAATACTATAAATACCATTTAATGTTTCACCAATGACATTATAAATATTATTAAAATTAATATTAGTTGTGACTCGTGCAGCAATATACATTAAGGGCATGTTTGGGGCATACTATAGGATAAGGCCTGATAGTATAAGACCTGATTGTATAAGACTTGATTAAATTTTAATACTATCCAGCGTTTGGTATGATATTGTATAAGATAATATCTTCTAATATTTTAAAAATTAATATATTAAAAAAAATTATTTTAATATATAAATATTGAAATGATATATTAGTTATTGAAAATTGTACTTGTAATCAATATTAATACATCAACTCCTTATCAGGCCTAATCCACCACTCCTAAGCCGGATTAAGTTATACATCATTTTGATGTATAAACGGGTCCTGCTGTATAAGTTTATACTATACGATGGTCACACCAAACAATTGAAAATATCATAACGTATAGTATAAGCTTATACTATCAGGTCTTATACATCACACCAGACGGGCCCTAAATGATATACCTAGTTGTTTTACAAATAAAAGCATCCTTAATTATGACTAAGGGTGCTAAACGAATCAGGGGTCTTTCAGGGGCCTTTGGCTCGGCTCGTAAAGACTTAAGCTTACATATCTAAAATTAGTTGTTTGTTGGAATCAGGCTTGAACTTGTATAAAAGCTCATTTAATAAAAAGGTTTCAGACTCCAATTCAAAAGCTCGGCCTTACAGCCTCTCAGGTTAGCCTAATATATTATTTTTTATTTGGGGAAAACATTTCTGCAGCCACTTTAGATAAGGTTGTCCACAGCTACCCCTTATTCACTAAGTGTGACCGGTCATACTTTAAAATTACATTTTCTCTCTCCGCCACGTCAGCCGAGAGTGTCTGAGGAAAGAGAAAAAAATAACAGCTTTATTGTTATAACTAAGTATGACCGGCCATACTTAGTTAAAAATGGATAGCTGTAAATAACTTTATCTAAAGTGGCTGTAGAAATACTTTCCCTTTTTTATTTTTATTTTATATTTTTTATACCACTTGTAATAGCCCTCTCATTCTCCTCATTCCATTTCATCCCATATTGGTTAAACAGACTTTTTGAATGATTTTGTTCTATATTATGTTGTTTGGATATACATTGAATTTATGAATATTTATGGAATTACTGTGTTGTTGATTGTATATTCTGTTTGGATAAATTTTTATTGTCTTGTTTTTTTTTAAACAGGCTAAATCAGACTTTTATTTTTTATAAATAAGTCAGGCCACAGATCGATAGTTATATTGATAACAGGTAACAGGCTTGGTCAAACTAACGCATTTAAACACAGACTTAGTCTTTTAAGACCAAAGTTCGGTTCGACTCGATCCGTTAACACCCCTAATTACGACTTATGAGTTGAGGTTGAGTTTGCATACCAAACTTTATATCTGTATATTTTAATTGTAAAATAAGAATTTAAAGCACGTTAGGAAGTACCTTTGAATCCGGACAAATTAATATTTCAAAATAATAAAATAAAATCTCATGTTTAAGAGTATAAGTGCATATATAAATTAATTTATTTTAAAATATGCACTAAGAACAACAATGTGCATTAAAGACACTTCTAAAATAAAGTAAAATACATGAAGATGGAAGTTCAATTGGCACATGAGAGTTGAGCAATTGGATGTGAGATTATGTGTTCGATCCTTGTCAATACTATTTTTTGGAGAGGTTTAAAGTCTTAATTCTAGATCTGTCTCAAATAAAATTGCCTCCGATAAAATATATCTACGGTTTATCCAAAAAATAAAATAAAATAAAGTGAAATACTTTGCATACTTTATTTATTTATTGAGTAAATATCATTTTCGGTCCTCAATAAAAAATACGAAATCCATTTTAATCCCTTAAAAAATATCTATACTATTCCTTTTAGAGAGATTGATGTGAGTTTTCTTTGAATTTCTAAGGGACCACAATTTCAAAAAATTAGAATTTCAGAGGGACATAAGTCGACCTTTGTAAAGAAACACTTCAACCCAAAATCTTAAGGCTTTGTTTGGGAGTTTGGAGGGGAAGGGAAGGAAATTGGAGGGTATTCTCTTCCCTTGTTTAGGAGTTAAAAAAATGGTAAGGGAGAAATTGGAGGATCAATGATTTTTTTTTACAATTTTACCCTTTTTCTAAAATTAATATAATTATTATATTTTATAAATAAAATTAATTTTAAAATTGCTAAACAAAATTATTTATGTATTTTTCACCTACTAAAAAAGATTATATTTTCAACGAAAATTCTACGTTGAAAACGACAAAAATTCTGTCAAAAAAATTATTTTTTCGTCAGAATACTTTTCATCCAAGGCGATGAAATATTTATCCAATGAAATATTTTACAAAAAAAAAATTCCAATCAAAATTTTCCACGGAATTTAGTTTTCGTCAAAAGTTTTGACGAAAATGATTTGTTAAATATTATCGACAAAAAAAATTCCATCAAAAGTTTTGATGGGAAAAAGAATTCCTTCAACAATTTTGACGAAAATTTTTTCGTCCAAAATATTTGATGAAGATGTGTCTCAATGAAAATTTCAACGAAAATATTTTTTTCAAAAATTTGGAGGGAAATGTTTCTGTGAAACTTTCGACAGAATTTAGATTATGTATAGAATTTTGATGGAATATTTTATATAGAAATATTTTTCGTCGAATTTTTTTACAAAAGTAATTTTCGTCCAAAAATTTTGACGAAAATGTGTTGCGTGGAAAATTTTGATAGAAATGTTTTTTACCAAATTTTTTTGATAGAAATGTGTTTCGTCGAAAATTTTGACAGAAATTTTTTTCGTCAAAAAGTATGACAAAAATATTTTTCGTCAATTTTTTTTGACGGTTTTTGGATTCTATAAAGAATTTTGAAGAAATTTTTTCCTTCAAAATTTTTTCCGTCAAATCTTTTTACAATATTTTTTCAATGAAAATGTGTTTCGTTAAAAATTTAGAGGAAAATATTCTTTGTCAAAAATTTTGACGAATGTGTTTTTCTGTCAAATATTTTGACGGAATTTATATTCTGTAAAGAATTTTGACAAAAAAATTTCTATCAGAAATTTTTTAAAAATATTTTTGTCAAAAATTTTCATTGAAAATTTGGTACGTTAATATTTTTGATGAAAATATTGACTGTAAAAAAATTTGACTGAAAATTTTTCAACAAATTTTTTTACGGAAGTTTTCTGTCAAAATTTTTTTCACGGAAATGTTTCTCCTGAAAGTTTGAACGGAATTTTGATTCTATCTAGAATTTTAATTGTATTTTTTTTGAAAAAGTTTATGTGAGTGATTATGGCCAAATATTGTTTCGTCTCTATTTTTGACGTAATGTGATTTTTGTCAAAAATTTCGTCACTACTTTCGACGAAATATTTTTTGTCGATAAATTCTGTCAATATTTGAGACTTGTTTAATAATGTCACATTTAAAAAATGATTCATATTTATGTAGTTTTTACATTTTAATGCTAAGGATAAAAAAGTAATTTTTAATATTTCCCCCTTGAACCCTTCAAATTGGAGGAACTTTAATTTTATGGGTGAGAAATGTTTTGGAGTATTTTGCAAAAATCCCAAATTCCCTTCCTCCATTTTTTTAAACTACCAAACAAGGGAAGGGATTAATAAAATCCTCCCCTTCCCTTCCTCCCCCTCAAAAAATCAACTCTCAAACAAAGCCTAAGGTGTTGGGTGAGAGTTTTTTAATGATTTATATTATTCTTTGATACACCCTCTCTCGTAAGAGCTTTTTGAGCTTGAAATGTGGATATTGCGTAGGCCCAATTTTTGTTTTTTTTTTTAATTTGACCTTATGCATATTTAATTCCACAAGTGAGGGACGGTGAGGATCGAACTCGTGACCATATTTAAAATAGGTTTCGTGTTTTTTTATTGAGAACTCCAAAAAAATATTTACTGTTATTTATTTAATTTACTGTTGCAACTTGCAAGCCAAGTTCAACGATGTATTTGAATTTGAGCGACCGGGTAAGTTTATAACAATTCAGTTCGGTTCGTCAATTTGCCGGACCTGCCTTGCTTAATACTTCTCAAGCTGTTTTCCATTCATTTTTTTTTATTCTTTTTCTTTTTTATTTCATTCCATTTATTTATTTTTCCTTAATTTTGATTTTTCTCCCTCTTTTCTTAAATTCTTTTCAATTAAGAAAGATCTTTCATTCTTTCCGAGTAGTAGTAAGTTTTAATTTTGTTAAAAAATTTATTTCTAATAAATTTTAAATTTAATTTTTAAATCAAATCAAATCTAGTTAAAGAAATGTTGGTTAGTGCCCTCCACAAGTAGAGCTGGCAAAACGGGTTCGGCTCGGCGGGCCAACCCGCCCAACAGGGCGGAGCGGACTGAGTTTTTTAACCCATCTCAAAAGTGGGGCGGGCTCATTTTTAGGCGGGCATAAGCGGGCTGAGGTGGGTCAGTGTAGAATAGGCTCGGGCTGGCAGGCCAACCCGTCAAACGGGGCGGGACGAGCTGAGTTTTTTAGCCCACTTCCAAAAGTGGACAGGGCGGACTGACTCATTTTTTAGCAGGTTGATGACGGGGTGGAGCAGTGCGGAGCGGGCAGCCCACTTTGCCACCTCTCTATCCACAAGTAAAGAGAGAGAGAGAGTAACGTATTGCACGAGTGGTAATCTGCGCCTACAATTGGGCTTCTATAGGCCCACTATAATTGTCATCAATTCCAGCCCAGCAGACGATTCTACTTTCTCAAGTCTCAACCCACAAAAGGAACAGAAAGAGATTTTATTTACCAAATAAAATTAAAAAGATAGAGATAGAAATTGCCTTCTTATTTTGGTTCCCGCCATCAAAGATCATCACGCAAACTTCATTTCACTGCGACAACTGGAGATTGAAGATATTTTTGGCGACTAAGCACTCCGCTCATCACCATCGGTAACGGGAGGAGATTCTCCCCCTCTCTCGTTGATGAATGATGTTCTTTATTCTTTTTTGAATTATTTTCTTATTTCATGCTGTTTGGTTGCCGAGAAAATGTAGCACCATAAAAGAAGAAAGCTGGCTTCTAACATAGGGTGATTATTATTGATGTTGCGTTTGAGAGAACATTTCCTTATGCTTCATCACGAAAATTTAACCTCCATGCAAGTGTCTCTATTAATATATCGTTAAATTTAGTTTTGATTCCATCTGAAAAGGCTATATGTAGGAATTAGGAGCTTCGAGATATTCCACTAAGGTCATGTCCTGTCTTCTGATGCAATTGATCGATTCATGGAGTGGAGACTCTTGTTTATTGGAAAACCTAATAGCTTCAAACTTTCTTGTCTCGATTCCGCATGCCTTTATGTTTCCTTAGCTTTCCGAGAAATCAAACATTAGATGCTATCAGGAAAATTACACAGATCTCTTTTAAAATTTTGAGCTAGCTTCTAAATCTTTCTCTTGTTTTTCATTTCATGTGTGAATCTCCTCCAACAACAGGTTTAAATCAACAATTATCGTAAAGCAATATTTGCTGTGAAGCATCATGTCAAATATTACAGTTTGTGCACGCTTTAGGCCTTTGACTTCAAAGGAGAAGCAAAATGGCGATGATTCTGTCTGCATTCAGTGCATAGACACCGAAACTTTCATTTTCAAGGTTTTTATATGTCAGATTAAGAATCTGTTAGTTTTTCTTTTTATCGTTTTCTATTTTATAGCTGTGAAACTCATCACTCAAAAACAAGGAGTGCATTACAAATTAAGATGGATTGCCTTACAAATTTGAAATAATTTTGGTCAGGACGAGAAGGATGAAGAATTCGTGTTTAGCTTTGATAGAGTGTTCTATGAGAAATCCGAGCAAGCTAATGTCTATCAGTTCCTAGCTCTTCCCATAGTTAGAGGTACAACTTCAAAATTCTCACTACAAATTTATAAATCAATGCAATGCAAAAATTGAAATCTTCCTTAATTTCGATGGCATTTGCTTCCTTATAAAATGACAACATCCTCGTAGCCAAATGGTTCATCAACTTCGGTGAGATGAAATTTTTAATCCTTGCAGTTTGTTTATTGCTAATATGTCTGTATGGTCCTATATTTTCTTTAAAAAATTTCAGGAATGTTTCTTAACAATGAAGTTTAGGAAAATGACACTTGCCTTAACTACAGATTTATTTTTTCTTGACATCACGCTTTCCATAAATTGAAACAGATGCTGCTAATGCAATTAATGGGACAATTATCACTTATGGACAGGTAAGCATTTCCCTAATTTGCCATAGGCTTTTTGCTTCTCCATGTTAAACTTTCAAAGGTACATACGTATCTCCAAGTATCTCAGGCAGTTACCAAATCATGCATGCGAATTCATATGTAATTTTTTTCCCTCAGAAATGGCAGCTCTGTGTGTGTCTTGAAGTGTGTAAAATGTAAGACACATTGCATCATACACTGAACTATATGATCCCCAGCATTGTACGCTAAATTGCATATAGTTTTCCATTAGGAGGGACGGCCGCATTTATTAATACTTAATCTTCTATTTTCAAAAAAACTTGTCAACACAATTCATGAATCCATTTCTCCTTGGACCCTAATTAAGATTTTTTTTCTACAATCAATTGCAGACAGGAGCTGGGAAGACATATAGTATGGAGGTGAAATATTATCACATTAAAAGTGTCCTAAAATGATCTTATAGATCCTAAATTGGGCGATACAAATGACTAGTTTTCTGAAGCAGGGAGCTGGTATATTAGAATGTGATGAACAGAAGAAGGGCCTGCTTCCAAGAGTTGTAGAAGGACTTTTTGATTCCTTAAATCCTTCAGATGAAGACATAACATATTCAATCAAATTGTCAATGGTACTGAGACACATACTAATTAACACCAGTCAGATACTAGCAAAGTCATCTGGTTATAGTAAGTTATTTTTCTGATTTTGTTTGTGATTTGTCCAGGTTGAAATCTACATGGAAAAAGTAAGGTATGCATGGAAAAAGCAAGTAATTTTTTCCCTATATATGTACTTAGGGTGTATTCTAGTGGTTTCTGATTGACAATTTTCTCAACGTTGATGGAAAAGATAGTTTTGATGTGAATTGGGATGTTTTCGGAGTTAAACTTCAGAATAACTCTGCCTTCTTATATAGGGACCTTTTTGATTTATCAAAAGACAATATACAGATTAAGGAGAGTAAATCACGGGGAATAATTTTACCTGGTGTTACAGAGGTGAGCTGTATTTATGGAAACTCTATATCTTATTTCATTGTAATTATTCATCTTCATTCTGAATTTACTTTGTTGTCCACTATTATATGTATGTTCTTGCATAAAAGACTAACTTGGAATGTAATTTCTGCTAAGTTGCTGTATTCAATTTTGAAACTTGAATCCTACCTGTGTCCTGACAGCCATTAGTAGGTGTTGGCTTTTTTGGTTAGCATTTTCCTTAAGATTCGTGGGCTGAATAGTCTGGCCCATGATGCTTGTAATGAGTGTAATTAAACTTGATACGGTTGTAAGAAACTTTAAGGAAATAAAGTTTCACCATTGCCATCAACTACAGCTTTTAGCTTTTGGGCTAGTGTAAGCACATGATTCAACAAGTGGTATTAGAAAGCAAGGTCACGGAGTCCTCAAATCCTAAACCATGGCGTGTGTAATGGGTGCATATCCTTAAGGTTGATGTGGTTCAAAGAAACTAGAAGGAAATAAAGTTGCATCCTGTAATGCCCGGCCGCTTCAAGAATCAATGACTATCCCTACATACTAACACGAGACTTTTCAGTGTGCTTTTTCCTCACTCGCACACTTTCTGCGAAAACTTCCCAGGAGGTCACCCATCCCAGAATTGCTCCAAGTCAAGCACGCTTAACTATGGAGTTCTTCCGTTCCGGGCTATCGAAAAGAAGATGCATGTTGTTAGTATAAGTAGTACCAATTAATTCTTATAAGCTATCCCAAACTGTGTAGTCTCACACCTGCACAGTCTTTGGAATCCCTTTCTTTCGGGTGTCGATTCAATTCATTCATGTACCCCCGTTGCTGGAAGCCTGCCAGGAGCCGCTCCTTGTCCATGCCCTTTCGCACCGGCGATCACTCCCCGCCCTCGTCAGCGCCCGGGATGTTACATGCCCACCAGCTTCCGCCTGGTTCGTCCTCGAACCACGCCGTATGTAACAGCCCGTTGTACACCGGTATTGTTAACATTAATTATGATATTAAGCGCAGTTACAATCACAGCAATTCATTTATAAAAATACGAGTAAACTTTTTCCGTTTATTACGCGAACATTTAAAACCATAAAATACGTATTAAATAAGAGCTGTGACCGTAACTGTAAACTATTTGCGAAATAATTATTTAAACTACTATTATATCATATATTACATCTCTCAAGACACTAAGTGGTTCCCATAAACCCACTTAGCCTAAATCTCATTCTATCCATGTTTCATACTAAATGCCTTCACCTTTTTATTTACTCGAAGTATTTTATACCTCTCTAATGTTCCTCACTTCTTAATATGTTGTAGATTTATTCGTTAGCTTCACGTGGGTTCAAACTGCGCTCCATTTGGAGCACCGTAGCTCAAGATATGAATTTTCTAAGAAAGGGGATGCTGATTCCACAGGACCCCCGCGCTGACAGCGCCACAATTGCGCCAAAGACAGTGAGGACGGCGCCTGCAGCGCCAGGTTGGCGCCCATAGTGCCATGGTCACGGCCTCCTACTGATGGCAACTTGGCGCCAACAGCGCCGCAGTTCTGAAGGAAGGCACTAAAACAGGGAAGATTCAACCTATCTTGGTATTTTACCCATAACTTGAGTTATACTAATCCTATTGACACAAACTTGGTCATGTTGGAAAGGTAAAAGAAAGATCTATAACTTCCATGAAGGCCAAGGGGTCCAATTATATCATATAGGGGGTGAAAATTTGGCAACACTCTATTTATATTTTAGAAATTTCGACAGAGTCTTCTTTGTTTTTCCAATAAATCCCAAATTTGCAAAAGTATTTCCTAACCTCAATTTGTACCTAATAATCATTGGGTGGCACACAAGGACCAACAATGTCTTGGTGCTCTTACATCATCCTAAATCCATATACAATGTTCATGCCCTAAATCTAGCCTAGGCCCAACCAAAATGCAAAATACATAGAAATCTTCCGCTCAGCCTACGGGCTTCTTGCCCGCCGCTCCAACACTACTGCTACCTCCTGAAATAAAGCCCTCAAAGCGGGGTGAGATATACGAATATATCTCAGTAACCCAGAGGTTCTGGAGAGTACTCTGCCCAATGGCTCACTTCGATGCATATAAATAATACAACATAACATCTGAAAACGGGATAAAGCAAGAGATTTAGTGAAATAGGGGAGCATAGGGATACAAAATACGACGAAGCTGGAATGGCCAATGCCAAAACCACGCAACGTCCAGCCTATTGGCTCGGCATATAAGCCTACGGGTTTCAAACCAAGGTGTGTTCCCAGAACATCAACCAAGCACCCTCCAACCATATCCACCCGAGACTTCCTAGTGTGCTCCTATCTGGATCACACACCACGACCCCAGGTCAACTGGAACTCCCTCATGGAGACCTATCCAGTGGAAGTTCGTAACGGCCGAAGGCAAACAGTCTACTGGCCAGAGACACGGTACATCCTATGTACCAACACACATCCAATATGCATGAACATGTTATCCTATATTATTTACATACATTTTCTACCATCACCTTCAACGGGCATGGTGGAACACATACGGGGATCAAACCCCAGTACCAAGAGGTTACCTTACTAATCACCTTCACGTAGCTCCACAACAATAAATCCCCGAGCTAGGTACAATAGAATGCCTACACATAGGTTATTCCCAATTTAATTTCCATTTACCAATTACATGCCAATTATCAAGCATAAATGCATGATTCAAATACTTACCACAATCCCTTTTGGTCCGGGACCAAGGGCAACCCACCGAGCTCACGGTTCCGGGTTCAAATCCGCGTAAGGCAACCTACATTGATCATATATGGATCATTAGAACACGGTAAACCACCAAACTCACAAAATGTCGATTTTTCCTCCTCCCACCAAGTGACGTTCGGCCATTCATGTGTTAAAACCCAAAATATTTTTCTTTATTTTCTTTTCATTTTTCTTAAGCATCCCAAGGCTACCCCAATATCATTTTAGGTGCCAATTTGCATCCTACATCATCACAACCTCATTTTGTCATTAATTTCACTCTAGGTTCCATGACCAATTCCACACAACCAACCACTTTTCCTTTGATTTCCAAAGCATTCAACCATTACACAACCCTTCTAATTACCATTTAAGCACACAACACATCAACCAAATAATTTTACAACATCATATTCCCCATGATCCTACATAAGGCCGAATTGTACCTAACCATACACCAATGGTTATTCACATCAATTCAACTATTCCACACCTCATACAATCCTATTATTACATCATACAACCACATAACAACTCAATTACACAATCCTAAAACAATTCAAAATCACAAGGTGTTGGATTTCTCATCAAAATTTCTTAAGTTATGAGCACATTTCCTCAATAAATTTTATTGCATTTATCACTCCAACACATCATTTTAAGACATATTTATCTAGGAAAAATTGTTTATCCTTTTAAATAACACAACTTATATCCTTTCACTCTCACAAAGAAGTGGGACCCACATATTTATTTTTTTTGTCAACTCTCTCTCCTCCTTTATCTATCTCTTTCTCTCTCTTAAAATGAAACAACTTTACATCCTTTAAAATGACACACACTTTTCCCATTTATCTAATACACAATCTCATTTTGAGCTCTCTAACTCCATAAATCAAGCATACAAGCTCTAGGTTTTCATGAAACAAAATCATCAAATCAATCCATGAAAGGTGTTAAACTTACCCACAATTAAGTCACAAGGCTCCTCCTATTAATCTCCAAGCAATGGCTTGAGCAATCAACTCCAAAATCACAAAAGCCCCCTTGAATTCGTGGCTGATTTCTCCTCTTTTCTCACAAATGAGAGGGTTTCAAGGCTAATGGATGGTATGGTTGAGTCCGGATCGTCGTTTACTTGAAGATTGGTGACAAACTTTTTGGATTTTGGTGGTTGGATGATGGAGTTTGAAGCTTGACAAGTCCCCCCCTCCCCCCCCCCCCCTTTCAAGTGAAACCCGCGGCCTTTAGGAGAGAGAAGGAGTGATGAGAGTGATGATGAATAGTAAGGAACATGTGGGTTTAAGTGATTTAAGTGAGGTGGGCCCCACCGCCACCTCACGCGATTTCAAAATAATTCAAAACTCCCTCTGATTCCACTAAACGTCCATAATTTCATAACCTATTTAGAAACTCTAATTTTTAACATTAACCATTGTCATTTAATTACCCTTGATCAGATGAATCCGGAGTTTTCCGATCGTTCGGAGAAATTGCAGTTTTAAGCTGTTACGCGCGTCGTAGGCACGCGTACCCAAACTCACTAATTTCCGTCAAATTTCATCAGAAATCATATTTCCTAGTCCTATATACTATTTATAACTTATATCCAAACCTAGAGCTCAAAACTCAATTGACACGTTTCACGGTGCAACTGTACCGCAATATTTTTACCTGGTAAAAACACTATTCACTGAATTTTTCGAAACTTGCCTAACCACTCAATTTTTCGTTCTGAATCCATTTCCAGGGTTATTTTTATCATTTGAGACCTTCTACTCAATTTTACCTTCTTAGGGTTGCATGTTTGGTTAATTACCGTTTTACCCTTCATTTGTTTTTTGACCTGATTTTCAGGATTTTCACTAATCCTTCCCTTTAATGCATGTTTAATATATTAATATATAATTTAAAAATACGAGGTGTTATACCGTACTGGAAGAGAGGCCCTGCTCTAATACCACTTGTAATGCCTGACAACTTGCAATGATCAATGACTATCCCCACATACTAACACGAGACTTTTCAGTGTGCTTTTTTCTCACTCGCACACTTCCTGCGAAAACTTCCCAGGAGGTCACCCATCCCAGAATTGCTCCAAGTCAAGCACGCTTAACTATGGAGTTCTTCCGTTCCGGGCTACCGAAAAGAAAATGCATCTTGTTAGTATAGGTAGTACTAATTAATTCTTATAAGCTATCCCAAACTGTGCTGTCTCACACCTGCACAGTCTTTGGAATCCCTCTCTTTCGGGTGTCGATTCAATTCATTCATGTACTCCCGTTGCTGGAAGCCTGTCAGGAGCCGCTCCTTGTCCACGCTCTTTCGCACCGGCGATCACTCCCCGTCCTTGTCAGCGCCCGGAATGTTACACATCTTTACTATTAGTTGTAGCTTTTGAGTGCAATGGGTGTAATACCTTAAACTTGCTGCAACTTTGAGAAATTTTAAGGAAGTAGTCGCACCATTGTCTTGTGGGCTTAACATTCTGAACCATAGCATGTGTATGATGTGGTTCGATGAAACTTTAAGGAAATATTGTTGAACCTTTATCATTAATTATAGCTTTTGACCTTTGAGGTAAGTGCTTGACCCAACGGTAGGTGCAGACTAAGTTCATGCGCTTACATCATACGTGATCATGCTTTATGTAGCTAAGGCCGCTCTTCTTCAGGTAGCAACACTTGAGCATCAGGCGGGGCAATATATGAGCTGATTCAGCAAGTGGAGTAGATTTGAATAATTTAGTATTTTATATGCAATTTTTAAGGTTTTCCTTCATTATATGTTACAAGATAATTCGTTTTGAAAAAAATAAATAATTGGTAATTCTTATTCGATTGATATCATATAGTACTAACATGACCCTTAAGTTTTTCCTTCAGATCACTGTACTGGAGCCTGCTGAAGCATTGCAAAGCCTATCTGTAAGAAGAAAAAGAGTACCTTTCTTCGGTTCGATTTTGCAATGTATTCTGGCTTCTAATTCTTTTCTCAAATATGTAGAGGGGGATAGCAAACCGGGCAGTTGGAGAGACCCGTATCCTGCTTTATACCTTTAACTCCCTTTGTCCTTTATTCAGTATCTTTTCTTTCTTTCTTTCTTTTGTAGTTAAATATACACAATAATTAGGGTAAATTTCCTGTAATCTTGAGGAAGGAAAAGTAGTGGTAGAAAGGTCACTTGCGTTCTGCAAACATCCTAAACATGTAGAAATGAACTTGGCCAGCAGCAGAAGTCATTGTGTTTATATATTCACAATTCAGCAAGAATTTTCCCGAGATAGAAGGTATTACTTCTTCCTACATCACCGTGTCATTGCATATAAAATCATTCTTAAAGGCAGACTGTGAACAGGATGAGGTCAGGAAAACTAATTCTTGTGGACTTGGCGGGGTCTGAGAAAGTGGAGAAAACAGGTGCCGAGGGAAGGGTTCTAGAAGAAGCTAAGACCATAAACAAATCCTTATCTGCTCTTGGGAATGTAATAAATTCTCTTACATGTGGTTTGCAAGGAAAAGCAAGCCATATCCCTTACCGTGATTCCAAGCTCACTCGAATTCTTCAGGATGCACTTGTTAGTTGCTCCCTACCTCTAATCTATCAAATTATATCCATTATTCAGTAGAACAGTATCCCAGAAATGGTACTTCTTATTCACAGGGAGGAAATGCTAGAACTGCATTACTCTGTTGTTGCTCCCCCAGTGCTTTTAATGCATCAGAGAGTCTGTCAACTCTTCGTTTTGGAGCAAGGTATGTCATCCACGAATGCATTTGAAGCACGGTCTCACTTTTTTTCCTTTTCCTAGATATAGTAATCAGAGTTCCTTACTTGAAAATAAAAAATAAGCTAGTTAATTTGGGTAGAATAGAACTACTAGCAGACGATGTTGATCTTACTGAGATTGAGTAGGCTAAAATAGTAATAACATTAAGTTTTTGGAATATGGTGTTGAGGGCAGGGCAAAACATATAAAGGCGTCACCTCGTGTCAATTACAGTGAAGAAAAATGCGACACAGGTTTCAGTGCTTCTTCTCCACCTGGGGATGAGTCATGTGGTAGAATTTTGAACAAGGTGAGAATACTGTTGTGGGAATCCCTTCTCCGTCTATGTTATTAAAATTGGTAATAAGACTTCTGTTGATACAGTTGGGGGAAAGATTGAATGTTGAAGATGTGAAGTTACTAGAGGAATTGTTCATACAAGAGGGCATTCTCTTTGATCCTCCATCAGTTGAAGAGGAGTCAGAAATAGAAGATCTCACCTTACAGACTATATCCTCACTACAAGAAGCCTTGGAAAAGCTCATATCTACCGTTGACGAGGTACGCAAAACTGTGCTAGAATCTTTCTCTCAGTAGTAGATAATAGTGTCTCAGTCAATTGACCCTTTAGGCCCTTTTTGGCTACAAGATTAAAACTTATTACCTCCTATACATTCCCCAGCTTGACCTTCATCGCTAGCCCACCTCTAGCGACTAACATTTTAGGCAGTTTTATGCCAGTTAGAGCTCGTTATTTCTAACAATGCTAAATTAATTTATCCAATTACGATATGAAAACATAAATGTTCATTTGTTGCACATGTAATTCAACAGCTTAAAAGGGAGAACAGCATTCTCAAGGCCAAAGTTGATGCCTCCATCAATTCTCTATTCTGCAAGGAAGCAGATAATAGTTCGGTTTTTCAAAATTTGATTTCAGGTATCCTGACATTCGTCTTTCGCTGGTTGGGTCACACTTCCCCAAGACGATGACATTAACTCTTCATCCATACCATGTGTTCCCGGCCTTAAAATACTGTCAAAATTATAATGGCGCGGTATGTGGTTACGATGCATAGATTTTATTGTTGGACATTCTGGGGACTGGCCAATAGCATAATATACCTGATAAAAAGGCCGATTCCTAAATTTCACGCACTCAAGCCCTTGATCGCAATCAAAATAATCGTTTGAGTGCCTCTGCTTGTAACCCGACAATTGTTTTATATGAATAATTTGCCAAAAGTAGTTGTCCTCTGAAATCTCTCTGCAATGATTCAACCAAGTCATGATTTAATTTCTCGATCATTACAACGTCGTCGGTCTGGCTCAATTACTCCATGAATAAATAAAAAGGAAGAGGGGGCACGTATTATTTGGACTTCTTCAATGCACCTGTCTTTTTTGTTTTTACACAACCTTACGCAGTAGCTGTACAGCTTTAGTATTGGCAAAAAAAAAAAAAGGTTAAAAGAAAATAGTAAGTTGTACAGGGTGAAGAGGCATTGGATTCCCTTGCTGTGATTTTGCACTGGTATGCAGTGTAATTTGGCTTATATACTGTAAGAATTATTTCAACAGAAGGGAAACAACTGCACAAGCCCTTATTAGATCTCAGATTGTTGTCCATCAGAAATCTTGCTTAGGAATGACTATTGCCAAGTGTAAAGGTTCACGGTGGGGATCAGAGGATGGTGAGGCCAAGCAATACAATCCCGTGGAGATGCAAGTCAAGACACAAGCGCACAATCCGTCAAGAAAAAACAATCTCTTTGCTTGTGTAATAGTGCTCTCTCAAGTTTCCGTTACCCCTTGTATTGTTTTCCGAGCGTTCTTTATCTCTCTCCTGGGCAGATTTTCCAGGGCAAATTTTAGTACGAGTTTATGTCTATTAAGGGATGGACTTCTACTCACTGGCTTATGTAAATCAGTTAATGTAATCACGGTACAATTTCTGTGTAAGCCTGACTCTTAAGATGTTTATAAGGGTAAGATGGTAACTGAAACGACAAGGAACACTTTATTTATTTTATTTATTTTATTTGGGACAGGAACACTTTCTTTTTGGCTTTCAGTTGCTTTTCCACCATCTAAAGCAAGGGTTTTCTTATTTTATTTGTTAGAACTTCACGTTAACTATTTGAAGCAACCAATTGGGCCTGCATGTATAAAAGGCACCGAATCATTTTCCATCATGACAATGTATACAGAGCTATAATTGGTATCAGCCGATCTGGTTGGTAGTTGATTCCATTGCACACAAGTGAAAATTACATGCCATGGCTTCCAAAAATGTAATTTTTCAAGTTGTCTTATTTTCCATCTGTTTGGCTTTGGCAAATCCGGTCGACTTCAGTTACCCAGCAGTGTTCAACTTCGGTGATTCAAACTCGGACACAGGTGAACTTGTTGCAGGGTTGGGCATTCAGCTCGCCCCGCCGTATGGACAAGATTACTTCAAAACTCCATCTGGAAGGTTCTGCAATGGCCGTCTCATTGTGGATTTCCTAAGTAATTTTTAATTATATCTTGAAATTATATTGTTATATAGTCTTTGCAATAATCAATCCTGGGCAAGCTTTTAGAGATTATTAAGCACGAATATGAATAAATAATAAAAGAAGCTTTTGTAGTTGAAATAATTACAATATTATATGCCAAAAAGAGTTTAAGCTTAATACCAAAAAAATAAAAATAAGAGAGTTTAAGCTAACTGCAAGTTACTTTTCGGCCTCTTTACTTTCATGGAGTTAACTAGTCTCTTGACATGTGGTCTTGAAGCTTCAAGATGGAAGTTGATTTTTTAACAAGTTGGCTCAAGTATTACTAATTTTTTTTAACATTGGTTTTTCTTAAAATTTTACTTGCATTTTAATTTTTTTCTATATTTATTTATTTTTCTCTTTTATTTATTTCCAACTTCTTATTTATTTATCTTTATTTTTTATTTTTTATTTGGATTTATCCATTCTGGATGCAATTAGTTGGGGATAAATATTATATAAGTATTGAAGTTTAAATATCTACTCCATTCTCCATATCTAATAACTCATTAAGAAAATGGTTTGATTTTTTGTTCATAAAAAAATAATATTAATTTAGTGTGAAATTATTTTTATATTTTATATCAAGTTTGATAATAATAAGATATTTGAATTTAGTTGTTGACATGACAATATGAAAGAAAAAGACACCACATTAATAACTATAATAAGAGCCAACATTATTTATGTAAAATCTATTAGTTTTATTTTTGTGTTTTTCTCTTTCCTAATATGACATTATCATATATTAATAAGTTTATGTATCAAAAAAGAAAAGAAAAGTAACATCACTTTTCTTTTCTTTTGAAAACCAAAGTAACATCACTTTTTAACATCCATCTTTTCACCAATTACTTGAAATTTAGTGCATTGATTAAATAGATTACTGATTGAATATAACGAAGAGTTACTTCCACTACAAGCTTGATGCACCAAACAAACGAACATCTATTGTTACATATGTCAGATAGATAAGTAACTGTACCGCAGATGTTTGAAACACAAGCAAACTCTGGAAGGCTTAAAACCCTTCCCTTGCAATAATAGTCAATAGCCATGGCCATGGCCACCCTTCGGATTCTCACCATCATTGCCATCTTCTTACCTTCTTCCAAATCCATGCACTTTAATTTTCCAGCAGTTTTCAACTTCGGTGATTCAAATTCTGATACCGGTGCTCTTATTGCTGCTGGTATTGAGAGCCTTTACCCGCCTAATGGACAGACTTACTTTCAAGTACCATCAGGGAGATACTCTGATGGCCGTCTCATCATCGATTTCCTTAGTAATAAATCTCCATAACCTCCTTCTGTTAATGTCCATATCATCTATTTCTTCCTTGGATGATTATGTCTCCCATTATCATATAATTTTTTTTTGCAATTTTATTTGCTTTTCTTTTTACTAATGATAGCTCAATATGTTATTGGTTGTTTATTGCAGTGGATGCCATGGACTTGCCATTCCTAAATGCATATCTGGATTCATTGGGTTTGCCAAGTTATAGGAAAGGTTGCAACTTTGCAGCTGCAGGTTCAACTGTCCTTCCAGCCACTGCATCATCCATTTGCCCCTTCTCCTTTGGGATTCAGGTGTCTCAGTTCCTCCGATTCAAAGCTCGGGCTCTTGAATTGCTTTCCAAAGGTCTCTGCCATATAAATCTAATGTTTTCAAACTTGACTAAGTTCCATTACTACTTTTGTTGTCTATCTCATTTCATTCATGTTAAGAAAAATGATCACATTGACGTTACAGGCAGGAAATTTGATAAGTACGTCCCAAATGAAGATATTTTCAACAAGGGGTTGTACATGTTTGACATTGGCCAGAATGATCTTGCTGGCGCATTTTATTCTAAAACATTGGACCAAATACTTGCCTCAATTCCGACTATTCTTTTAGAATTTGAAACTGGAATAAAGGTTGGTGTCAAATTATCATTTTATTTATTTTTAAATATTTTATTCCAAAACTTACTTGAATTTTATAGGTCATATGCCCAGTTTTACTGAGGTTAACATAAATGAGTTCTCACTCTTTGTTATTTTGTTTGCTAGAAACTGTATGACCAGGGGGCTAGATATTTCTGGATACACAACACGGGTCCTCTTGGATGCTTGGCTCAGAATATTGCTAAATTTGGAACTGATCCATCAAAGCTTGACGAACTAGGATGTGTTAGTTCACACAACCAAGCTGCTAAAACACTTAATCTACAGCTTCGTGCCCTCTGTAGTAAATTGCAGGGCCAATATTCAGATGCAAATGTCACATATGTTGATATATTCACCATAAAATCAAACCTCATTGCAAACTATTCTAAATACGGTTAGTGTCTCTGGGTAAATTATATTTATTTGCCACGTTTCTATTCTACCTATTTCAATGCCTTTATCTTTGGATAATTACCCTTTCTAAGAGTTTTGATGTCGATATCCGTAGATTTTAAATTTCTCAGATGGCTTTGTCATCCGTAGATACAACTTACTTACAGTCCATTCATTGCTCATCAACTTTGACATGATTTGACAATGCAAGAATATCTAAGACTGGCTTCCTTGCTCATTGCATAACTATTCCTGGAAATTTATGTAGTTTATCTTTCCAGCTTTGTTTAAATCAGTGACTGCAGCAAAATTTTCAAATTATCTTTTAAGTTTTCATTCATTAGAAATGCCAGAAGGGAGTTCAATTTATTGAGAAATGAAGGATGCAGTGTCAGCCATAACAATGTAGTTAATTTCTCTTCTAGCACATCGGTATTTTTCAGGGGTAAACACAATTAAATTTGTGTGATTATATGTTTGCAGGGTTTGAACAACCTATTATGGCTTGTTGTGGATATGGAGGTCCGCCACTGAACTATGACAGTCGAGTTTCGTGTGGACAAACAAAGACCTTCAATGGAACCACAATTACAGCGAAAGGTTGTAATGATAGCACTGAGTATATAAACTGGGACGGGATTCATTACACTGAGACTGCTAATCAATATGTCGCATCACAAATTCTCACTGGAAAGTACTCCGACCCTCCTTTCTCAGACAAAATGCCTTTCCTTCTCAAGCTCAAGTTCTAAATACCCAGTATGTTTATTGTTATCATCATTATTTGATTCTTTATGTGCTGGTATAGTGAAAGCAAATAGCTGATTGTAACATTGAATGACAGTCAAGCTCTTACTAATGAAAACGTTTTAAAAGATTGGTCCAATTTAATACATTCAGGCTTCATGGTTCATTATATGGAATATACGATCCAAGAGGGGCTTTTGGGATAAGCACATTCTGTTTATGTTCTACTTTGTTTTTCTATTTCAGTTAAATGTACGGTAAGAGCTTGATAGTAATGCAGTATGGTGATAACATGATCTGCTCACTTTGTAACATGAGTATGGTTATATCTGCACATTATATATTAGAATTTAAAGAGCAAGCGTTTCGAAGACAGGTTCAATTATATAACTATTTTCTCACTTTTTGGATACGATAAGCATAATATTGTGCCATAGCCCATAGGAACTCAACTCGCCTCAAAGAACTAATTAGGGATCTGTTACTAAAAAATAAATAAAAATAGCCTATTAGATGCTTTAGGACTTAAAAAGTTGGAAATCCCTATCATCAAAGTCTCCATTAGTTTGTAACTTTTGTTAGTCCAAAAGGATTTTTCAATCAAAACTTGCATCTGTACTTTACAGCTTTAATCCTTTATTACACGTACACGCAAAGTAATGTTACTAGCAATCCAATCCAAGTTGGCCATATTTGTTAGTGAGAAACTCCAAACCCAGACTTGGAAGTAGTTTGATACCATAAGGTGATAGAGCGAAAAGAAAAGCAATGGAAGGAGGTACCTGGAAGGTTCACTGATACGGTGGCATCAAGGATATTTTGTCCAACGGCTTGCACAAAAGCAGGACCACCGGTCACTGCTCCTTCCTTTTGACTTGTGACAAGAACCACTATGCCCTTGTTGTTTCCCTCTTCCACAGAGGGATGCCAACCCTCCAAAACTTGGTCACCGACTCACCATATTCAAAAGCATCAGCTTTGCTCTGCAACCACATCAAACGGCTGCAGCTTAGCCATTCCGTTTTGCCATTAGTTGCAGGGAACATGAAACTATAAGCCAAATGATTTCCCCATGTTAATGTTATAGGAACTTTCCTAGTAAATCCGTCAACTTCTCCTAACTTCAATATCATAGAAAAGCACGTGAAAAAAAGAGTTTACTTAACTCAACAGCATGAGTTGCACAACTAACCGTGAGTTTTCGAACTGTAATAAAATTGATGTGGAAGTTCTTCCTCGTTTCCAAATCAGATAACAACTGCTTCAAATTAGACCTTGTGACTCTACTTAGCACTCCTGCATCGTCAACAACGTAAGACTCTTTGGGTGGTCCTTCGTTGAGTACATCAAATTCAGATGCCAGTGTGCAAGAGTGGGCTAAAGTAGTAAAGTTTAGTGCCAAGGAAATAGCCATAGCTGCTAGCCCCTGCCCAGCATGACTCAACCAGCTCGAGCATGAAGGCAAGGATGGTGGTTTAAGGGATAAAGGTACTTGCTTTCTGTAAATAAACAATTGAACCTAAGATCCTAAGTGAGGATCTCTTAAACGGTGTATATTATACTCTAATATATTTCTCTCGTGTGAGAGTTCATAGGTGCTTTAAACGTGGACGATGCAAAGTCCAATCTACTTGTTAAGAAATTCTACAACAATACAAGAAAAAATCAGCATCGAACTCAAGACACAAAACTCTTATATGATACAAAAAATTAATTTAACTAAAAAGATTAAATTGTGTGGTCTCTTTTCTGAGACCGGAATTAATGGGCTTAAAGTAAGAAAGAGAATTTGAAGAATATCTTTGGCACTATGGATGCATTGAAAATTTGGTGCATCTTTCATTCATACTGTGACACGTGTCTTATTTTATATCAAATTATTCTCTCCTAATTTTAAAATAAATTATTTGTTATTGATTTGACAAAAATAAGACACGTGTCATAATATGAATGGAAGATGCACTGAATCTACGGTACCTCTGTAGTACCAAAGAAATTTCCGAGAATTTAACTTGAGTTGGAGAGAGAGAGACAAAAATAGGCAGAGAGTCTGAGCAGAAAAAATGGTTTCCATTAGGGGTGTGTTTGATACAAGAGAAATTTTTTTGTGTCCGGGAATCATGATTTTCAGTCATATAGAAAGAAATTCAATTTACCGGGAATGATATAAAAAAGTTGCTTCGTAGAAATAAATATTACCAGAAATATTTAATAATTTTACTAAGTATATATTTGGTTGTTAGTAAAATATTACCGGTAATATATGATGATTTTACAAAACTAACATTAACTTTTCAAAACATATTCTTCAACGGGTATTGATGTGTGTTGGGGGTATTATTGTCTCAAAAATATGTTGATCTTTTTTTCCTTCCCTCAATAATCATGAAAATCGCCTAATTTTTGGTAATCCCAACACTAACTTTTCTTTGCAAAATGCTTTACCAATAAATCTTGGTTATCCGGGAATTGATTTTTGATACTTCTACCAAACATGATAATTGACGTTTACCAAATAAGATTTACTAGTAATCCTTGTAATACCCTTGTACCAAACACACCCTTAGGGAGAATTAACAAAACCCAGGAAATTGGAAGAAAGCTTTCAAGTTTACTGCTTCAAAAAGCAGAAAGTTTTTTTTTTTTTTTTGTCAATTTTGTTCTCTTGCACAAACCACATGTTTCTCAGAACTCTCTTTGGTTCAGATTTTGGGTGGCCTGAATTGGTTCTGTGTTTGAAACAGGGATAATGTCTATGGGCTGTCAATCAGGCTATTATGGGCCCAGCTAAAATTGACTTGGGTCAACAATAGCTGGCCCAGATCATTCCAACAGTGATTGTCACATAATAGAATATATTGTGCAATTGTTATTCAATTCTAAATGTTGGAGGCCCATAACTTTTTCAGGACGGGAGCCCAAATGTCGAATGATTTGGGCCCATGTTTTTGTTGGGGTTATACACTTAAACAGATAGCTGCAGTGGAAGAGTGTTGTTAGGGGCATGGCGATGGAGCAAGAGCTGGATCCGTCTCTCCCTTGTTGCGTGGATATGGTTTCTGCAATTCTAGCGATGGAGCCTTCGGAGTGCTTGATTTCGCATGCGAGGTTGTTCCTTACTCTTTGTGGTTGGTTATGAGTAGACTAAATGACATTGATAGAGTTAGCGATGCAATTGCAGGGCGTGTGGCGGAGGCTCAATTACTGAGCAGGTTCAAAAGTTCATTTGGGAACATTGTCTCTCCACACCTGTAAATCTAAATTCTCTACTATCTTTATTACTATTATTATTTTATTTTCCAAATGATTGCAATGCTCTGTACTATTTAATTGATTGGTTAGAATGCTAAATGCAGGATGATTTTTATGCTCCTTACTTGAAGAATTTTCTCAAGAAACTTATCACTCAAGTTGAGCTCGATCATGGCTATGTGTTGGATCAATTGTACGAACTGTATGCTCAGTACATGACGTCATTTAAGGTTTCCATAATAAACAAGTTCCTTTAAGCCTCCCTTTTCTAGTTGGAAGTAGTTGGTAAGACGTTTGAGAGTTTTATTTTTATTTTTTTTTCCTCCTTTTTTTTTTTCAGGACGATAGTTTAGGCAAAAGAGATGCAAGAATCTGCAAAAGAATTTCGTTTATTTTTCCTGATGGTAAATCATAATTCAGGTGATGTTTGTCCATTGTTCTTATGATGTTATTTCATTCATCTTACCTTTGATTTGATTGGTAACTGGTATCACTAGGTTGTTCTGAACTACAAAGTTTTCCGCTCTCAAAGGTACTGGTTTTTCCATTGCAATCTTCTCTAAACATGCTTGAAGGTGGCACTGGGTAAGCTTATATTTAATATCTTAATTTCAATGTTATGCCTTGTTGTTGATTGTGAATTTGTGGAGTATGAGTGTAATTCCCCCCCACGTTTGTGTGTGTATTCATGTTTAATTGTTTCTATCTGTAAATCCTGTTTGTCAATACTACAGTGACTTCCTCCTGATGGTAATCGGTAATCTTTCTCCTTGAGAATACAGCTTGTTTTGAATTCAAAAATGCCATTGATTTGGGCATTTGTTGAATCTTGTCTAAAGTTTCTAACATTTCTCCCCCTAATATGTATATGCCATGTGTATGGATAGTCTGTTTGTAGAGCTTGCATTAACTTCTTAAAGTTGGTATGGTTTGGTTGTGCAGGTGCTCGATATGGCCATCAAGTCTGTTTCTGTCCGAATTAATACTTTCTCATCCAGAATTATTTTCTAAAAAATCATGCTTCGAGGTCAGTTATATGTTTAAGAGTTTGTAAAATCTAGTAGCAATTTTATCGTTAACCAATCAGGAATAGTCCTTTCATGTGACAATTATGTGATTATCTCCACTTACCAGAGAAGCTCTAACATATTATTGTACCCTTGCAATAGTTTAAATTTTCATGTTCTGTTTATAAATTTTAAGGCTTCCAGCTGTTCTTACCATACCGTGTTGCACTTATCTAAAATTTCAAACAGATTGGTTCAGGAGTTGGCTTAGTTGGTTTATGTCTTGCCCATGCGAAAGCTTCCAAGGTATAACCAACTATACTTGATGACCCATGCATGAAAATTTTAAACGAAGGCATTTCTGTTATTAAACTATGTTTGCTTCAGTATGCTTTAGAACAGATTGAGATTTAAACAAGCAAAAGGTGCTATGGATTTTTTTTATGGGTGATATTTTGCTTGTCAAATCTAGTCAACATGGATTTGTTTATTGTCTATCAACAGGTGATATTAAGTGACGGTGACCTATCAACTTTAGCTAATATGAAGTTTAATTTGGAGTTGAACCACCTGAATATGGAAACTGACATGCCGCAAAGAAATGAAGACCCAAGCATGGTGAGTCGGAATTTGCGTAGAGTGCATATTGGATCATATATATATATATATATATATATATATATATGTTATGTAATCCTCACGGCATTCATCTCTGAGGTTTTGCGTATGACACTGAGCTTTTCGCTAAACTATTGTAAATGTAAATAATAATTTCCAGTGTTTTAAATCTTGAGTTATCTACCTATCTTTCTTCAGAGCATTGATGTGCTTACTCCAACTTATTACCCCATTCCCTTGTTCATATTTTCAGTAGTTTCTAGTGTGCAGTTCCAGCATATGATAGTGGATTTTGTTTATGGAAGTTTAATATTTAAATTTTTTTTGAAATCTTTTTTGTCCTTTTTGTCAGAGTCTAGTCAGTGTTTATAAAAACTAAAGTCAAAGCTGTCTGGTGCGGATGGGATCTACACCATTTGATGATTCTCTTTTAAATTACTGCGTTTTTTACCTGTGTAGATAGAGGAAAACATAATCTGAATTGTATGTATCAAGGTTCTGCAGTTGAATGATATGCACTGATCCACGTATCTCAGGTAAAATGCTTGTATCTGCCATGGGAATCTGCATCAGAAAGTCAACTCGAAGATAGCATGCCAGATGTTGTGTGAGACTTCAACTTCAAATTTTTATTTAACCTCTGGGATATAATGTTATTTCTTGTACTGTTTCTTAAAATTTGTTCAGGTGCCATTCTTATTATATTATTATTTCAGTTTGGGTGCAGATGTGATATATGATCCAGTATGCCTGCCACATCTTGTTCGGGTACTTACCATTCTTCTGAATCAGATGAAATTTGATTCTTGCAGACAGCATGCAAGTTGCATGGGCCTCTCTCCAAACGGTAAACATGAAAACGGTGAACATAATTATGAAGATGCTATTGACAGATCTGATGGTAGATGCGAAACAATTTATAATGATGGCACTAATGGCTGGTCAAAGGAAGCACCAGTGGCTTATATTGCATGTGTTATCCGGAATATTGAAACTTACAACTATTTTCTTTCTCTGGGGAACCAGGCTAACCTTGATATTAGGGACCTAACTGATTCACTGAAGCCAGTAAATCTCCTCCGGTACATGCAGTCATACAATCAAGCTGGTGTAAGACTATTGCGTATCACTTACAGTCATACAATCAGGTTCGTATTAGATGATTAGCCAGGAAACCTCTCCTAGTTAATTCAGTATAAAATATTGGAACCTCATTGGTAAGGCTAAGGTAATGGAATTTATAGAGAAATTTATAGACCTAAGTAGGATAGGAGATGGATAAAGGGGATAGAGATGACGATAGAGATCATAATGAGAAACATAAGAAATCCGTACGTGTATAACCCTTATTTGAACGAAGTGAAAAAATGAGATCTTTGTTGTCTTCCACATTTTATCTTTTCCTTTGTTACTTGGAAGGTCCTAAGACATGGTGAAGTGATGGAGAAATACAAGCCTAATGTAAATATTTAGTCAGCGACCTTGCTGAGGATAGAAACCAATGATTTTAAATTGTGCTTTGGTTCTGATCTTGGCCTATATATTGTAAAGCGATAAAGCCTGTTCATCCATGTTTTTGGTGTTTCATTTTTGTTACTGATAAGATTACAGTAAATGATTAGGTGGGCATTTTCTGCTACTCATTAATGTTCAATTCGTGTACTGAATTTCAACATCATGTTCTGTTGAGAAAGCCGTTTGACCATGTGGAATTGTAGAACAAAATCGGATAAATTAGAAAAGGGCATTGTTGAGAAAGCAGTTTGACACATTATTTATTGTGGTTCGAAGGATGTAATAAAACGTAGGTGTTTTTACGAGAATATTTTTGTAATTTCATTAAATTTTCCCATCAATATTTTATGTTCAACCAAACACACATTCAGAAATTTAATTCAATTTTCTTGGTAAAATTTTACCCCACTAAACAATTTTTTACAATTTTCCTATCTAACTCACTTTTCCTCCAGATCCCTAGTATTTACATTTTCCTAGTATTAAAAAATTTCTCCCCAACCAAACACTACCTAAATGTTATCTAATCACATTAGAAGGGAGACCAACCAAAGGCAAAATCCTCTAGTAATAGTTCATTAATCTAAAACCTCATGAAATCCCTGATTTCAGTGTTTGAATAGTATCATTTTAGGCCAAGGAAATATTTTGAATGCTACAAAAGGATACTTACAACCTATCCCCCCCCCCCCCCCCAAAAAAAAAACTCTTAGTTCTTACCAAAAAATAAACAAGTCTGGCCACGAAAATTAAAATACAAGTAACCCCCCTCCTCCAAAAATAAAAAGTCAGAGATAGAGAAAGAAGAAAACGAATGCGAAACATTTTTAAGGAAAAAGAAGGGAGAAAAGTGAGAAGAGATTGCATTTAAAAAAGGTAAGCCATATCTATTTCCAAGTTTATGCATCAGTTGCGTTTAAAGAAGACAAAAAATAAACCAATTAAACGATTTAAGCTTTGAAAGAAAAGAGGGTGGATCCGCAAAAAAAAATTCAAAAATTACTACAGACAAGTGCCACAGTGTGCGTCTGCCTCTGCTTGTAAATATAATCTACTCCATTTAATAAAATTGTGATTTTATGTGTGTAAACATGTTAGATTGCATATATATATATATATATATATATATATATATATATATATATATATATATATATATATATATTTGTATAAACTATAAACTCTACAAATTTGTAAATAAATGCAATAAATGATACATAAAAGAAATTCGTGTTTTCATATACGGAAAATGGTATGTGATTAAAATGATTCTATCTTATCTTCAAACGGTAACAACACAAGAATGTAATTCTTTCAACATTATGATACAAGAATCATTGGAAAATGCATTGGATTCTCTGTCACATTAACTATGTTGTAACACATAACGGGTGATAGGGTACTCTCTGTCATATTTATTTATTTATTTTTGGAAACATGTATTAATTATTTCTTTGAGATGGGTAGGTTTACCTTTATAAGTTTTGATTTTTTGAAATGGTTATAAGAATAATTCGGAACAAGACGAGTAGGGATAAAAATTTTAAACCCCCTGTGTGAATGTGGGGAGTCATATTTTTTTTATGCCTCTCTTGTTCATTCTATTTTTAACTCCTGGGTCTGCAAGCTGGACTTGAACAAGGTAGTTTACATGAACATCTTTGCTTAAGGTTTATTGTTCCAATCGGTGCATGCTATGGTATTTTAATAAAAACACTGCATGCAATGCTAATGCAAGTGCCATGCGAGTGTAACTAGAAGACAAAAAAATGTCCGTTCGGGACCGAAGCCAAATAAAATTGGTCATATCATGTGCCATTGTCACCGAAGCAACTTTAACTTTCTTACCAGACCCTCCTTCCGCTATTACCATGTTCCTGTTTCAGAAAACTTGGCTGGTCTATTTCTATTTCTGTTTCTGTTTCTATTCTATTTTGACTCGAGAGACACGACTTGGGCATCAAAGAAAAGTGGCAATCAATTCCATGTTTTTATTTATCTATTTATTCATGATGTTCTGATCGAATCCGAAATAGCGAGTTGTTAGTGTGCTGTGTTGAATCAGATATGGCGATGAGTGAAGTGGAGGTGATTCACTCATGGTCTGCTCCAAGATCCCTCAGTACTAGTCTCATGTATTCTTTTGCTCAGGTAGCTCTCAGGAATTCCTAACTTTTCATGCTTAAGATTGGCATTCCAATAATCCAGTGTCATTTGTTGCATGCAAACTTGGAACTAGCATATTGCACTAATTGACTCTCTTTTTTAGGGGAAAAAAAAAAAACTATTTTTGGTTTGAAGATTGTTTGTTAGTCTGTTCAACAAATTATTACATGTAGAATTGCTATTATTCTGATGATTGAGGAATGATTATTTGATTAATTGGGTATTGTTATTGAAGATTACATGAAAAATCATGTTTCTGGTCTTGGTGTTTGCATGCTTTATGCTTATCCTGTTTCGTTTGTGCTATCTAGAGGGATGACATTGAAGTGCTTGCTGAGCCCCTCTGTGCAAATTTCCTACGAGTAACTGGTCTCGATAGACCCTACAGGGAGGAGCTACTGTCCAAAATGGTATGTCTGTCACAAAATTACCTTCTTCATCTCCTATCCCTCACCCCCACCTTTCTCCCCTGATGGTCTTGTGCTTGACGCCAAGGGCTAGGTTGATTTGCTTGTGCCATGATTGCAACATTGTTCGCAGTTTAGCTTACCTCTGTTCACCCTGTCAGTGGCGAAGCCACTTGTATCTTAGCTGGTGTCAAGACACCAGCTAATTTTAAAAAATAGTACAGATTTTCTTCAAAAATTATGATACAATGTTAGTACTGGTTGAATTTTAAAAAGTAATACAATTTTGGCACTGACTGAATTTCACCAGGTGGATCTTTTGGCACTAGCTGAGTTTTTCTTCTGGCTCACCAATGTACTCGGTCATTATTCTTGCATCTTGGTGTATTTTAAGATGATAAGCTATTGTGTTGATAAACTTTTTTTTTTGGGGCTAAATCTGGGCGAATGGGTATAGAATGAGTGAATTTTGAAAAATAAGAGCCTCTCTTACCTGGAGGGAAAGCATTGGCATTTCTCTCTTTTCAGGTATACTTTATTCTTGTACAAAAGCAATATGTAAAGTCTAGGTGGAGCTTGTTCTGCTTCATAATGATAGAATGGAATTAAATGAGCCTGCTTGATTTAGTATAAGTTATTTTGTTAAAAGACTTCAATATTTTTTTAATAATTTGGCTGGTCAGTTGTTTTCTACTAGAGAATTCTAAAAGTTCTACACATTGAACTCTAAAATTCATTTTCAATTCTCTTCATTCATTTTATTCTAATTTTTCCTTTGCCCCTGTCTCTTTCAGTATTCTCTTTCTGTGCTTCATATTGAAAAGTTGGTGTTTCAATTATAACAGGAATCTGATGGAAATAAGGTTATCAATGACATGATTTTTGGTCCAAGAAGGAAGAAATATAGATTCTGTAAGGGTAAAGAACATCTCTATCAAGATATGCAATTATTGAGCAACTATTCTAGATACATAAGATGAGCAGTTTCTGACAAAATGTATATATAGGGGAGCATTATGACTGTTTATTTCCATGACGGGGAGATATTGTATCATTGACTTATTATAGAGGTGAAAGAAGTTAATATTCCTTTTTTCTCATGCCGATTTTGTGATGCAGTAGTTTTGTTGTAAGTCAAAGAAACTGAGGTAATGGGTTTCAATTGTCACAAAAAATGGTTGTGGAGGTAATAATGAATTTTGACAGGTTAATCTTGAGAGTAAAGCCAATATAGAGTATTGTGGATAATTTCATATCAGGACAAGAAAATGCAATTTGTGTTCCTTGCCCGTGCGGATATGCTGTCATTTTTTGTGTGTGTGCGCGTGTAGGGTGAATTATTTAATATTTGCTGACAATTTATTGCCACATCAATTATAGAACATTGTAATTCAATTAACTGGTACAAGCATGAAACCATATTTTTGCTGCATCTTGTCATGCTAATATCCTGTCATTCTGAATGATATATCTTATTACATTACTAAAATGTTATCATTGGCTTAGTGCAGATTGAAGGCAATAATGCAAAAGCAGATGATGCAATCATGCTCGACCAAGATGGTTATTTATCTGAAACCAATGCAACTAACATTGTATATCCTCAATTTTGCCATGACTTCAGGAGAGTCTTTATTCTCCTTTTGTTAGTTATATGCTGGGGCTTACTAGGTGGGAGGAGGATATTTCTTGGAGTCCGAGCTCTGGAGTATTGATATACACAAAATATAAAAAACTAAAACTAAAACTAAAAATAAAAATCCCATCATGGATAACTTTGAGCTGATGACAAATGGCATGAGCTCAATGCATGGCTCAAAGAATGTAAAATCATCTACATACATGATGTAACAGTACAACAAATATGTTGTTAGTTTATCTTCAACTTGCAGTCTTAGAGTGAAACAAAATCTTGTTAAGTCTCCGTATTTGAGAAGGATCGTAGGCTTTTCTTTTTTGCTGCAGGGTTTGCTTGCAACAGAGAGTTGTACTACATTTGGAGCACTTCAACTCATATCTTGCTCTTCTTTGTGCAGTTCATAGTTAAAAGGGGTCGTGTTTTGACACCCCATGCTGATTACTGCCTTCCTGGCATTACACGTGCAACTGTAAGTTTTGAAAATTCACCCAGTTGTTTTTATACCAATTTCTGTATATATTGTAGCATTCATGTTGGGATGTGAGTATAAAAGTAGTTGACATCTGAACATCAATTTCAGCTATAAGTGGTACTTTTATTAAGCATCTCATTTTAATTACTAGTAAGACTATAAGAGTGTCTTTTTTTGTTTGCAAGAGTAGATGAATAGAAAACATTAAGTTTATAATTTCATTCAGTGCATGGCAAATTATTTTTCCCTCCTCGAGATTCTAAATTATGTTTATCAGTGAAGTGTATTCTAGCATTGATGGAACTGTGCTGCTTTGCAATTTTAGGTAATGGAGCTTGTGGTGAAAGAGCAGTTAATCTTAGAGGAGCGCAGAATCAGCCTGTCAAAAGTGCATACTACTGATGAGGTTCACACTTAATATCTGCTATTTCAATATCTTCTGAATAAAGTTTGCTTTAATACGGGACTTCTCTCTCTCTCTCTCTCTCTCTCTCTATATATATATATATATATATATATATATATATACACGCAAAATGATTTCTGCAGCTGCTGTACCTACAGCAAGCAAGGATCCGCGTCCGGATCCTAGGATACGGCACCAGATCCTGGGTTTTTTTTTTTTTAAAAAAAAAAAAGCCGTGGAGCCCACTTTTTGTGTTAACTGTAGATAACACTATCTAGGCAGCTGCAGAAATGTTAAGCCCATATATATATATATATTGAGTCATAACTAGAAGGCTGTCTTGCAGATATGGACGACAGGAACAATGGGTGAACTAAGCCCAGTAAGTGCCTTGTTATGCCTTATCAATTGAATTTTATCTAAATGTGTATCTAGAATATTAACTGATTCCTTTCTTAATCAATTGCACAAATGATTGTCAAACCGGAAAATAATGTTCCTTGTTATATATCACGTTGTTAATGTTCAACATTGTGTCTAGTCAACTCTAGAATCTTGATTTCTTTGTTTTACTGGCAATCCTCGGAGCCAATTAATTAGCTATGCTAACAAAAGCAATAAGGACATTGGTTAAAACAAAATGAAAATTCTTGACTTTGCCAGTTAAATTGATCAACTCAGCACATTACTCAAAGTGCCTGTAATCATTTGCCCATATAGAATGAGTTAGTTCCAAATTTCCAATTACTTTGGAACTAATAAGCATTTCCCTATATAATCCATCTGACTTGACTGCTTCAGATTTTTTACATTGCTATTAGCACCAGACATAGAAATCTGATATTCAAATAATTTGGGCTTTTTGACCGTACTAAGCTCATTTTTAAAAAGTTTGACCCGATTAATTTTCTGGTCAAACTTATTACCATACTAATGCATTACAACGCGGTACTGACATCACTGAATTCAGACAGACACGTTATTCAGGCTACCATTTTACATGCAAGTTAGACACTTTTGTGTCAATACAGGCAGAGACGCGGTGGAACATGTACCGAATTTCATGCAACCGGTTGCGGCTCTGAACATGCCACATTTGACCAACTTGGACGCGATACCTGCACTGCCGCGTTCCTGTGCAACAGCGCCTCGTCCAAAGCCCCTCCCCTTTCCTCTTTCTATAATTCTCTGCCCCTACCCCATTCCAAAAGTTTTATATTGCTTGCACAACCTTGTCAATATAATAAAAAGTTTTATTCTCACATTAAAAAAACTTAATACATCATCATGAGATATAAGATAAGAGCAATTTTGGGTAACTTAATATAAATAAAGGGTTTAAATTATCTTATGTTGATGAAGAGAATTCTCTTATGCAAGTGAGACATGAAAAGCCGTGCCATTTTTCTTTCTTTCTTTTTGATTTTTTAGAAAATGGTGGGACCCACATGATTTGTTTCTATAGTATGAGGTAAGCCATCTTCTAATGTAGGAGATTAATAAATCCCATAAATAAAATGACCTTTACTTCCAAACATTTTATATGTGATATTATACCTAATTTATAAAATAAAGTAACTATTGATTGTATAAAAAGGAAAGTAATAACTCTTTTGTTATGCACGAATTAAAAAGAATAACCAAACATGCATAAATAAGCAATGAATAATATTGGCCACTCGTTTAATATTGCCCATCCCATCTGCCTATATATCTCAAACTTGCAAAAAGATTTAAAAAAATATTGGCCAATAAATAATTCGTGCACTCTTTTAATTAGCTCAATAAGCAATGAAATCTGTATCTAGCTAAAGGAGATTGACTTAGATATGGTACTTTTATATTATAAGTTGAACTTTTATAAAAGTAGCATATCTAAGTCAATCTCCTTGGTTAGATACAAATTTCATTGTTTATTGAGCTAATTAAAAGAATGCACGAATTATTTACTGGACAATATTTTTTTAAATCTTTTTGCAAATTTGAGATATATAGGCAGGACAGGATGGACAATGTTAAACAAGTGGCCAATATTATTCACACTTATTTATGCATGTTTGGTTATTCTTTTTAATTCATGTATAACAAAAGAGTTATTACTTTCCTTTTTATACAATCAATAGTTACTTTATTTTATAAATTAGGTATAATATCCCATGTAAAATGTTAGGAAGTACAGGTTATTTTATTTATACCAAGTTACCCAAAATTGCTCATACCTTATATCTCCTGATGCTGTATTGCGATTTTTTAATGTGAGAATAAAACTTTTTATTATATTGACAAGGTGGTGCAAGCAATATAGAACTTTGGAATGGGGTAGGGACAAATAATTATAGAAAGAGGAAAGGGGAGGAGCTTTGGACGAGGCGCTTTTGCATAGGAACGCAGCAGTGCAGGTATCGCGTCCAAGTTAGTCAAATGTGGCATGTTCAGAGCCGCGACCGGTTGCATGAAATTTGGTACATGTTCCTCCGCGTTTCTGCCTGTATTGACACAAAAATGTCTGACTTGCACGTAAAACAGTAACCTGAATAACGTGTCTGAATTCGATGATATAAGTAGTGCATCATAATATATTAATATGATAATAAGTTTGATAGGGAGATTAATCGAGTCAAACTTTTAAAAAATGAGCTTAGTACAGTCAAAAAGCCAATAACTTGGCTTCTTGGCGCCCATTTAAATAACAGGGCTTGCAATTTCTCATGTTGCATGAGAAATGCAAATTTTACTACAGAGAGAGAAAGGGGTGGAGTCCACTTTAAAGAAAAAAATAAAAAACAGAAAAAAGTGATTGGCACGGATATTGAAGTGAGATTGGTAAGAGAGGAGAATTTTCATGTAACATGAGAAGTCTTTTTTCCTAAATAATAATAGTTTTTACTAGCACATGAAATGAGATTAATATTTGTTGGATATCACCTTTAGATAGTGAAGGTTGATGGCCGCATAATTGGCAATGGAGAAGTAGGGCCGGTGATTGGAAGGTTGCAAGCTGCTTATAAAAAATTGACAGAACAGTCTGGTATACCTATACCGACCTACCTTAAGACTTGAAAGGTATATCATTTTTTCTCTCTTGCTCTTAATCCAATGCAAATAAATTTTAGACTTAGCCACACCACATTTTTTGGTCTTAATGTTTCCATAATTCCTATTGACTTTACATTTCTTCCAGCCTTCAGTTAAAGGGAGTGGGAATTGCCATCATACATTACTGAGAGCTATGTGTGAAATGGATCCATTCTCTCGGGAATGGATCTTCTCTTATTTTAACATTTGTCATGTGAGAAATATAAATATTGATAGGCCACCATGTCGACAACTAGAATGATCATTTTATCTTTTTGGTTTTGTGAGATTTGTCATTAAAATTATGATCATTAATCTAAACAATAAATATTTGAGATTTCTCTCTGTTCACTTTAAAATAAGGCATAAGAATTCATCTATGTAACTATATAGAAATTGTTACCACTAGAATGACTCGGGAATAGATATTTGTGAGCAAGGGTGTAAATGGGCTGGGCTGGGCTTTGGCCTTCCTGACCCAAGCCTACGTAAAAAAAAATTCAACTTATCTGGCCTACTGGCCTATCAAAGGCTTTATTTGTAGGTCAAGTCCGGCCTATTTTTAAAAATAAGAAAGCCCGACATGACCTACAGGCCTTGTAGGCCTACCATTGTAGATACTAAGGAAAGAAAATAATTGTATAGAGCAAAGAAAGTTTCATTCATGAATGCACTAGTACTTCTCATAAGAAAAAAATAACAAACAAGAAAGAGTCAACATAATACCCCAGCTTTAGAATGTATATCATAGAGGAATAGAGTCAAAGAAATGGGGAAAATAAGAAAATGTCATTCATCTAAAAATTAGGGTTGGTATTGGTATTTTGCCATGCCACATAAAATAAATATTATTTATGTTATAAAAAAAAAATAAAAAAATATTATTTTATTATTTTATTTTTAATAAATTAAATAGGCCAGCCTACAAGGCTTTGGGCCAGGCTTGACAAAATTGGCCTACGGCCTATTTGTTAAAAAAAACTTTTTTAAAAACCTAAGCCTACTCTACTTTTCTGAAAGGCCGAGCCAAGCCAGGCTTAATGTAGGTCGGGCTGGGCCAGCCTGACCCATTTACACCCCTATTTGTGAGCAGCTTTATGGCACCCCTTTTGCACTTTTTGTTCTTCTTGATCTTGAATGTGGAGATCATTTATGATGGACCGGGCCTTGGTGTATCTTAACTAAAAAGGGAAAGAAAAAAGAAACAAGAGATAATTTTAAAAAAAAATAGGGATAAAAATGTAAAAAAAAATTGAGCGTCCAAAAAAATGTGCACCCGGATCATAATAAAAGAAACCCTTGAATGTGAGAGAAAGTGCACGGTGTTCTAAAAAAATGTGTAAAAAGCATTGTTATACGTATTTTATTCCCTGCACTGCGCATGTGTAAAAATGTGTAAAAAATGTGTAAAATCCCTTGAATGTGAGAGAAAGTGCACTACGCATGACAATCATTCTATTCCCTAGCACTGTTTTTGAAACGAAATGATTCTTTTTTATTTTTGTGCCTTAGAACAATTCTGAGAATCAGAATTACGTTTGTTAACATATTTTATTTTTGTTCTAAGAATCAAAATTACGTTTGATAACTTTTTTTTCTGTTTTTTTTCTTGTCTTCGTCTTCTTCTTTCAAATTAAAAATCCTATGAAGAATGGATTTAAAATTTGTGAGCTATAAAAAATCATTCTTCTTTCCGTCTGTCTTCGTCTTTCTGTCATTATGTTTTCATTGGATTTAAAATCATTCTTCTTTCTGTCTTCTTCTTCTTCTTCTTCCTTTTTCTTTTTATTTTTGTTCTATAATGGATTTAAAATTTGTGAACTATAAAACATAAAATCCTATGAAGATGGACTGCACTTTTCCAGATCCAAGGTCGAGCTCCCTCCAGATCCAAGGTCGAGCTATAAAATAATTCACTATATTAATTTATTTTTATTTCAACAAACTGCACTTTGCAATGGACTGCAATATAATAAGATGAATAAATTTGTTTCAGACGTGTAATCCTTCAAGAGCCCTAACCCTAATTTCAAAAATTTCAAAATTTGCAACTTCTGTGTGAAGGGAGGGATTTGTCGTCCGATGATATGGTTGAAAGCAGTGATTCGGTGTTGGTGTGTGAGCGGGTACGGAGTCGTACGAGTATGAGAGAAAACTGATTCTCTTTTTGTGTCCGGGAATAGAGAAGCAGAAAATTTTTTGATTCTTTTTTTGTTCCCCAGCACACACACAAAAATGGTTCATCCCGGGAACAAAAAAATAAACCGATTTTATCAAACACAATTCTTATCCATTTTTGTTCCCGAGAACAAAAATTTAAAAAAAAAAACTCATTCCGAAAAGATTGTCATGCACAAACATTATAAAATCCATTCGAATATTACCAGGATCAAAGTAAAGGCCCTATTACTATGGCAGTTTTATAGGGCATGTAGGTCAAAACCCAATAAAGTAATTAACTGTTATACAACCAGCATTCAAGCCTTTTAAATCCATTTAATAAAGTTGTCCCGTCAGTCAAGTCAACTTTCGGGCCCAACTGATCTTGGGCTACAATAATTAAACATTTCTGAAAAATTTCATTATTGCACAACAAGAAAGGATATGTGTTGGGCCAGCCTCAGGTTGATTCTTTTTTTCTGGCGTTGATAATGATTGTCATGGGAATGAGATCGTGCATATCATGCCTGTACAGTCAATCTGCTTTTGCCTTGCTCGAGTCCCTTTAGTATTTTACTATTTTATATTATTGGTATGGATTATTCTTCAAATTGTATTAATTTTTATTTGCTACTGTTAAGAAGCGCACATGAATTCAAATGTGACATTAATCTCAAAAGCCATTACCAGTGTTTCATGTGGACCAACACAGGGTATATATAATATACTCAACATTCACTTTGTTTCCTTCAATTATTAGTGTCTTTCTATGCTTTTATACCATTTCCTTTTAGGGTGACTGCCCTTGTTTTAATAAATGACTTTTTCGCTTTTTGCTTTATTCTATTTTTTATCAAAGAAATGAAGTCATTGTCTCAAATCCCCTTGCTATTTCTTTTTAGCTTTGCCTTCGAATTGTATGTTATATGCCGCGAGTCCTATTCTTGCAACTCTTTTTGTATGTTCTCTATTTTCCTCAGAGCTGCTACCCAATTCCAATCTTTATGTCTGGTATAAATTGTGGGTTTCAATTTTATGGTGCAGTAGGAGAAAAAAATTTCGTGCTACATACATATGTTGTGTGGGATATATATCTATTAAAATAACAAAAAAATGATAAAAAAATTACTGCACGAAAATTAAAAGATTATTAATGAGTCGTTTGGTAGTCGGTATTTTTTAAGATTCTCGAAAAATTAAAATTTTTAAAATTTTTAATTTTCGAATATTATCGTAAACTGAATATTTTTATCATATTTCTGAAAATCAAGATTCTTGAATAAAAAACATTTCTCCTTCATCCAATGTCCTATAATAAAAAAACAATTCTCAGCAACCAAACGTTAAAATAATACGAGAGAGAGAGAGAGAGAAAAATTGGGTTGGAATCTATAAACGCAATGTTCCCAGCAAGAGAACAAGAAGATAAAGACAAAGTGGTGTAAGAGTTGGAATCTTCTAAAAGACAACCCTGGAGCTTCGTCAACAACCAATGAATTATTTATCATTATTATACTATTATATATTTCGCTGGACGTCACAAACGGACGCTATGACACTTGTACGATTCAATTAGAATCTGACATTAAAAAATAGGGAGACTGGACCTAACATACATAGCAAAGGACAGAAAAATCTGCAGAGGACATAAATCGCACAATCAAAATCTTATCTTGTGCGGTGCTATGCTTATAAAGTTACGAGTAAACATCTTTTTTTAGTCCCTGTTTTCAGTCTCTGGCAATAAAAAAGGACCAAATTGTTCTCTGAAAGTACAAGAAAAGGGCCACTCTACATATTTGGGAGTTGACAGAAGGACTAACATGGTCTTTTTTTGTAATTTCAGGGACCAATTTAGTCCTTTTTTATTGCCAGGAACTAAAAAGGACTTCGTAGATATTGACAGGAACTAAAAAGGTGTTTAGTCTAAAGTTATAGGTTATAACGAGTTTTTTTTTTTTTTTTTTTTTTCCATGAAGATATTATATTACTCATTATCATCTGACACTGCTTTATGCACAAAGTTCAAATGTGACTGAATTAGGCTTTGTGTGATGGGAAATTGACTAGTATTTGATAAAAATTAATTTTATATGCTTATGTTTGAAAGTTATGGAGGATAAGTTTACTGGAAGAAAAAAAAAAGGTATGGAGGATAAAGAGTCTGGGAGGATAAAGAAGTTTATTTGAAGATTAAGAAAATGGAGTTTATATTCATCATGCAACATAATACAATTAATTTTTTATATACACAATATTTTGTGAGTATCGCATTTTTTGAAGCAAAAAACAAAAAAATTAAGACACGAAAAACGAATTTTTATAATATAAAACAGTCATTTTTTCTACAACATAACTTTTATAAAACTCTAAAAAAATTTGGTTAAGTAGAACTAAGGCTTAGGTATACGGTGAAAGACTGAGAACAAGAAACAAATGTTTTTAAAGTAATAAAAATGGATTTATGTATCAGTTAAGCTTTTTTTAACTCTATAATTATTTTAATATTAATTTTTTCTTATCTCATAAGTTTCATTTCATAATGAATATATTTTATTTTCTAAAAAATGATGTAAGTGTATAACTTACCCAACTACGTAAAAAATACTAATGATAATAAATATTACGCGTATATATATATATATATATATATATGGGTTTTATAAGAGTTATGTTGTAGGAAAAGTGATTGTGTAATGTTATAGAGATTCGTTTTGCGTGCCTTAATTTTTTATTTATTTTTTTGTTTTAAAAAGTGTGGGTCCCACAAAATATTGTGAGTGTAGGAAAATTTGTTGTGTTATGTTAAAGGATAAAACGAAAACCCTATATATATATATATATATATATAATATATATATATAAAAGATTTTATAAGAGTTATGTTGTAGGAAAAGTGATTCTGTAATGTTATAGAGATTCGTTTTGCGTGCCTTAACTTTTTTATTTTTTATTTTGCTTTAAAAAATATGGATCCCACAAAATATTGTATATTTATATATATATATATATATATATATATATATATATATATATATATATATAGGGCAGGTTAAATTTATAAACTTTTTTATTTACAAACTAC